ACTAATAAAATACTCTATATATTATAATAAGATTAATAATCTATTATATACTAAGTTTAATAAAAAGAATTAAAAAATAAAAGTTAATAAAAAATAATACCTTTTTTTAATAATATAAATAAAGACTTTTTTTTATAGTCTATAGGTTAAAAAGAATAGAATATAATAAAGTTTTATACTATTTAAACTTTTAATAATATAGTTTTAATGTCTATTTAATAATATAATTAATAAATATAATAGACTATACTAATATTTAAAAAGAATAAAAGATTATATAATCTCTTTAGGATTAAAGACTTAAGTTATTAAACTATTAATCTAAGAATAGAATCTAAGGGATTAAAGGTTAAGCCTTTTCATTAAGAGCTATAATAGAGAGATAAATAAGTACTTAAAGAGGAGGTATTCTTATAGTTAAGTAGTTTAAATCTCTACTAATTAATCTAAATAATAACTTTATTATTAAAAGATATTTTTAATATAACTTATATTATAATAACTACTTATTAGTACTTTATACTTTTAAACTAACTCTCTTCTTAAAAAATAGACTAACTATAGATTAGGATTAAACTACTATTATAAGTATAAAGTCTATTAGTATTAATACTATATTATTTTAACTCTATTTTTATTTTTTTTAAATTTAAAAAGAGGAGTTTATTAATTAGTTCTTTTTTAATTAGGGGTTTTATTTAGTTTATTAATACTTTAGAGTTATTATAGTTTATATTAATTAAAGGTATATATATTAATATATTTTAGTAGTATTTTAGTTACTATATTATCCTCTATTAGTATAGTACTAAGTAGGTATTACTAAGGGGTAGGTTTAGGTACTAATTTATATTCTTTAAATTCTCTTTAGATTTTATTACTAGTTTAGGCCTAGTATAGTTATATACTATTTTTTAGTTTTAAAGGTTATACGTGTTTTATATAAAGTACCTTATAAAGTAAAGACTAAATATAATAATAATAAATTTTATTATTTATGTATAAAATTATAAATATAATTATTATATAATAACCTATATTTACTGTATAGTGTGTAAAGTGATTTTCTATTTATACGAAGAGCGGTGGCTTAGCCAATGTGCGACCGTACGGCAGCCGCTGGCCTATTAGAGCCCGGCCGGCTCAACCAGTAGCCTCGGCTGATTCGCTCAACCTGCCCTCTGGACTCTGGGGAAGTTCATCTCATCCCCTTTCACTTTAATCTTGTTAATATAAATCCATTTCAGAAAGGGGTTCGAACTGCCTAATAATTTACGGCTTCTTTCATTCACACGATTCCCTCCCGTGGTAATTTGAATCCGACTCCGCCATGGATTCTTGCAGTCTCTTCAGCGTCAAGGTTCGTTCAACCTAGTCTCATATTGATTGTCAAGCTTACATTTTCCATCAGGGCAAGAATGTCCTCATCACCGGAGGCACGCAAAAACACCAATCCTGACTTTTGAATCACTGCTAACCGAATCCAGGTGCCAAAGGCATCGGCCGGATGATCACCCAAGGCTACGCCGAGTCTGGTGCCAACGTCTTCATCACCGGCCGCGACGCCAAAGCCTGCGACTCCGTCGTCGCCGAGCTCCAGCCCGTCGTCTCCAAAACCGGCGGCTCCATCCTCGCCATCCCCGCCAACCTGCAATCCTACGAGGAATGCGAGCGTCTCGTGGCCGAGCTCTCCGCCGCCATCTCGCGCGCCGGCCGCGCCCCCGGCCTGCACGTGCTCGTCAACAACGCCGGCGCCGTCTGGGGCGCCGACGTCGACAACTACCCGGACCACGCCTGGACCAAGGTCCTCACCCTCGACCTGCAGCGCGTCTTCACCCTCTCCCAGAAGGCCCTGCCCCTCCTCGAGCAGGCGGCCACGGCGGACGACCCGGCGCGGCTCATCCACATCGGCTCCATCGACGGCCTGCGCGCCCCCGCCACGGCCAACTTTGCCTACTCGGCAGCCAAGGCCGGCCTGCACCAGCTCTCGCGCCACCTGGCCAGGGAGCTCGGCCCGCGGTTCGTGACGAGCAACGTGGTCGCGTGCGGGCCCTTCCCGAGCCACATGATGAAGGCGACGCTGGAGGCGGCGGGCGACTACATCAGGAGCGAGGTGCCGCTGCGGCGGGTGGGCAAGCCGGAGGATGCTGCGGGGGCGTGCATCTACCTTTCGAGCAAGGCCGGGTGAGTTTTCTCTTTGCTAGTCTCTCTCCTTCCTTTTTTCCATTTTCTTTTTCTCTTCATCTTTGCTAACCTTTGCAGTGCATTTTGCACGGGCGCGACGATTCGTGTAGATGGTGGCGCGTCCCAGGTGGCCAAGATTTAATCATGGCGACTCTCGCTAGGTACATAGGTGATCAGCATAAGACACAATCGTCAAGATGGAAAATAGCATTCTGCCACTGGCGTGGTCTGACCAAATAAATCATTCATGCTTTCATCTACTGGAGGGGGGTATACTGGCTATGCTTTCTAAATACAATAAAAATGAAAAATAAACGAAACAAATCTAGTAACCACCGAGCAGTCTAGATGTGTAAAAAGCAAGAAGCAGAAAACGCCTAATCAAGTGTATGCCGGAAGCGGTGCAGCGGCACGGGCCAACGTATGTAGCAAACGGTCTGGCGAAACCGGGGGCCGTTTCGAGGAACGCTAGGCAAATTCCCCTGCTTGCAGGCAAAGTACCGCTCCAATGCCGGGTAGGCTGACAGGATGAAAAAAAAAGTGCTGTTGATATAAGCAGGCCCGGATCCTCACACAACCGTCGTCGCGAAGGTGGTAGTGTCGCACGATGGTGGTGCGGAATTGAAAACGTGGTGGTGCTGACATGTGACGGCAAATGCGCGACAATGCGACCGTCCACCATGCCGATGGGTGATTGCGGCGGCGAGAGAATCGAGGGTGAAGGCGAAATTTTGAGAGCTCGGATTCATCATAGGCCGCAGTTTTCGAATTCGCGAACCATGACGGCGACTTGGGCGCGCTTGGCAGCCTCGGCGACGAGGGTAAAGTCCTTGAGAAAGGCGTCGGTCGATGGCGTCTTGAGGTCCTGCGGCGGCGGTGGCGCGGGCACCGAGGCCGTCTGGTTTGGCGAGGTGCGGAGCGACGAGGCCGAGGTGGAGGAAGAGGCGCCGGCCTGCGATGGTGAAGAGATGGGAGCATTCATGGCGAATGTGTAGTTGTAGTTGCATGGATGTGCGCAAAGGAAGATGGGAAGACGGAGGGATGCAGGTTTGTTGAGTCTCGGCGTTTGCGACAAAGTTGGCGGAAAAAAACCGGCGTCGTATGTTTGTATGGTGAGGCCCGCTCAAAGTGTGGAGTTGGGCAGGAAAAAAGGTCCGACTCGGGTGAGGAGCGCAGAGAGGAAAAAAGAGAGAGCGGGTGAGAAAGAGAGTGATCCAGGCAGATGAGCTGTAGTTGGTAGAAGAGAGCGAAAGGCAAAAGCAAAGAGGTACGGCGAGGTAGATGTATGTAGGAAAGGGAAATCCGGTCACGTTGGGCGGAGAAAATCAGTGACGACGAGACTGCATGCAGGTGCTGGTGGCGGCGCGGGGCTGCTCTTTGTGGTTGAGGGCGCAAATATGCGCTGGAGAGCTGCCGGAGAGAAGCGACAAAATTGCTAGACAGACTGCGGCGAGATGTCCTGTTGCAGATTTCGCCGTGCTGGTCAAGTCAAGGAGTATGTATGCATGTATGTAAGAAGAAGATTTGGAGGAGCAGGTTATTTGTTACATGAGAGAAGCTCCGTCCAGTCGGATGAAGCGGGGAATGACGAGTCGGTTGTGCAGTTGGCTTTGTAGCAGGTTGGAGTACAAAGGCGGCAGGATTTGCGCGACCCATCAGGTTGTTAGCAAGGTTACAGCAATAAATTAGCCTTGCGAGTAGTCACTTTCCGGGCGGACTTGCCTCGCTCGGGAGACGGGAGATGCGATGCATAGGGGTAGCCCGTGACTCGAGTGCTTTGTTTCGTCAATTTCGGTGCCACCTGTTATTAACTAATAACTAATAGGGCGGCTTGTTACTATGTTGCTTGGTGCAATCGGAATCTGCCCGGCACCTTTCCGCTGTGACGTACATACAGTACATACTCGTTAGCGGCTACTGTAACTACCGTCCATGGAGTACGCAGACACTGACCCATGACCCGCGGCTGACCTGAGCAATCACTGTCACGCCTGCACTGCATCGTGGAATGCCACAGAAAATTCAACTAAAAAATTCCCAGGTCTGCATTGCGTGTGATTTCTTGTACCATTCGCCAACAAAGCTTGCACATTTAATTCCACGTCATCCTGGCCGCTTTCAGAGGGGACCTACCTATGTATGTATGTACCTATGTATGTATGTATGTACATAGTAAAAGGATAACCCCACGGTCTACCCCACGGTGAAAGTGGGGCTGCCTACCCTCCTTGCCTCCCCCACACTGTGCTCTTGACTGGCCAGCTTGTCTGTACTCTTGTTTGCCTTCTTCTCACAAACTACTTTGTCCCGTAAATAAAAGGATGGATTTCTCTTTCCATACAAAAGCAAAGACTTGATATTTGCAACCAATACATGATGCTCGAGGAAATTTTCACGCAAACCTGAGAGATGAATCTTTTTTCGACCACGGCTCCTCAGAACGTGGGTGTAGGCCTATATAAAGCTCTAGATACTCAAAAGCTCCAGAGACTCAGGAGCTTCAAATACTCAAGACCTTTACCAAGAGAGGATCTTGTAATCGCCCTTGAAGTTTCCATCAAATCTAACAGAAACATCGATGTGAACCCACAGTTCATTTCCGTTCTTGAGGTAGAGCTTGACCTCGCCCTTGGCCAAGAAGACGTCAAACTTCAAGCCAACGCCGTCCTTGAGGTTTCCGTAGATATTTCCCATGGTGATACCAAGTACGCTGACCGTGACGCCAATCTCGAGAGTGGTGGTGTCAAGGTAGCCGGTAATCTGACAATAATGTTAGCTTCGCGCTTTATACAAAGTGTGAATGTGGGACACGTCTTACCTTGAGAGGGCCGAACGACCAGTTAATCTCATGGCGGGCCTTGGGGGCCTTGCCAGGAGGTGGGAGGCTGTTGCCGATGGAAACCTGGGTGGCCGTCCAGTAGATGTCGCCGGACTTGGGCGGGTCGAGCCGGACGATGGCACCTGTTCACCGGAATTGTCAGCCAAGAAACAAGGCGTGAGACGGGTTACGGGCAATACTGACCGACGTTCTGAGCAGTGGTGCTAACCTGCTGTCCGGCGATGGAGATGTCCTGATCAGACATTTTGGCAAATAGGTTGGTAAAATAGGATAGAGTTTATGGGCAGTGTTTGAATGTGAGGAGATGATTGCTGTGCGGGTTGTTGGAGTCAAGTTTCTGGTATCACTCGGGGGACGAGACGTCTTTCTTTATACTTGTGCCGCCTCCTGATCAACGGCTGTCCTTTCCATTCCTGGCCCGTGGTATGTGTACTGTCCATTCTCGAGGAATTTATCTGCCAGCTCGCTTTCTGCTTGTCATATACCTGGCTTTCTCAAGCTTCAACTCTGATGAGTAAGACAACGCGGCCTAGAGGGGGAAGGCTTCGTGTTCTCATGCAACGCCTTCATTTTCGGTACACATGGTGGCTATCACCACCTCGCTCCCTTCTTCGCAACACGGCAAGAGACGAATGATAGACGTCGCCATCTCGTATGTGATGTTACCTTCGCGCATCTCAGCTGCCTAATTGACGCCTCGTAGTCTCTCATTGCGGCGTATCGACATGCAGGTGAGGCCGTCAGCCAGCCTCAATGTCTCGGGAAGAGGAATGCGAGAAAGTGTCACAAATGTTATCCTTTTCCGCGTAGCTATATCAATCATCAATACAGGAAAGAAGAACTACTGTCCCTTAAGAAAAAAAAGAAGAAAAAAGAATCGCAGTTGCAGTGATGCCATGCCCTGTGAAACTGTGCCATCACGACGGATTGAAGGATGCGTCGTGATGGAGTTGGTAGATCGATCCCTTACTCGAACTTGCGAGTTATCGCTGCATATGATTTCAACATTGCCCTCCTCAAGCCACGCCATACATGAATGGGCAGGTTTCGCGCGGCCCGTGGCGGATGTTGTGGCGTGCATGTACAATGCACGGCTTTCCGCTTTCAGCTTCAACTTGTGCGCCCGAATGGTGTCATTGTCTTACGGAGACTTTTTCCTTCAACACCTTGCATACGGATGATCCCCGCCTCTGCACAACCTGATTTAACGGGGGACATCAAGAGAGTATCTGATCTCAGGCTTGGCCACAGCCTGATCCAACGGGGGACGTTGAGAGAGCATCTGATCTCGGACTTGGCTTGAGGGATTGTATTCAAGGATGACAACGAAGGCCTGGCGGTGGAGGAAGGAATATACGGCCTGGCACGAGTGCATCACTGACGTTCTGGGCGGACGTCAAATTATACGCCCCGTTGCGATGGTAGTTCGCTGCCTGAGCCTAGTTTAAGGCTTTCCTGGCGACTCCGAGACCTGCATGGGTCGCGTACAGCAAAACGGTGGAACCACCTTCTTGCTGGTATGTAGCTTCTTTGGCCTTATGTTCCGGCAATCTCTGCGCTACATGCGGCAGTGTAATGCAGGGATTATTCCATGGCAGCCGAGTAAGACGACGATCGGAGCCGGCTCACTCCGTAATCCGTACTCTAGCTACCTTTCTTCAGCAGATTAAAAAGAGACGCATAGAACTTATGGCTTCGCTCTGAGTATATGGAAACACTGCACCTCACCTTGTCTTGATTTTCCTATCATTTCTTTTGTTCTGTTCTAACCCCTTTTGCCTCTGTGGTTAATACTGCGTCCACGATGCCACTAGACTTGAGGATGCGGAGCAGGTGTTGTTGTACTTGGCCGCCACGGTGGGCTAGCGGCTGGTAACGGGCCCCTCCCCCCCTCTACACGATACACACTTCGACAAGGCCATTGTTAGGTAGGTAGGGTAAAAATAAAAACTAGAATATCAGTTTGCCGTGTATTTTTGCTGTCTGGTGAACATGTCATCGGCTCTACTCTTTTTTTTTTTTTTTTTTTTTTTTTGGGGGTTTTTGGTTTCACAAGTCATCACTATGTTTCTCCGACCACTAACCCTTCATCATCCACTTCCTCTCAGCACAAACGCAGTACCACAGACAGGCAGAAAGCAGGCATTGACAATGCCTCGCGGCTGGTATCTTGCCCAGGGCATGATCCCACTCGGATACAGCAGCAGCAACAACGAGGAAGGACCGTGTGAGCTGCCAAACGGCCGACTCGTCTGCGGACCTCACGGACTTGTGCAAAATGCGGCAAATGCTGCACCGACAACAGCTTCATGGACGACCTTGACAGTGAAAATGACCAAGAGCTGGAGGGTTCTGAGAGCGATGGTGAAGATTCCGAAAAAAGATGTCGAGGACGATGACATTCATATTCCTTCCGTGCCTAGCGCAGGAACCGAGAAAGTGAGAGGACGGGCCTAGTCTTTCCCTCCAAGTTTACGCCTCGTGCCAGCCACCTGCCACCGATGGAGCTGTTTTCTGGCAGATATCGCTTCATGAATGTAGACCAGGGTAAGACTTTCTTCTGACCTCCTCTTCGCACACTCGTTTCGTGCTCGGCTGACCCCACGGGGTCCGCAGTTTTCAGACGCACCGACCCCAACGACGATTCCATGCTCCTCCTCACGACCGACGGGGCATGCCTCGGCAACGGCCAAGCTAATCCAAAGGCCGGTTGGGCATTTGTAAAAGGCGTTGATCTGGCGGTACAGCCTATCGTGGTCCCTGGTGCTCTAGAAAGGCAGGGTCCCTAGGGCGACGACACCGCCCAGACCAGCAACCGCGCCGAGCTGCGGGCCGTCATCGCCGCGCTGCGTTTTCGACAATGGGTGGGCGAAGGCTTCAGAACGGTCGTCGTAGCTACTGACTCGGAGTACGTCGTGGAGGGCTCGACACGCTGGGTCAAGTCTTGAGTGCACAACGGGTGAACGACGATGGGTGCCCGGAGAGGTGACGGCGTCGTCGTCAAGAACAAGGATTTTTGGGAGATGCTCCTCGAGTAGTTCGAGAGGGTCCACGGCCAAGGCGTGTCCATCCAGTTCTGCAAGATCCCGCGCGAGTGGAATACTCTTACGGACGGGGGTGCAAAGAAGGCTGCCGCCAACGAAGAAACGCCTGCGACGTGGATGGACTGCTACGGGTTCCATTTCAAGTTCAAGAGCGAGGAGTTTGGAATACTTGGTACGCCATTGTCTTGAACTTTGCAGCAGAACAACCAGGGAATGTATCTCGACTTGATTCATATAACACGTGAGGGGTCTATTTAGTGTGGACTGCCGTAGCGGCCATGTTTGGCCACAGCGCCACGCATAGCAGAGGCCGCTTGATGTCATCACAGCGACTCCCTGGGCTCATCCCAGGGCGCACCCGGTACGGCGTCACACCTGATGGATTTGAACTGAACGTCGGCAATCTCATGTTCGCCTGCTTCGTACTCCTTGGGGTTCCCGCATCGGAGGTCACTTTACTTGTAAGCCGGTCGCCACCGCTAGCTGATGGGGAATCACGTACGGATAAAGCCTGCACGCCTTACCGCGTCCAATCTCAATCTGGTCGAAGTTGGGCCTGACTTTGTATCAGCAATCGTTGGTCTGCTGTGCGAGTCTGCACTGTGAACATACTGGCTCCTCTTTAAATTAACGCATTGGCCTTGCTTGACGTCGTACTCATAATCGTCACCAGAATAAAGAATTGCCTGGACCGATAGTTAGTAAGGTATTTGATAGACGTATCTTGAAATGGTTGGACCTACAGCAATAAAGTCCGTCCTGGCCTTGAGAGCCTGTGCTAGCGCGAGGCTGCAAAAGGCCAAGGGAAAGATGGTCGCAAAACGCATGTTGAGATTGTGTCGCAAGTGATCAAAAGTCAACAAGTTTACGGATAACAATCGCTGGCCTGCTCTGGCTTTATAGCTTCCTTGGTCTCCCATCGTTTCGATTTGGCGGCCCTGCGAGTCTGAGATTGACTACGGGCATGCGGCGGTGTGCCCCGACACTGGCATGTTGTGCCGCGATACCAACGTATTATTGTCTATGAATTGTGCATTTGCCAAGAAATTCACGTTGCACTACGTGTTTTCGGATGAACTTTTGCGCAATCGAGTGGCCGTGTTTCCCTCATCGATGAAGCTGATCCGAGACATACATGCCGTGTATGATGATCGGGAAAAACACAACATCCAGGCTCCCTAGGTCGAAGGGTATGCCGCCAGCTAGTCAATTTATAATACCACATTTATTAATAATAAAAAAACATTATGAAGTGGTTGGAAGCCTCTATTTAGGAGGTTAGATTGTCTAGGGTGAGAAAGTGTAAAACACTGTGCGAATTACGTTTGGGCACAGTAGGGCCGAATTCTGCAAACACCATACAGGGCAGCACTTAACCCTTCTAGCATGACCAAACACCATCGAGCACAACGCTCAGTACGAGAACAACACCACCCTTGGCCAGGACGAAACTGTTTACAACACGCCCAGCTCTTTCATTACCAAGAGCAGCGCGCCAACCCGGCCGCACAGCCTTCGACCATGTCCATCTATGCCGGGAAGGAGGCCCCAGCCCTTCGCGGGCGTTTCTCTCTCCTTTTCCCTGCGCGGCCTGCGCAAGCTGGCGAGGCTGTGACTTGCCCTTGCTAAAAAGGCAGCGTGTGATTGTCTGGGTATGGGTGGTAAGAGAATGATAGGCCGCCTCTCTAACCTGAAATTTTTGGTTGTCCTGTCTCAGCCACGGACAGCAAGGCTGACAGGAAAGCTCATACCCCTCCCTCATTCACGACCGAACAGGGCACTACACTCCCTACAGGTGCATCTACGAGTAGGCACAGCCACCAAGGAGAGGCCGCCGACCGTCTTACTCACATTTGTGACTTCAATTGACGGGTGACGATAATTTGGCTTTTGTACTAACCATAAACCTCAAGTGTAACAAGAGATTGCTGTTCGAAGCTCTACAACCATGGATCCGCTTTCGATATGCGCATCAGCACTTGCGCTGATTGGAGCGTCAAAAGCTGTAAGTGCTGCCTTGGGACAAGGGGCCACCCAGGCTTCGGCATGCTCACTGCTCCCAGGTCACCAAGGCCCTTTATAGCTTCACACGATATGCCACCCACGCCGAGACTCACGTGGCGTCGCTGTGCTCCGAAATCACTACCCTGACAGAGTATCTGTCGTCGATAAACACGACGCTGAAGAGCTGTCGCCGCAATGCGCGCTCTTTTGCTCTTATCGAGGCTGAGTTGTGGTGCCAGAGTGACCTGGCCCTGCAAGACTGCGAGGCGACACTGAACGAGCTGTCGGCCTTTGTCGCAAGGCTCAAACCGTCCAATGACAATAACAAGACTGCATTCTGGCGGGCCAAGGTGGCGGTTGACATGAGCATCCACGCTCGTCAACTGGAGCAGTTCCGGGCTAGGCTACAGCGGTCAAATTATGCGCTACAGACGGTTCTTCAGACAATAACAGTGTGCGTGCCCTCACTCGTTCGTGTCCTGGAGAGGGGGGTGAAGAAAAAAAAAAACTAACTTGGGTAATAGATCCGTTTCGCTCCAAAACAATGCTTCGCATGACCGTCTCATGCTGGAACTGGACAAGCTCAAGATGTACATTGAGCACGCCGTCTGTATCGGAGCGCGGTCGCCGGTCGGCACTCACCGTCAACCCAGCTCGACAACGCTGTCAGAAACAATCGCTGCCAAACATCTTCAAGGCCTCGTCAAGGCTGCAGAGAGCTTCTACTCCAGCGCGACAACTACCGTTGGGAGCTCGTTTGGAGGCTCCGTCGCCGATTGGCCACCCCCTGCCAGGGAGACAATTCCTGGATTGTCGCCATTTAGGACCCAGCGTGTGCATGAGTACATACAAAGCACTAGCCAGAGATTGAATCCTCTTGCTGCTACGGAAGCAAAAGACTTGCATGAAGATTTCATCGCGGATGAGTCTGCTGAGCTGACAGATGACCCCGCCAAACCCGTGACACGGACTCCCGACGCCGATTTTAAACTGCCATTCGTCGAGGACTTCGAGTACTTTGACATAGAAAAGACAATGGTCGAGGTACGCGAAGACTTTGCCGTCGAAAAGATGAAGGACAGAGATTTCGAGGGTGCAGCTACATTTTTGAACGAGGCTCTTTCCAAGATTGAGTTAGTCTGTGAGACGCAAGTTCGAGTGCGCCTACAGACGCGCCTTGGCATGTGCTACGTCTTGCAGCGCAAAACCCATGAGGCGCGCAAAGTCGTATCCGAATTGGAAAGAAATGGCGGACTCGAGAATAGAGAGGTTCTTCATCTGATGCATGCTCTAGCCATGCTTCATCTCGCCCAATGCCAGTTGGGTCCGGCAGATAATCTCGGCAACAGAATCGTAAATGCCAAGATGAGACTTTTGGGCAAGTCCCATCCGGAGACCTTGATATCATTGGGCTTTTTGGAGCATCTGTATTATCGGTTCAGTATGCTGCTACGTTTGGAAGCCATTCGTCGCCATATACCCCCGGACTACGTCTACAGCCACCCGGAGAGCGAGCTTGACTTTCTGTCACAGCATGCCATGCTGATGCCTACCATGACGCTTGAGACGGACAAGGTCGAACTACCCGGTACCTCCTTGTCGGAAGACTCTCAGAGCGGCTCTGCACAGACGCCAGAGAAGGAGTACACGCGAAATCCTGGCGTCAAGAGAGCCTTGACGCGGTATGAAAGACAGCCGACAGATACGATGAAGGCATTTGTATCCGTTACCGTGACCCAACCAAATGATCCTGCGCCTAAAAGAACTTCCTCCAGAAACGGACAGAGGCTCCTGTTGGTATCCCGCAGCATGACTACGATGCGCCAACACTTTAGCACCTGGCGGTCCTCGAGCCCTCCAGCGCAGCGCAAGCGGCGGGATGTATCGGAAAGTCCATCGGAAAGTTCGAATATTCGACGACACAGAACGGTACTGCACAAGGCACCGCCGGCAAGGCAGATGGGGTCGGCCGGGTCCACAGGACTGGCCAGGGCAAAGAGGTTTCTCAGCATGATCAAGAAGGAAGCGCCGATAGTTCCTGCGCCCGCGGAGAAGTTCCTTCACGTGTTTGAGTTGGATTCGAGATGCATTACCAGGGAGGATCTCGCCAAACAGCTATCAGTTGCGCATCGCGGCACCCTAGCCTCGACGCCTAACATAGCGGCATCGGAGCCACGGCGAGTGAGCGTGCGACCGTTGGACATGTCGTTGGGCATGATACCCGAACTACCAGAGCTCGACTCGGGCGATGCATGCGGGCTGAAAAGTCAACCCGCGGCGGTCATGGAGGGGTCGGAGAACTCCTCCGCCTGCAGCCTCAGCAGGGGATCAAGCCTATCCGACAACCACAGCACCGTTTCTGGAAGCATTTACAGCAGCAACACGACAATTTCAGCAGCGGCTACAGAATCTTCCGTCGATGGAGGAGACCGCGACGATTCAACGGCGTTGCGATCCATGTCGCAACGACATAGGGCGGTTCGTCTCGCCAAGAACGGCTCTATCTCTCCATTCCCTCGGTCAAAGACGTCCATGCCATCCCGTACAAGACACACTTCGCTTTCATTCAGAAGCCATCAAAGCACGCGGCAGTTGAAAAGCACACAGGCCACGCATCCCGTTACGGGCTGCCCATACAAGCCCTACCGTCCAGATTGGCTCCCTAATACATCACCCACTATCGACACCGGGCATGATTTGGATAGCAATGGATGCCAAGTGCAGCCTCCGGATCGGGATACGCAGATGCCAATGAATGCTTCGCATGGCGGCTGGAGAGATGGTTCTGATCAACTCCCTGGCCAAACGCATGGCTTGAAGCGCACCTTTTCCTGGAGCTATGGTGATGAAAGTTGCTTTCTTCTGAAAGTACCGAGAAAGGAGGATTCGTTGTGATGAAGACTTTTTCTTTCGAAATTACTTGCATATGACCCTTGTTGCTCACCGGCATGGTGCTTGAATTCTTACGCTGGAGCAGATGGGGGCTTGATGAAGAAAGATGGGCAATTGGCTCAGGCGCATGTCGGCAAGGTTTTTCTTATAAGTTGGTTACGTAGTACTTTGCGTGGTCTTCTTTTCTCTCTTTTTCTATCCGTCCTTTTAACTGTGTCTCTTTTTTTTTCGCAATTTAACATGCCTGCTCAGTTAGTTATGCAGTACGGGCATCGAGTCATTGTTGACAGAAAAACGGCATTGACAAAGTTAGCAAACCCTGTAGCGCTTAACAGGCGAAGTAAGAGTGCCGAGCGGCGTTTGAACGTCGGCAGTTGTTAACATCTATATCCTTGGCCCTATTATTGGGCAGCATGATCAAGTTTGTGGACACTGACCGACAAGTCCCCAAGGATATAAGCTGTGGTTATATATTGAGCCTCCTATGATTGCCTTGCCACTGCCCCGCTGCCAAACCGGCATTCGGCGTACAAGGAAGCCAGAGCTTGAATGCCGCCGCCCTGTGGCCCGGTCCGCTGGCTCACTCGTCACTCATGCGTACTAACCAACTATTGCTTACATGCATGTTCTTTCAATTTCTTTTCGAGAAACTGCCCTGTTCATTTTTTTTCGTCATGTTACCAGCTTGCCAATGCCCACCGCAAAACTAGTGTCGGCAAAACCGGTCATTAAGGAGTAAGTAATGTAGGGCTCGGGCAGGTGTCTAGACTACCACCGGCAAGTCGCAGCTGGTAAAGGACCATCTTGTGTAACGACTTGTCAGGCCACAGTCATAGATCGGTCGCATAATCTCTATACGAGGTGGGTACTCGAAACATCATCATCACCCACGCCCCTGGTCGACGGCATCGGTACCTGGCTCTCGGGCCAGCCGGAGAAGCGGAGACCAGTCAATGCACCTGGTACGGACATGATGGACGAGTGGCACTGTTTAGACATAAATTTAGGCTATTTCCGAAGCCGTCATCTGCCGGATTACCGCTTAGGGGAGCCATCATCTATCCGTCAGAAAGGAACGATCGCCAAGCAGGGCATAGACAAGGCGTGACGTCTCTCCAAGCTCTTGCGCTTGGCGACTCAGACAGCTTCATAGTTTCAGCATGCCCGCGGTTGCTTGCTAAATTCAGCATGCCCGCGGTTGCTTGCCAAATTCAGCACGCCCGCGGTTGCTTGCTAAATTCAGCACGCCCGCGGTTGCTTGCTAAATTCAGCATGCCCGTGGTTGCTTGCTAAAGTCTCCAAATTTCAGTTATCAATCGCCTATGCCGTGGTGATATACGGTGCAAATCTATACAATTCTATGCAAGTCCCAGCATACTCAGGCACCTATTAACCATCCCTGGCTGCGTAGCGCTTCCACTAGAATCTGCTGGACCCTTGACGGAGGCTTTTCGCAATAGACAGGTAGCTTATACCACCCATACGAGGCTATGTACTTGTAGGTTGTTGGTCACGACACTTTGCAATCGGACCTACTGCGATGGACCTGTTGTGACTCGCTCTCGCGCGCGCGCAAGTCAGCTAAGGCACTATAACGAAAGTCTGTGAACTTAATCCCACTATAACTTGCTTCCATGAGCGAAGCCGCGGGATCCGATGGAGAAAATCGCCTCATCTTTCTGTCGGCGTTGGCGAAGCGGCAGTTGTCAAGCATCGTGGACATGCACGGCACATGGCCAAGGAGCTCTGGTAGCCACTACTATATATGTAGTCTTCTGTCGCCTCATTCTGTTGAAGATTTCCTCATGTCTTACACTCATTCACTCTTTAGACAACTACTTTTGCACATTCTTTACTGATATCTGCGGATCCAATGATGATCTTTCACCATTTGCTGGCCCTGTTGGGTCTGGCCACCTTTGGAGCTGCCTACAGTCTCCCTGGCGCCTATGAGCGACTGTTGCTCTATTACACCTACCGAATGGACTTGATGACTCACGGAACCACGGAAATCGCGACGGGCTGCCCGGGTTCTGGGGGCAAACCGTGTACGCTGGAAGAATTCATCACATACATCAACCACGGCGACCTGGTCTTGGAGGATGAGGCCACGGGCACAGGCAAGAAGCCAACCAAGAAGCCAACCAAGGGCAAGCTAGACCTTGGTCTTAATCTCAAAGAGGGCGAGCTTCCCCCCGTCAAGAAGACTGCTCAAATCCTCATGGAGAAGAAGATCAACGGGCAGATCGACCCCCAGAAGGTGGTCAAGGGAACCAAGGGCGATTACCCCGCACTCTTCAAGAAGATTGGCGATTTCATCTCCAGCAAGTGGACTGCGAATCCCGTGAATGCAGGAGACGCTGCCAAGTTCCTGGAAATCAAGCAGGGTGCGTTCGATTCCATGGTGGCGGTGCGGAATGCTCGCATGGAAGCTGCCGTGGACTCGTGGAAGCCGGCCGAGGGCTTCGAGGTCATCAAGATCTTCGACGACCTGGGAGGAGCCAGCGTCAACATCAAGGAGATGGCTTCAAAGAGCGGCAAGAAGAAGACGGAGCTGGTAGAGCTGTTCAAGAAGCACATCGAGGGCGCCCACCAGGAGAACATCAAGTACCTCAAGGACAGCGTCGCGCTCGTCTGCGGCAAGGGCGGCACGGTCAGTCCCGGCCGGAAGCGCGAGCTGAGCTGCGGAAGCAACATCTTTGGCGAGAAATGGGGCGGCGACATCGAGGGGGTGTCGAAGCCGTCCGGCCTCGGGGAGGTGTCGAAGCTGGGAAAGGCGGCCGAGATGGCCGAGGCGGTTTCCGAGAAGGAGTTTGGCGAGCTCGCGTCCAAGCGCGGCCTGAAGGCTCTGGCCAAGGAGAAGTGGTCCATGTCGCTGTCCGAGGTGCGCACCAAGATCAACTACAAGGCGCTCACACCCGAGACGCCTAAGCTGGGCATCAAGGGCGGCACCGTCCTCAACGGCGCGGCCATGATCGTCGGCGTCGGCTTCTGGATCAACGACGTCGTCAACGCCTTCACCCACAACGTCACCGCCCTCGACCGTGCCGCGACCGTGGCCTCCATCGCCCCCTTCGTCGGCTGCGCCGTCAAGACGGCCGCCGACCTGGACAAGCAGTCCCTCGACATCGTCGACACCTCGCTCTGCCTGGTCGCCGACAGCCTGCTCTTCACCCCGGCCTTCCCCGTCGCCGTCGTCCTGCACCTCGTCCGCAGCATCATGAGCTGGTACAAGCCCCCCGAGCAGCCGACCCTGGACGAGTTCCGCTCCCTCCGCGACGGCGCCTGGAACAAGTACCTCAAGAACGAGGTCTACGCCTACATCTACTCGCACCCCAACTACTACGAGTTCAAGCACAAGGCTCGTCCCGCGGACAAGACCTTCCTGGAGAAGATGGAGAGCGCCTTCGCCATCGAGGAGCTGGCCGTCCTCTCCCAGGGCGCCCAGACCATCGGCGCGGCCACCGGCAGCGCCCAGGAGGACCTCGAGGCCGCCGCGTCCCCCGAGGACAAGGCCAAGATTCAGGAGGGCGTCGACGCGGCGGCGGAGCAGCTCCGTCAGGCCGCTCGCAACGAGACCATCCGCCGCCATCGCCAGGCCCTCCTGAGCATGCCCAAGTCGCTCCAGGAATCGCAGGAGGACTCGCTCCTGAAGACGTCCGACAAGTTCAACGAGAAGTTTACCGACGACCTGGTCTCGGAAGAGATGGTGAGCAAGTACACGACCAACTACAACGGGGATGCCAGCCTCGCCTTCGGCGAGAACAGCAACAAGAAGGACATCACGAAGATGCTGGAGGGCTTCCGCGACACCCTCTGGGGCGAGCCCCCGGAGCTGCCCAGCTACTTCACCCTCGCCTACATCCTCGGACAGTCCCGGGCCGTCGCCCCGCTCGACAAGGAGACCCTGTCCATTTCGGCCTACCTCAGGGAAAAGTTCCCCGAGATGTCCCCCAGCCAGATCCAGGAGCTCGGGCTGCACCACACCTTTGAGATGGGCCTGCTGCTCAACGGCACCAAGACCGAGTCGCAGCTGTCCACCTACTTCCCGACCCAGGACGAGGCCGCCCGCAAGGAGCTGCAGACGCTCGTGGCGCTCAAGTTTGGCCGCGTGTACGACGACTGGAAGATGGAGCAGATGGGCAGGCAGCTGCCGGCCGGCCTCATCCTCGACACGCCCGAGTTCAAAGGCCTGAAGATGGAGCTGATCCACCCGCAGATCCCGCCATACAACGGCGCGGCGAGCGCGGGCTACGCGGCGCTGGTGGCGGGCATGACGACGGCGCTGGCGGAGAGCCTCAAGGAGAACGCGGAGGCGCTGGGCAAGAGCGCCGGCGCGCGCTCCATCATGGACCAGTCGGCGAAGCTGGAGGGCCTGATGCCGGGTGAGAAGCAGGCGGCGGCCAAGTTGAGGAGGGCGCTTCCCAGGTCGAGCAAGGAGTACCGTGCGCAGCTCGTGCGGGCTTATTAGAGAGGAGGGAAAAGGGGGGAGGGGTGGTGGTAGGCGAGGAGATGGAGAAGAGACAGTCCAGGCTGCTTTGTAGCTGGACTTGAGGAATCCTTGTACTTTTAATTAGAGACAGCTCAATGTATGCAGCTCCTCTGGGATGCGTATGCAATACAACAGATGATTCTAAAGGTACGTGTTTCCCTGGTATTTGTGCCACCTCCAAGCTTCTTCATTGTTCTGAAATGCACTTGTTGCCCCGGACTGTGCCTGTGGCATGTGATTTGTTCATTCGAGGTTAGGAGCCTTTGGCCATGTTTTACAACTAAATCCAGTTCGGCAAGGGGTCGCCGATCGCGAAGAGCTCTCCCGACACCTTGTGGGAGCAAAAGGCAACCCGATCGCGTGTGATGGCTGGAGGAATTCCGGTGACGCGACAGACGCCGAAGCCATTCCAGCCATGTCTCACACACAGAGTATATCAATCCAGTCAAGCCCCGATGCCATTTGTGATGCTCGACTACAGTCACCCATCTCCTCCTACACCCATCTCAGCAGCTCAAGAGTCAACAAACACAATGCTAGCATTTACCCTCGCCCTCCTGTGCGCCGGTGTCGCAGCCTTGCCTGGGAGCGCCGACAAGCCTTGCAGCGGCGAGGAGATCGCCAACTGCTGCGACTCCGGCAAGGGCAAGCTCAAAAACAAATGCAGTCCAGGTACTTGTCAAACCCCTGCCCTTGATGTGCGAGGTGCGAATCAACGCCGTGTCTAATCATCGCTCTACCAAGCAACCGGAAACCCAATGACCTTGCCTGGCCTTGTGCAAGCCTGCCTGCCCTCCGGGGGGATACCAGCATGCTGCACGCCAAAGCAACCGGCAAACGTGGTATGAAAGCGCCTGGCCTCGAAGGAGCCTGTCCCCCCGCGCGCAAGCCAACTTCTCTAATCAAAATCAACGCAGCTCGATGAATTGGTCAATATGCTATTCGGTAACACCATGGGTCAGACCAAGTGTACCCTCCTCCCTCCAGCTACGGGACCGGCGTGACAGCTTGTTTGTTGATCCAGCGTATCCCGGGATTGCTGGGCTATTTTAGGGTCTGTCCAATTTGTTCCTGTATTTTGGTTCTTCTTTCCTGTGTAGGGTAGCATAGTTATTGACCGAGATTACACTGAAATATCCGTAGCTCACCGCCCCGCAGCCTGTCTCTCTCTCTCGACCTTGCCCTGTACATTAACCAGGGCCCTGTCAGCTGTCATCGCCATCATGGTCCAATCGTCATTGCTTTTGGCTCTGCCGTCTCGGCCTTTCGCTTGCTTTGAACATACTTGCTGTGCCGCAAGGAGGGCCGTCCCCCGGAGATGATTTTGGTCACTGTGGGAGACGTGCAGGATAACAAACCTGGGCACAGTTTGAGCACGCCAACTATTCAGCTGGCAGACAGCACATCAACTTGCGACATGATGTTTTCGCCTTGGGTCAAGGCTTGAGAGTATGCAAAGAAAGCCGGGCCGAGCTGGTCATGTCTGCTGCGCGCTCGTGGCCCTGAGCAGGCTGAAGACAAGGGACAGTCTACAAAACAATAGAGTGGCTCGGCCGTTGCTGGTGACCTAACAAGTTAATGCAGCTGACGCCCTGGGGAAGCCCTGGGGAATTTGCACTGCCTCAGCCTTACCTGGGTAGGTATCTAGCGACAGCAGCGACGAATAACTTGGTAACTCATACTCTAATTCTGTTGCATCAACTCTGGTGATCAAGGACGGCCCTGCGAATGATGAAAAGACCCAGTCAGTCACAGGCAGGGCCAAAGATGTGCTGATTAATGGCTCCCTCCCGCCCGCCATCTACGTACTGTATGTACGTATGTACCTAAATGTTTAGCTTCCAGCCGTTCGGCGATTTCCTATTTCGTTCCTGGGTTGCCATGCTTAATCTTAGCTACGGGGTTAGCACTGTGAAACGGGAAGTGGGCGACGACAAGATCATTGGCCCAGCGGCTGGATCGACAAGTTTTGAGGCTGACTGGCGCCTCTTGACCTGCTGCTCCTTTGCAGGCCAAGTCCTGACTAGCCGTAGACAAAGGACTCCTCCATCTGCTCCTGCTCCTGCTCCTGCTCCTCATTTCCTGTCAGCAGCAAAGTGCAGGCCTCGGAGCCTCCTCTCTTCGCCTTCTTCGCCTCCTTCGCCTCTTTCGTCTCGATCTTGTCCGCAGCGCCATCTGAGACACACACACATCAACATATCCCGAGGATGCACTGCTCCATACGACAAATGCTGCTGCCTCTGGCACTAGCCTTGGCGACCGCGGCCCGGGCCGCTGACCTAAAATGCTACAAGCCGGACGGCACCGAGGACCCCGAGCAGAAGCCTTGCGACCCGACCGCCAAGATCGGCACCTGCTGTCGGCCGACCGACTTTTGCCTGTCCAACGGCCTGTGTCTCGGCGGCGGAGGCAACAATGGCTTTTCGCAGCAGGGCTGCACCGCCAAGGGCTGGGACTTTCCCTGCCAGTCTTACTGCTCCGATAGCATCGGTACGTGGAAGCCAGCGCGCGACAACGCGGACGACAGACGACCAAACTCAAACTAACAGCCTATTTTGTCACTCGCAGCTCGCTTCAGCGACGGCTTCCACTACATGTCGCAGTGTAGCGGCTTCGACAGCACCGCCGTCAACCTCTTCTGCTGCGGCGGCGACTACACCTGCTGCAACAACACCGACACCTTTGTCCGCGGCATCAAGAAGTTCACCACCATGTCGCGCGCCGGCGGCAGCCCTACCTCCTCCGCGACCGGCAGCGGCGGCACGGTGACGGTGACGGTGACGTCCACCTCCACAGCAGACGACAACAACAACGGCACCAACAAGACGGACAACTCCAAGGTGGTCGCCGTCGGCGCGGGCGTCGGCGCGTCCCTGGGCGTGGCGCTGCTCGTGGCCGTCGGCGCTCTCGTGTGGCAGGTACGGAAGCAGAAGAAGTACATGGCGGTGCACCTCGCGGCGCCGCAGCAGCACGTGTACTCGGGCCAACCCAAGTACGAGCTGCAGCAGCAGCAGCAGCAGCAGCATCCGGCGGAGCTGGCGACGGAGTGAACGGGCGGGAAGGGGGGTTGTATATAGCGAAGCGAGACGGAGGGTCGGGTGTCTCTGGAAAGGTACGGATACTCGGCATGAGATGGGAACCTTGGGGCAGCGGTCCGCGTTTGTCGAGCAGCTTGAGTCGTTCATCAAGGACCCTTGCCTGGATGGCATGACCGGCCGTCTGGAGGACACCCCGTGCCGGAGAGCGACCGGGAACGGAGGGAATGGGACAGGCGCCGAACGCGGAACAGTGGGAAGAAAAGGTAATGCGGAACTTTCAGTGAATTGTTGAACATTGCCGTTGCTCACCATTTTCACGTGCACTCGTCCCGTGTGACTGCCTGGACAGGACCAGGTCCAGGGGCCGTTGAGTACCTGCTGCAACTTGACGGATACTGTATAAGAAACCGCCGCTGGAGGCTTTATTCGGTTGAGAAGGCATGACTACTGCGAGAACGTCGCTCCTTGACTGTGCTAATAGTCGGATTGAAGCGACGTGTTTAAGCGACGTGTTTAAGCGACGGACTGCCTTTGTAAGCGATCATAGTTCTAGTGTTTTTTTTTTCAAGTACCTTGTGCTTCACAGAGTTGTCGATCTAAAGTCTCCCGTGGGAACAACATCTTCCCGGCCAACAACGCCTTCCCAAGCTCATCACTTTTTTTCTTTTTTTTCCCCCACGATGTCGGGCGATACGACCTTTTTTTGAACGGTCTGAGCAGGTAGGTCGTCGTCTCCATGCTAACTTGTTACAGGCAATTCGAGAGAGAGAGGTACGACCTTCGGTCCTCTGCCCGGACTGGCTGCTGGATACTTGCATAGGCGTGATGCTCCCGGATTGCTGGATGCACTGGCTCACCTCGGCCATGCTCCTCGAAGAGCTCCTGTGCTATACGTACCTACGCTGGTTCCGCAAGTACTAACTTGCAATCCTGCCAGATGGTTGCCCCAGCCGCACTCCACCTCGCCTTCGCATCCTTGCCTTGCTGTATTGAGTTATTAGCGATGTGATGGTTGACTCTATCGTGTCATCAAGCCTAGGTATCCAGCCAATTTCCTACACTGGCCATGGTATCCGGAACCGATGGGCGGAATTGACAGCGGCCGTGTCAGGAATTGACGGAACACAACGAGTAACGCTACAGTCAGTACGTGATGCTTGCGCTATCCGCGCAGGAAAAAGGGTTAGGGGTTTCGACAGGTGTCTGCCGACCACCGACAGTAGGTAGTTAGTAGGTACATACACACATACATACATACATACACACATACATACATACATACACACATACATACATACACATACATACATACATACTACACACATACATACATACATACATGCCTAGGTACTATACATAGGTAGCAGTCCAGGCTCAGGGTCCGTCCACCAACTTGCGCCGCTAACATGCCCGGGTGGCTTCATGTGCTCCAGTTTCTCGTTAACAACCCTAACATAACTTGACAGAAAGATGCCCAAAAATGCCAAAGTTTAATGTTACTTCACCCGTGCATTATACAACAGCTGGTACCGGGTAGGCAGTCTAACAGCCCACTCTCCCTCCATTGGCTGTCTTCAACCCGTTTTGGCTTACTTATTAGTGCCTCGTCTCCGACTTTCTCTCCTCTTGCCCTCTTGCACTGCCCAACCCCAGGATGGCCTTAACAAGAGCTGTATTTATCAATATTACATGGATCGCACTGCTTGCCATTATACGATTCGCGGCCTCGACACGTACGGCCTCTTTTGGAGGGAGTAAGAGTCTGCCCTGCCAAGTGCCGAGTAGCTCACTTACACGGGACAAGCTGCCCGAAATAGGGCTGACACTTGGCATCAACTACCACGACGGGTATAACTGCATGGTGCCTTGTTATTAGTTCATGCCTCTGCACAGCCTTGACTCGCTCCATGGCGGCGGAGAGCAGTTCCTCGCCACCTGGACGAACCCTGACGGCAAACATACAAGTACCCGCCGCAACATGGCTTCCTGCTCGACGTTAACGGCAACGGTTACCTCGTCGCTGCCAGCGCGCCCTTCTCGCAGCGCTCGCTCCCGCCGGAAAGCCTGAAAGCCGACCCTCGGAACCCCGAGTTCCCCAACAGCTACCACCTCTACAAGGTCATCCGCCCGTTCACCGTCATCAGCGGGCCCATCGCGCCGTGGTTCGGCCAGCCCGGTTTCGGCTCGCAGTTCTGGACCGGCACGGTGGGCAACATTGCCAAGCTCATCAGCGACGGCTACGTTGAGCGGCAGGACCTGCCCGTCCTAGCCACCTAGTCCCAGGGTGCCTGCACTGTCGGCCAGGCGATGACTGCCTAAATGAGGAGAGAAAGAGAGAGTGTGTGTGAGGAATGACCGCGCAAGTAGTGGAAAATAGAAGACGGGTGTTGGGAGGTTGGTGATGTAGCAAAGATGGTTTGCTGGTGTATTGCACTAGACGGACTGATAAACAAATATAGACTCCTTCATCCCAAACAAGTGTATCCTATACAATCGGTACCAAATGTCCTCCCATCAAGCCAATCCTGCAGCGACAGCAAACCCCGGCCCCGGTGCACAAGTAAATCTTCGCCATTCTGATCAGTCTCACGTTCCTGTACAACGATACATGTAAGGCACCTCCGGATCCGTCGTCGACCGACCGTCGCTTCCACGATGCTCAAGGCCCCGTGGCGCCGCTACTTGCACGTACTATATCTTGCAACCTTCCTGGTCACGGTCCGGTCGACGTTTCGCGTCGTCGAATACGTGCAGGGTCGAGAGGGCCATCTCATCTCGCATGAGGTAGGTATTCTTCTACGTGATCGGCGCCACCATGATGCTACTGTAGCTTTGTCGATGGTGTTCAACCTCGCCCAATCTGAGCAAGGTGACGTCGCCACTGCGCAGCGACAAGCTTTCGTTTGCTAGCTAGCATGGGGTTGATGGTGTATCCTACTCCAATGGAAAACGAATAGAGGCGGATTTTGATTGCGGTGTCCTTGCAAGGAAGAAAAGGCTTGAACATTGACATGTAAAAAATGAAGAAAAAAAAAACAAAGGAGCAAAAATGGACCGTCTTGGTCGCCTAGTATACACAAAGAAAGAGGAAGACCAAAAAAAAAAGGCCCGAGTCAATCAAATACATTGCTCATCAAGAAGAAACTCCCCGCCACGATACCCGACGTGAACAAGATCGTCAGTATCGCCGCGCCGGCTCTGTCCGAGGCGACAATGGCCCGCGGCTCCGGCAGCGGCTGGGCCTGGTTGCTCCCCGCGTTGGGATTCCCCTTGGACGTGCCCCTGTCCTCGCCCGTCGCCGGCGGCTTCGCATCCGCCAGCAAATTGTAGTACACCGCCGCCATCGCGTTCATCTGCTGGCCCACGCCCGTCTTGCCGTCGTACTTTGTCGGCGAGAGGTACGAGAAGCCGCACCCGGTGCCGTCCGGGCCCGGATACCCCTCGTTCTGCGGACCCGTGCACACGGCCACGGCGTCGGTGGCCGCTTGCCGCACGATCTTGGCGATGCCGTCGGCCGTCCACGGAGCCAGCTTGGCGGTGAAGGACAGGAACCGGATCAGGTAGCCCTTGAAGCTGACCTGGTTCTGGTCGCACCCCGTCGGCTGCTGCTCGCAGGGGGGCTCCCACAGGTGTCCGCCCTCGGTGGAGACGAACATGTTGGTGGTGAAGTTGAGCAGCCCGTCGATGCGCGTCTTCCACGTGTCGTTCTTGGTGTAGTCGTACATGGCCGCCGAGCCGGCCAGCCACACGCCGGCGTTGTAGCTGAACTGCGCCGCGTGGATGTTCCTGCAGGCGCGCTCCGCGTCCTTCACCTCGATGCCGTCGTAGACCTCGTAGTCGGCCGTGATAAGGCCGATGCCGACCTCCCACTCGTAAATCTTGGCCGCCCATTCAGCGTAGGTGTCGTTGCCGGTGAAGCGGGCGAGGCGGGCGGCGACGTTGAAGAAGCAGCCGTTGGCGATGCTGTTCTTGTAGTCGTAGCCGCTGAGGAAGGAGTAGACCTGCCAGCGGAGGCCGCCGCCGCAGAGCCCGTCCTCCTCGCGCCAGCGGGCGACGTACTCGTTGAAGACGGCCTGGCCGCCGGCGAGCCACTGCGGCGTGTCCGAGGGCGGGTTCGGGAAGGCGGCCTCGGCGGCCATCATGGTGGTCAGCGCCCAGAAGCCCTGGTCGTCGTTGCCCATGGCGTTGGTCTGGTTGCGCGGGAGGAAGTCGCCGGCGGGCGCGTTGATCTGGTGCATCATGGCCTGCATGACGATGTCGTTGTAGGTCGAGTCGCCGGTGTAGTACCAGTAGTCGATGAGGTGGCCAAACATGCCGCCAGCCTCCCACCCTGTGAGGGGAACGTTAGAAGGCGTTTGCTTGCGACGAGGACGGCGACGGGCCAGCGAGGAAGGGATGCTGGGGAGTGGTACGCACAGTAATATTTCCCCCCTAATAGGCCGGGGATTCCGGCCGTCGTGTTTCCATTGTAGAACTTGACGAGACCGTACGCCAAGCTGCTGGCGACACTCTTGATGGACGCTGCATGTATCGTGTGAGCAAGTCAGGATGCCAAGTCGGATCATGGATGGACGCACATGTACTAGAAAGATCGAGTTCCAGAGCCGCCTTGGTCGGGACTGCTAGCAGTAGAGACGCGAGACCGACCGCCAAGGCCTTCATTCTATGCAGAGTTGGTCGGGCGCAGCCGGGGACATTGGGTTCGTTTGGAGGCGGGTGGTTGCTGGCAGAGCAGCATCAAGCAGAAGAAGCAGAGAGAGGAGAAGAGGAGAAGAAAAAGAGAATAAAAGGGAGGAAATAAAGGAGCGGAAAGATACGCCACTGCAGAATAACTAGAACAAAAGTTTGAAACTTGAGACGCAACTTGACGGATTTGACGGATTTGACGGATTTGACGGATGGCGGGGGGATGATGGCAGGGATACGTTATCACGGAACAGGCAGACTAGACTGACAGACAGACAGACAGACAGACATCAGGCTGGACGGACATACAAAGAGGAGCTGTTTCAAGGCACGAGACGAGACAGACAGCCCAGTCAGCAACAACAGCAGCAGCCCCGAGTTCGCCGTCACAGGGCCAATTTCCCACCAGGATTGCTGCCCCGGTCAATGGCACGACTAAAATAGACGCCAAGAAAATGCTGCCCTCATGGATCTGGCTGCGCCACATGACGCGCGCCCAAGAATACGAGGGCACGGGACGGGAAGGGGCAAGGAGGAAATCGCACAGCCGACCGACCGATCTCGCCAAGGGCTACCGGTTTGAACAACGGTGTATACCCAAGGCTATCCATCATCTCGATAGATGGATGCACCGTGGTTAAATGCGACGTGCTTCCGTCTTGTTGTAAATGTGCTCTTTCTGGGTGAGAGGTACTAACAAGGCAATAAATAGGCCACAACGGTGCTCCAATCAAGGTTAGCGGGTAAGCCTCCCATTAACCACTAAACTAACAAGCAACTCAAAAGCAATGCCTAAAATTTACATTCTATTTATAACACCAGTTGAAGAATTTCCATCCCAACAACCCATTTATTAATTTGCCGTCTCCGCTGCCAAACATTTCTATTTATCAAGATCAAACAAAACAACCAATCTATGGATAGTCTCCTCAGCGATAAATATCTCTCCCTCCCTCCCTCCCACACCTACCTACCTACCTAGTCGAGCCATCTATCTCCCCCCTCGCTAGCAACGGCCGTACATATACATACATACCACCTCGTATCTTCGACGTCGACACAACTATTGGCTTCAATGTAGCCGATGCGCAAAACAACCAAGGAATTTAAACCTGTCCCAGTCCAGCGCCCAGTCGCCTTTTCTTCTCTCCATCTTCCACACCGTGTTATTACCTGGACAAACTCTGCTTTGCTACGAGCTCACAGTGTGCATGACGGCTTGAGACACTGTCTTGTGTTTCCTTGGGTTAGCGCCCTTTTTTTACCATTGCACCAACTTCATTTTCTAACCATCGCACTACCTTTCCACAAGTTTGTTGTTAAAAATATAGAAAGAACCCAGAAATAGAAAAGCCTTCATCGAATGACAAAGTTCCAACAAAACGCCGCCCCGCTTGATTCAATCAAAGAAAGATGCTGTTGTAGCTTACCACCAAATGTCCATTGGCATATATCGTCCATGTCCAGGTCCGTGATGTAAAAAAAAACATTTCAACAAGAATAAAAAGTGAAGTGAGGAGCAATCTCCTGTAAATGCAGATGCAATGCTGCAAGTCGTAGCCTCTGGCTTTGGTCGGTGATATTTGCAAGAGACGACTAGAATCCCTTGAAAGGGTCATCTCGGGAGTATTCCTCTTCCCCAGCCGTCCGGCTGCCTCCGTAATAATCATCAAAACCACGCCGAACACTACCACCACGAGTGTAGTAGCTGTAGCTGTCACCGTTGCGGCTGCGGCTGCGGCTGTGACGCCGGCGGTGCTCCTTGCTGCGTCGACGAGAAAGGTGTCGGAGCTCATCCTGCTCTGACGGCTGCCCGGGTTGCAAAGCCGCAAGCGGGCTGATGAATGCTTCCATCCGAACAGTTCCGATAGCATCAAAAAAGTTGCCTGGCCGGCTCGACGCCTCAGAAGCCCGCTGAGAGCCGCCCCATGTAGTATTACTGGATGCCTGCGAGTGAAACAGATCCGAAGATGCAGGGGTACTGGTCGACGTGCTGTGACCCTGTTCTTGCAAGCCACCGGCTGGTCCTGAAAAGCCGCGGAACGACAGCGGCGGAGGTACGTGTTGTTGCCCGCCCGTGTTACTTCGCTTGCGGCCATGTGAGGATGTCTGCGAGCGCTCGGTAAAACGCTGGATCATCGGAGGCTCGGCTGTATCATGTGAGGCCTCTCGATGATGTGTGACTGATGCTGGGCCGGTAGAGGGTGGAGGACGGGAGCTCGAGACTTCGCCCATGCGAGACGAGGGATTGCTAGGGAGACTGGGTACGTTGTGGGGTGCAACGCGGTTAGCACCGGTAGTCTTGTTCTTCGCCAACCGAATTGAGTCCCTGATGCCTGGGCGACGTATCTTGGTCTGCGGTGGCTCGAATTCAGGGACGGATTGTTGATGTGGCTGTTTGACTACTTGCGGTTGTGGCGCCGACAAGTTCTCTGGCACTGCCTGGGATGAGTGCGCCAGGAAGGAAAGGGCGGTAAGCCAGAGGTAATGGCGCTCTGATGAGCTGGCCGTGAATTTCAGAGCGCGCTGGGGCGTGAGAATGAGAATTGAACGATTAAAAATGGTCTGGGCGCCTTTGGGGACAGGATTGTCGTCTTTGACGTCAAGGACGGATTGGATGGTAACTACCGCACAAGAAAGGTTAGCCTATGATGCCAAACAACCAAGCGAGCAGGCACTGGGCAATTTCAAGAATGAGGAGCAGGAAGAGCTTACGCTTGCGCCCCGTCTTTCCCATCAGCGCGCTGCCGGAAGAAGGCTGCTTGCTGCTCCATAGGATAGACCTCTCATACGGAGCGAGCCACACCCATCGCTTGTGGCGGTCATTGCCTGTGTCGTCCTTGCCGCTGGCATCGGGCACACTGAACGACTTGCGACGCCGGACATATTTGAACATCCATTCGCCCACCATGGTTTGCGCAATGGCATCGACGACGCCAGTTGCGTGAGCACTGCCCTGTGAGGTAGACAGGGGATCAGTATTAAGCGTGTTGTCGGTGTTGGTAGAAAGCTCGTGACGATGGCGTCTATACGAGGCGCCAAGTTCCTTGCCTCGCGGGGTTGTGATGTCATTGCGTGGCAAGGGAGGCAGGCTCGGACTCTCCGGCGCCTCCGTCGACACAGAAAGAGGCGGCGGGGATCGACTGCCATGTCTGCGGTATCGGTGATTGCGTGGCATAGCAGTTGCCGAGCGAACCCTGCGGACGCTGCCGCCATAGTAGCTGCCGCGACTGCTGCCTCTGCGGTAGGAGCTCTCAGCCCTGGTAGGGCTATAGTCCTCACTTGGTGAACTCATGAAGGAGGATGACAAGCGCTTGGAACTATCCCGAAGCGGTATCGGGAACGGGGGGTTGCGGCCATCGGGCAGGCTTGGGCTTCGTGACCTAGTCTGCTGGCTGGCAATGGAGCCTTGGATCATAGCGTGTTTACGAATATCGCTCGAGCGGCTGGAGCCAGTTCCAGGGACTGCAACTTTCTCCAGAGGTTTGCTGAGCTTTCGCCTATGGCTGCGGTTCCCAATGTCCATATCTGAGCGAGCACTGGTGCTGTAAATGTCGGTGCCATACAGTTTGGCGGAACCCCCGGTGGTATGTTTCGCAGCCGGATGCTCTGGGAAAGCCGTGGTTGCGCCAAAAGAGTTTCGTTTACCGGGACGATTCGTATTCGAGTACGGTCGTGGGGCCGAGAGGGCTGTGCGATACTCTGAATCGCTCACATCTGCCTCGGCAAACTCTTCTGCCTCATCGGAGCTTTGCGACTCAAAACCAGCAAAAAGTCCGCCATTGCGTCGGGTGACTCTCAGTCCGATGCTCTCCGTATCTTCATTACGCAGATAGGAGTCCAAAACATCATCCTCATCCCTAGCCCCGGAGACAGGCGACGAATGCAAATCGGCTGTTGCCTTACCACCTAGGCGACGTGGATTCCGTGGTGGGAGATTACCAGGCACTGGTGTAAAAGTCTTCTCGCGTTCAGGGCCATCATTATTGGGGGAAGTCGGTCGAGAAGAGATGGCAGAGGGCTGAAGGTGGGGCGGCAAGGTCGCGAGTCTCTTGTCTACTTGAATGCCCTCGGTCTGGACAGAAGCTTCCGTCGTCTGCACCTCATAGGATATGTTGACTTGGCAGCCAAAGTTTTTCATGTAGGGCGGCAGCATGGGCGATCTAGGTGTGGTCGGTCTGCTGGTCGGCGGCTGAACACTGATGCTAGGAATGGGCATAGCAGGCAACGGCGGTGTCAAAGGGGGCACAATGTTGAGGATTGGCATCTCAGGCTCTTTATCTGTCTGTGTTGCTGAAGATACCATGGTTGACTCCTCCGTTTCTGGGGGAGGTGTGACAGTCTCGAACATGGTCGTAGGCGTTCTAGGCGGACTCAATGGTGTAGCAATCGTCTGCGCAGCGGCAGAGATCATAGCTCGATGCTGGACCTCCTCAGCGACGACAGCTTTGCCTGGAAAAGTGCCGCGTTGGACTCGCTTGCGGCGCTGATTGGCCTCGATCTCATTGACTATGCGGGCGACATTTTCTGCCTCTGGCTTTTCAGTCGGCTCAATCTTAGGCGATGGAGGCGGGGAGAATTGAACACCGGTATCCCTGTAGCTTGTGGGTGGCATTATGGGAGCCGGCGCTTGCTTCTCGTCTTGGCCTTGTAAGATGCCAAGAACATTTGCATTGAAAAAGAGACGGGATCGAGCGGCGCTGGCGGGTCGGCTTGGGCTTTCGAGACTCAAATCTCTGCGGTGCATTCTACCCACAGGCGCCATGTCACGACTTATTGTGCGCTTGTGGCGGGGACTTGAAAGAACGCTCTCGGTAGCGGCAGCATCGCTGTCATCGTCATCCAGATTGAGTTCATCTGCCAAGCATGCTCCGTTGAGATTGTTTGGCCCAGGACTGTTGAGCAGTGAGTAGCGGAGGCTGCCAGTCATGCTCATGGTGCGAACACTAGCACCGTCATTGTCTCTCAGGGTCTCGTCTCCCTCGTCGTGCGCTTCTTGGTCGTTGGTTTGGGCATCCTGAAGGACGGCCACTTCTTCAAGCAGCGTCTTCAGTCGAGTTTCGGATACGTGAATTTTGCGCTCGTATTTGCGTCTCTCGTCCTCCCAATCACCCTTTTCTTTGGCCCACAGGTCGTGAACGCGTTGTGAGTCGTCCTCAAGGGTACGAATCTTCTTTTGGGCGGCATCGAGTCTCTTCTTGGTCTCAGCGATCGACTCAACCGCGTCGTCTCTTTCACGAGCCAGTTCTCCAAGAGCTGAAGAGGTTCCCCCTTCTAGAAGGGAAAGCTGACGCTTCAAAGAACGACTCTCCTTGCCGAGAGAAGTAAAATTTGCCTGTAGCGATTCATTTTCCTCCTTTGTAGAGAAAAGGGAAGTCTCGAGACTTTCGATGAGCTTTGTCTTATCTTCCTGGTCACGGCGCAAGGTAAGAATTTCGGAAACGAGGTTGGCATGGAGAGTTGGTGTAAATCGGCGAGGATCCAAAATGCTGATCGACTCGTCCATGGTAGCGTCGCGTGAAGAGCGCTTGGCGGCCTTGTCGACCAGGGCGGGTGAAATGGAACGATTTGGTGGTGTCCTGGATCGTCTGCGAGACTTTGCTGAGCGCGAAGAAGACCGGCGCGAGACCTGGCGGGCAGTGAGATTGCCTCCGTGCTCGTCTTCCGTCTCCCACTCCGTCATCTTGGCGATGAAATGTTGCAACGACGAAGGACGCGGTCACAGAGAAGAGGTTCGACAGGCACCCAAGATTCCCCGTATGGTGTTCCTTTTTTTTAATTAATCTTAGAGCCGCCTCTGCAGTTTCGAGGTAAGACAATCAGCGGGTCTGCCTGGGTAGTCTTGGAACCACCAAAATCCTTGCACGCGAGCTTTTGCGACTGACAGCTGCGAGAAGGATCGTACAGAAGGGCACATGAACCGGTAGCAACTAGACCTCGTCAGCGCAATTCTAGAATTCTGAAGTGAAAGGCTCTCAGTGAAATGAGCGGCCGGCATTCAGCAAACGACAAGAGACGTTTTGGTGACACTCCAGGCGGATTAGGCTGACTTACATGAGTAGCTAGCGTGGCGCGCCGCTTAAGCTGACGATGGAAAAAAAGAAATATCGCTAACGTTTCTGCAGGGGCAACGAGGCAGCACTGTTAACACTGTCGTTCATAATTTATGAACCCGGTCAAGACTAGTCGTATGCATGGCTATACCGTAGGAAATACTACTTACGTGCCGTCCAGCAGGAACAGAAAGAAGATGGGGGACGTCTTGAAACTTTGCTGCTCTTGTACTCGTTCAAAAAGTGGATTTGTGGTCGGCGTGGACAGTGTGCAGCGATTGGACAAGAAGCGATAGAGAAGACGGCGCGAAAGACTATAGGAGAGTAAAGAGTTGTGTAGGTCGGTTTGGATTCGCGGTCTGCGTGCAAGACAAACGGTAGGCAGGGCGGAAATAGTGGTGGATCGCGGCCGGCGCAATGGGTATTCAGATATCGGGGATTGAGGTAAGGCGAGCAGTGGCCAGACGTTTCGGAGCCACGGGAAAGCGATTCAAAAATTGGGAGACGGTGAAGCCCAATCAACAAGACATCATTTTGGAGCACTGTGGTTGGCAGTCAGTTGGGACGGTCGGCCGGTCGGGAGGTTGCGAAGAGTCGGTAGGTATCTCGGCGGTGACGGTGGTGGTAGTGGTGATGGTGGTGGGCGGGTTGGGCAACTCACACGAGTGTCGACGATGCAGACGAGAAGCATCCCGCAACCGAATAACTGGTGAATTCAAACTTGCACGACGCGTTTCTAATCCAACCGCGTGAAGGGTCGCAGAAGAATGGAGAAGAGGAAGAAGAAGAAGAAAAGAAAGAATAGTTGGACGGAGGAGAGGCAAGGAAGAGCTCTGACGAAATTTGGGCCGAAGTACCTGGACGTGGGTGTTTGGCCCTGGTCGGTCTAACTTGGTGCCAAGCTAATTTTTGTCGGTACGGAGTAGGGTGGTAAGTAAAGTTAGCAGCTGGCAGCCGACAGGAGTTGGCAGCTGGCAGCAGCTGGCAACCTTTTTTTCCTCCCTTGGGTGGGCTGCTGGCAGCTGGCAGCTGGCAGTTGGCACCGGGTACACTGTAATAGGGGGCGCGTTACAATGTATTGTATGTATCTATTCTACTCCATACAAAATAAACACATGGACTGTCAAGACGGGCAATTGTTTATGCAAATTGCCTTCAGCACAATTGTGGAAGAGAGGCCGTCTCATCTACATGAGTTATCTCTCCGGATCCCTTGCAGCCACTCCCGACCGGCGACAATTGCTTTTTCCTCCAGCACCAGCACCTCCAGCCCAGTACCTCCAGCAGTTCCTCCCCCCTTCCTGAATGCCGTGGTTGTTTATTTTAATTTTGCAGGGATTGCCTTCACTCACTCTGGAGCTCTCGCCTCCACCCAATCTCGACCCCAGTATTCATTCATCACAGCCCACTAATGTTTCGTTCGGCCACTCCAGTTCATTCATTGATTGATTGAGTGATTGATTGATGCGAACCCAACATGGCATCCATGCGTCCTCGGATGGATGTGGTGGCATCTCATCAATCCTTCGCATGCAGCTGCACCACTTCCGCTACTCTACCGCGTGGCACGGCCCAACAAAGGACAATCTCCTGCAACGAAACCCAATGGTGTGATTCCGACAAGAGCGTGCGTATGTGCCAGCATCCGAATATGCATGCCCTTGACCACCTGCCGTCTTTGCCTGTGCCTTTCGATCTAACTACTGACAGTTCCTGCATCAAGGCACCAATCACCAATAACTAACTACGGATAAACAGACTGCAGTGACACCAGACTTCCCAGCCAAATGGGTCACCCCCGACAAGGATCTTGTGATGAGCGACGCACCCTCTTCTCCTTTGGTACTGGTAGTTATCCAGTGCCTGGCCCAGCCTGTCGGAAGCCACCCGCCCTCCGTCACGACTCCGAGGTGAAGCCCACCCCTTTTTGCCAATTTGCCCCTCTCCACTCTGACCTCCGAGTGTTGTCACCTTTTCCAATTCTTCTTTGACCTTGCTAGGCGGCAGTCTACCGTCTCCTGTGACTGGTCGCCTACCAGCTGCTCACCCAGCAAGTAGTCAACGAGCGAGCGCCGAGCACTGACGGCTGAAATCGGCCCATCCAGTTGCATATCACGGACGATGCGCTGCGTCGCACGAGATCCCGTGTCATGGATGGATATCCATGCATTTTCACAAAGAATCCCATCTCCTAAGTACTGGTACCACGGCGCTGGATGTTGGCTGGCATGGGCGACACGTAAGAAACTATCAGCACATATGGCAATGTCAAACGCCAACTAGTTACTCGACAGAGCCCGCGTTCGGACAAGCCACTGATAGCCATGTCTGTTGGCCTATTCGCAATCACCCTCCTGGCTCCTGCGCAGTTGTTGATTAACTGCCCCTGCAAGGTCAATCACATCCCCCCTGTCTATGGCTTGACGCGAGAAACTCTCCTCTCCTCCCCTTGCTTCCTCCCCAAGCTGACGGAGCGGGGGAATCCAGTGGGCCGACAAGAGCTGCATCGTTGGCTCTCAGCTCATTGTGACCTCTGTGCCGCTTGAATTTGTGGGGGTACAGTAGAACGAGACAAGCCCATCGCTATCAAAGCCTGGCCGGGTACGTGCAGGGGTTCAAGGAGCAGGCCGGGCTGAATCAAGCACCGGCTGCCATGCTTTGAGTTGAGTTAGTTTTGGACGGCTTGTCCAGGTTGACGAACACACCTGCAGCTCCAAACCCAAAAATCAACAAGATGCGATTCCCGAAAAATGCTGAAGAATTGGCTAGGACGGAGCGCGGCGCGAAGCAACCCTACCACGGGCCTCGGTGGCAAGTCTAGACTGGGGGGCGCTTTCATGCTCTCTTCTCAATGCTCAATGGCCCTGACAAGCCAAAGCGAGTCCACCATACACGATTCGTTCCTTTTTGTCTTCCGTGGGCTAACGTGTTAGCTGGTTAGCTAGGGACCGGCCCGGTGCTCGGGCAAAGCAAATCTTTGTCGCCAACGACGGATACGCTACAACGAAGAGGGAAGAGAAAAGTCAGCAAGCCATCCATGGCGTGGCGTCGACCAAAAGTCCTTGTTGCATTTCCAGCTTGTTTCAAAAGGTTAAAAATAACAAAGAGAGAATAGAGAGATGGCGGGAGGCTGTCCCAATACAGAAGGAAATCATGTCGCTCACGTTGGCGTTGCAATTCGTTTCCACCTTGGACCTTCCTACAATCCTGGTCATTTGGAAAGGAGGGGAAAAAGCCTCCTCACCAGGCGAAAAAGGAAAAAACGGAAGAAAAAAATAGGGTGAGCGGCCGCGGCCCGTTTGGGGCCTTTCCTTGTGTCGAGCCCGTCTCCCGCCGATCCACAAGCCATGAGGCGTTCAGAAATGGTCATACCGCAAGCCACGCAGGGCCACGCAGGTGGAGGCCAAGAGGGAACCACTGGCTCTATTTTACCAAATTTGATAACTGTCGAAAAACGGCCTTCTTTTATTCGTAGTCACCGAAACGCGGAGGGAAGCAGCAAGCCTCGGCATGTCGGTGACTTGTCGCCAATGTCCACACGCGCAAATACCTAGTCAGGCATTGACCAACGGACGAAGCGCGTGAAATACTTACAAAGTCAGTCTTCAACTAGTTGGTAATTTACGGATAATAAGCCACTCGGATGCACAAACCCTCAACGGGTTGTCTTCCGGGGCCCCAGCATATGCGACAGAATGGAGGCAGCTTGGCAGTGATGCATGATGAATGCAGCGAAACCGGGTCGTCAATCCTCGCTGTGCTTTGTTAATTCCGTGCTAGCTCGACTTGTCATTGGTCCTCTGCATGCATTGCTCGCATTGACTGCAAGGCATTAATTAAGACGTAAAAATGCTGCATCTGTAGTGAGTGGTCCTTGTCGGTGCGCGCCCCGGAACACGCTAACATCGCTTCTCGCGAATCATGTTGAGGATGTGTGGTGATTGGCGAGGAAGTAAAATCTCGCTTCTCCTCGAATATAGTTTTTCTTTTCACTTCCTGGAAGGGTTGTCGTCCATGCAGCGACCTTAATAATATACCAAGGGGAGTCGGTCCTTGCCAATTTATTCCCGCCGTCATTTTTTATAGCTGCTTTAAACAAGGCCCTTTTTTCTTTTTCTTCTTCTTCTTCTTCTTCTTCTTCTTCTTCTTCTACTTCTACTTCTTCGTCATCTTGTTTCATCTCAAGAAACGAGATGAATTTCTCCGTTTATGGGCGCACCACCACGCACCCCGCGTGCCTGGCAATTTGTCAATGACCAATAGGTAAACCCTCCCTGCTCGACAACTGCCGAGCGAGAAAGGGGCGCACATGTATTGTTTCCTAGATGAATCTGCGTGGATACCCAAAGCCCCCTTTTTCCATTATTCAATGTCTCTGGGCGATCATGCGCCGATGAGGCAAATCTAGGCCCAGCCTGAGGTACCTAACAACGCGCGCGTGCCTGAAAATCGAGCCAGATGCTGGGATGGCATTCCCTAGAGACCTGTGCCTCAGATACACAGGCGCCATCGAGACGTTGAGCGCAAAGTACGCCGCGTGGCGTCGTCGACGTCGTATCCACCAGCTCGCTGCTCGTCGACTTCTCCTTCGTAGACAGACACTGTGATGAGCAAGCTTGGTCCTGCTCGCCCAACGCAGAAGGGTCAACTCGTTGCAGTCCGCATTACTTCTTATTATCAACGCCGTCTTTTAGCGCCGCCGTTTAATGTTGTTGCTTCTCCCCGCCCTCCGAGCAAGAAGTCCTCGACACCCCAGTCGGGCCGACCAGGAGTGTCACGACAACTTCGTCAATCATTTTTCTATTGGCAACTCTCCTAGCAATACGAAATCGTTGATGAGTGGTGCTTTTCGTCAACATCGACACTGCTGAGAACGAGTTTCCCATGCCGCCCGCGCCACCTTCCAGCTCTTCTGTTCCAGCCCCCAACACAGGCATTGCTATCTGAAAACGACGCAACATGAAGAGAGCCTCGACAATCCTCGCCATGTACCCAACATGGACCTTGCCGACGTGGCCGTTGAGTTGGATGACGCAGGGCTGTAAATCTCCGCGTTGTTTGACTCTGGCGAGGTTACCATTACTAAAGGCCAGCCTCCAACAGATAATGGCAACATTCTTCTTGTCGTTGCCAGCCTGCGAGGCAGCCTTAAGGTTCTTGACCACATAGGAGAGAATCTGCTCGTTGTGGGAAGCTATCTCGTCGACCATCTCCCTAGCCAGATGAATAAGTCCAACAAGGGCAACGTAGCGGACCTTTAGCTCGTTATTAAGAAAGAGGTTAATAATAGTAGACAGGAGTAGCTCAAGCTAGGTAAAGATAAAATTAAGGGCGCAAGTAGTATAGTTGCCTAGAAAAAGTATAACAGACATTCTGTAGCTAGAATCCAACTCGTAGTAAAGGTGGGAAACTGCTCCAGGAGGGGCACGATGACCTGGTGAGGGGGCAGAGAGTTGACAAGCTCTTCGACAAGACTAAGGGCGGATCTGGCCGGGAACATATCCTCTCCTTGAAAGGTGCTTCGAAAGGACGACTGGAGCGCCGGCATGCCCTTGGACAAACCATCCGTGATGCGCAGGAACTCTGACTCCATCGCCTTGGCGAATTCGACGAATTTCTTGCCCACCATCCTCGGCAAAAATACGACAGGCTTTGGAAGTAAGAGTGGGTAAAAAAACCATGGCTCATTTTGCATCTCTGGGACGGCCAGATGGCTTTGTGCTGGACAGGTCAATGGCTACTGAACTTCATCCAGAGTCGGCGCCGTCCCCATGTTTTGAGTTGAACCGAAGCATCGTAAGCAATGTTCCGTCTCATTGCACCCTCTGTTGCGTCAGCAAATAGAGCTCTCGAGCGCCCGCGAAGCTGCCGTCAAGACCGGCGCGGAAGAGGCCAGCAATGATGGCGATGATGGCGATGATGGCGATGATGAGCCCTAGCTGGACCACAATTCTGGGGAACCTCTCTCTTCAAAGATCACATCGTCTTTGTTTAGCTCATAGAATTCAAAGCCGACCCAGTAGCCGTTAATAAATAGTGATAACGGCGATGATGGCGATGTTAGTGATAATAGCGACAATCAGCTCAAAGAGGTAAGAATGTTGTGCCTCTCTCTCGAGCAACACAGGCGACGACCTACTTACTGACTCAGATGTTAGGGTATCTAACGACTATCGCCCACTCCTTGTCGGTAGAGGTCTTGACGGCTGTGGTCTTAAATGTGATTGTGGTGGTGACTTCGAGGGGTCCAAGTACACCCTTGGATCTTCAGTTTGGAATGCTGCTTCTTGTATGGTCGATTTTCACTGCTTTGTTAGTACACCTAATCGTGAGCCACCATTATTCATCACTCTCGCTATCTTCACATCACCACTATCATCACTGGCCTCTTCCGGTTTTCTCTATCCGTATAGTTTCGCTGAACCACAACTCAGTCCCATCTACACTCGTTCTATCTCATTATTTTACTTGACATCCAGTCAATTGAAACGCTCCATCTTACTATCATACTTGACATCCAGTCAATCGAAACACTTCCTCTCATTCGACTTTGATCCCCGATTACAATACCAACCGACTCTCGATCTACACTCCATATCAATGGCGTCTACGAAGCTCAGAAAGTCTCGAAACATGCAGAAGCCGGCGGATAAGATGCCAGCCGGCCTCTTTGACCTCCCTCCGAACTGCAAAGCATCATCTTCGAGTATGTCCCTGACGAACCATTCTTTGGGACCACCAGCACCGCAACGGCTGCCGCTTCCGCCCTACTCGAAAAATGTACAAGATTCAACATTCGACTGTACAGTACGCCTTGAAAGAAATAAGAAATACAAGAAAAAAAAGAAAGGGGCTCCGTACCAATGTATGTACATAGGTAAACAGCCACAAATCACAACACGGCTGGTTGGTACAGTCACAACAACACTTGGACAGAGAAAAGATATGGGCTCTGGCACGATGACCAACTCATGGCAAGGGCATTTATCGGCCCTTACTATGATCTGGGGAATTTACTTTGGATCTCTGCTATGAAGCTACTGCTTCAATCACGGCGAGGCCATGACGTGCTACAAGCAGATGCTCGCACAAGACAACAACCTGGCGATTGCATACAGGCATTTCTTTCCGCTCCGGCCCGAAATGCGACAACACCTGGCGGCTATTCTACAAGCAGGAGGAGAGACGTGTCCTGCTGTGGGAGGATGATGCTGGAAAGATGAGGATACCGATGATGTCGATCCGCTAGATATATGCCCACACAACCCAGCGGCGAAGGTATCGATGCCGTGCCTCCGGAGAGTAGAACGGTTCCGGAGTATACTTCAACGAGGCCTTAGGAGATAAGAGGTAGTCTTTACACAATAGTGATGGAATAAGAGATATCTAACAATGAATTCATGTCTGTTGATGGTTTCGTGGGGTGGCATCTCACGACGACCTTGATGCGAGAGCAAGAAGCATTGCACTGTCAACCCCAACTCGAGAAGATCCAGCTCAATGCAGCACCCCTACATATTGCCCTCATCCCATTCTCCGCCCCTACGCTCTCATCTCCTCCAGCCGTTCCGCCAAGGTTACAAACCCTTCCTCCTCCTCGTCGATCCAGAGATCAACCCACGCTCTCGCCTCCTCCAACCTCTTGTCATCCCACTCCTCCTCCCCCCTCCTCTTCACATACACCGTCCTCATCCCCGCCGCCCGCGCCGCCTCCAAATCCGCCATATGCGCCGCCACCATCGCCACCTCCCCCGGCCGCACCCCCAGCTCCTTCGCCGCGCCCTCGTACGCCTCCCTCGCCGGCTTGTACGCCCTCAGCCCCTCCGCGCACAGCAGCCTCCCGAACCCGAGGCCCCCAAACTCGTCCAGGTCCGCCACCAGCGCCGCGCTCCCGTTGCTCAGCGTCGCCGCGCGCAGCCCCAGCGGCGCCGCGGCCAGCCGCGCCAGGCCCGCCGCGCTGTCTGGCCACGGCGCCAGGCGGTGCCAGACCATGCTCAGCGACGCGACCTCGGCCTCCGAGAAGAGCCCGGTCAGCCGCCAGCCCGCCAGGAGCTCGACGAGGCTGTCGCGAAAGTGCGCGTCGGTGGTCTTGAAGGCGGCGGAGGCGTCCTGCAGGCCGGCGAGCGCCTGGGAGCGCACGAAGCGCCAGTACGAGGCGCGCCAGGCGTCGGCGAAGCGCGCGGTCCAGTCGGCGGGGAGGTGGGCGAGGCGCTCGCGGAGGTCCGGGGACGGGGCGGCGGCGCCGGGGGCATCGGCGGTGGTGATGGTGGTGGTGGTGGTGGCGAGCTTGCGGTGGACGCGCAGGTCGAGCTCGTCGATGACCGAGGTGCGCCAGTCGACGGTGGTGCCGAAGACGTCGAACGCGAGCGCCTTGACGGCGACGAGGGGGGATACGGCGCTCGGGGACATGTTTGTGCCAGTGATTGGGTGTTGTTGGAAGAGTTGCGGAGGCAGTTGTAGAGAGACGTGGTTGCGGAACTAAGCTGCCTCGGCTTCAGCTATCGCGGGGGCGGATGTCGTCATATATAGATGGATTGACCGGCGACGCTTGTCAGTGTGCTAGTTGGTATCTTATTTTCCACTCCTCACTTTGTGCCATTCAATTGGACATTTTTATTTTCAACATTTACATTGCTTTTCTCTACAGTCGACCGATGACTCAGACCAACTAGGAAGGCGATTTTAGTCTGCGCTGGCAGACGAATTGGCGAGTCACTGAGAAGCGCTACGCGTGATGACTTGATATCGGCGGTTCGAGTTGCGGCTTTATGGCGATGCTTCATTCGACTAGCCGAGTCAATTCGGCGACTCGTCATGTCACCCAGCTCATGTATGTATAAGCGAGTGAGAAAGACGACCAGAGCCGCGTCAACGGGCAAGAGCAATGGCCACTTCTCCAAGCCTTGTTTCCAAAGTCCGCTACATCTTGCATGTGAAAAGTGAAGATGGAGATGAGAAAAGAAATTCAACAAGCTGTGGCTAACTTATTCGTCCAACTCCCAAGCCAGCTCCCTTGTCTTGACCCTCCTTCTTCTTACTTGTTCGTCCTAGTCTGCTCATCCTGTATATCCAGCCTCTTGAACTAGACATCCCCCCCGACATGGCCGCTTCATCTTTCCATCCCGAAAAAAACCAAGAATTCCCCCCGGTCCAAGCTGCGGACATGTTGGCCATTGCTATTGCCTTTTTCAGCAACCACTCCGTTGTTTTCATCCGGCAGGGAACCGAGCGGCCGCCCAGGGTGCTCTCGAGGCCGCTTCCACAGGGCGACGACATGCACGATGCACATTCCGATTCTCAGTACACTCTGTTCATAGCTCCGCGTATACAAGTACGTGGCTTTTTCGGTACCTGCAACTCTTGGAAGATGGCCTAGCACGTCTATTATTATCCTCTCGACCTACGACCATGTTTCACAAGCCACAATCGTTTTGCCTTGGCACTGTGCATGTCCATCGCATCTAAAATAAAAATAAAAATAAAAATAAAAATAAAAATAAAATAAAAAGCAAGACTGCAATTTCGTGCAAACGACCTGCAACACCATGTAATATAAAGTGGCAGTGGCACTTGCATCTCGCCGACGTGGGATAGGCCTCCCGTTGGCCCGCGCGACTTGATCGAAAACGCCGTCTTCCTTGAGAACCGCGCAGTTGCATGTTCGTGCGCGTCTGTGCATGATGTGGTGTCTGCAGCGCGAAACCCCCAACGGGCGGTTTCTTGCCTTCGCGGGGTTCGTCCGTCCACTGATGAGGTGTCCAAGTCCTCGGCTCCGCTGCCGGGACTTCCGCAAAACCACGATGCCCGCAGCGGGAGAGAGCTCTAGAGAGAGAGACGGACAGAGTGCAAAAGAGGCATCTGCGATGGCGCTTTTGGCGCTCGCCGTGCATGTCGCGGTGCATGTCGCAGCCACACCCACTCTGCAACCAGTGTGAACTATGGGTGCTTGGTCCGTTTCTCTTCTCCGCCAGAGGGTTTACGGTTATCATCTGCCTACTGTGACAGCATCCAGAACGATACGATGCTGACAGCACAAGGCCGGCCGTGGCTGGGCTTGAGCAGGGAAGGGGGTGGGAAGAGCCGGTGTGTGCGCGCGCAAGGATTCTTTGTGCACTAGACCGTAACTTGGACGGCATTTCCAATCGTCTTGTTTCCGTCGAGGACAGTACATGACCGACCCGAAATCCTGTGCAACGCTGATAGCAGATCAACTGCCTCGGCGTCTGTTGTTGAGCGAGAACATGGTTGCACTGGTCTCATCAGGCATTGTAGGGGCGTTGCTGTTAGTGCCAGCGGGGTAAAGTGACGGGTTCATGGATCCGCGGGCTGCGTGTGCTGGTGCTGGTAGTATGTTATCAGTACCAACGAGTACGCCTGCCTTTCGTCTGTTGTTCCGTTTCCTGATTAGCCGTCATATAGTGTAGTTTGTACTGTGCTGGTCAAGTCTTGATTCCATGGAGTTCGGAGTCAACGTCAACCCCGTTAGCTTTGCTTTGGTTGAGGAATGGCCCTCTGCATTTGGCGTCTGTGTGGCTTTGTCGTCGGTCCAAGAGACAAGCCCGTGGCTTGCAACAGGTGGAGAGCCATTGTTTCGAGAGGGGAGTGAGTGCTTGTGTGCTGGTAAACTGGGACTGGAAAGGAAGAGCTTGTACGCGATATTGGTTGCCTCAAGTTGATTGACTGCTTTTAAGCATTGACGAATCTCATCAAATCTCTTATCCGTCCCGCTTTTGGGGCGGCCATCACCGCAGTAGTAGCATCATCTTTCATGCGTTGCCACTGTACCAGAGATGTTCTTAGTTTGTTACCGAGGCAGCCAAGCTGGAAACCCAGCCACGAAACAAGAGGGTGCTCATCAATGGTAAATGATACTGTTGTTATTAGGGTTACTTGTCCAGCATCAGGCTAGACATACCCCCGGGTACCCAGGCTTGCATCATGAGCAGTCCGTGACAACTTGTTCATGCGGCTACTGGTCGTGGCCCAGGCTTAGTTGGGTGGCACCGGCTGGGCAATGCGAGTCAATCCGGCTCAAATCGTCCAAGTGGGCTTATTTTTGCTCTTGGGCGCAGGGATCAAGGTTGAAAGCTTGCAGTAACTTGCAGTAACTAGTTGGGGGGTCTGGCTTGCAGGAGCAGCGAACGCCTTTTCCTTGGGTAGCACACGCATCATCATGGGAGAAAAAGAAAGAAAACAAAACTCACAAGCGAGACACGTGTGCATCAAGCTGGACGTGAGGAACCAACCAACTAGTTACGAGGAGCGACATTTTAGCTTGTTGCACGCAACGGTCGACTTGCCAGCACCAAAGCACGTCTTTGGCCTCGTTCTACTGCCTTCTTTATAGGCCGACAGAACCTAGACATCAACAGGAAGCTTTGAGAAGAAGAAGAAGAAGAAGAAGAAACTCAAGTGACGAGGGGAGCATGCGACTAGTTGGAGTCCGTTGCAGTCCGTGTGGGTGATTGCTGCCCAACAAGGCGTGCGCCGTGGATGGTGGGCAGATGCCAGGGCGCCGCCGGTGTGCCAGCCGTCCCGAATCGGCACCGACCTCCGTGTCTTGCGCGCGTTTTTGTCGCGAGTGCGGAGGTTATGTGGTCGAGATGCCCTCGAACCACAAGTGGTTGGACCGCAGAGGAACAAAGGACGGGCGGAGAGACAAGGACGAAGACAATAGACGAGGCTGGGCCAAGTCTGAGCGCAATTACCCATTGCTTCGACAGCCATCGGGAACTCTCTGTTTTGTCAGGGAGATGCGGCACCGACAAAAATCGTATCGAATGGCCGCCGAGATGTATTTATTACCCATGTACTCGGCAACTCAATGTTGGTTGGTTACACAATCAAAAGGTGTAATGGTAACAGCGACAAGGCTCGGCTCCCCTCTACCGCTCTTCGATCCATGTCTGAGATGAGTGAGAGTCGAGATGCCGCATGCATTCACATGTCGGTGGGGAAGGACTGGTAACTAGACAGACAGCTGCAAGAATTTTTGTTGCCATACTTTGAAGCTGCTTTATATACATAGTCATTGTTAGTTCGTTTTATTAGTGCTTTTCCATGCTGTAGCTCTCCATGTAGCTTCGCTGATATCGTCCAAGGTGGGCTGGAGACTGTCCCCCACTTTAGACGGGTTGGGCAAGGTGGACTCCTCAGTCTTGAAAAAGAAATAGATGATGAAGAGAGGTTGTCGATGGGATTCTTGCTAGGACTTGACAATTGCTTGGTAGGATGTTCGTATCCGTAGTTTTTGGTAACTTGTTGCGTGGAACAATTGACCGTTTTTGACCAGGCCCTGCGATTTCCAAGGCAGGTCGATTCGAAGCTAGCTGTCTCTCGCCTTGTCTTGCTTTTTTCGGGTCCCTTTCTTCGACTTGTGTTGCGCGACCATTGTTGGAACTGTCTTGTATGCCCTGCATTGTCTGCCTTGGCTTGGCTGTTGCTTTTCTTGGAAACACAGCTTTTTCCTCTGTCCTGAAATGTGCATTTTTTTTTTCTCCTTTTTTCTTCTTTGCTCTCATGATTACCAGTGGTTTGACCGTCCAGCTGGGCGCGGGTTCGGGACGCTAACTAGTTCATTAGTTGCTTGAGCGGATATCGAGATTCGAGAGCACATGGCTTCTGCTGATTTTATACCCACAGCGAGCCCATTTCAGCTCACCTGGCGAAGATGGAAGAACTTGCCAAGTACCTTTCTGGCAAGGGGACCCAAAAGGACTCCATCCTCCCTCCACCGGCAGACCAGGCGCAGCGTCCCCGAACCAACTGGAGGGCGAGGGTAAGGACGAGGCCGGCGTTTGTCGCGCCGCCACGAGACAGGGCAAGAGGAGCGGCATTGGTTTCGACGGCGACTGGTACTCTATCTGTACTCTGGCACGGGTTAAACAGGAGCACACATCCCGATAGGTCACATTTTTCTCCATCTGATTGGTAAACAAGCAGTTCTCGCCGGGGAGGCGGGCGGGCTGGTCTGTTTCTCTTGGTCTCGCGCCTGGACCCGCCCAGGCTGTTCGTCTCCACCAGGAAACTGTGGGCAGACAGCAGACATGAGCAGACAAGAGGAGTGAGGCTTGCCAGACGCCAGGCAACCGGGGGAGTTGTCAACTTTGTCGAGTGAGGGCGAGTGAGGGCGAGTGATGTCGAGAGCCTGTCGAAAGCTCTGTTGAGAAAGGTGGAGGTGGTTTGTGTGTGAGGTGTGCACCCGTGAGCGCCCGCTTATGCCGCAAGTACCAGCAAGTGTTGCAGTATGTACCTGTATTAGGGCAGGCAGGCTGGCAGGCAGGCAGGAAGGCTTGGGGGGGTGTGTATCCGCGCATGTAACCGTAATCTGTGTCAAGTATCCGTATTGTATGAAGTATTGTTTTGCGCGCAGATATTAAAAGCCCCAGGCTGCTCCAATTGCCAGGACCATGGTGTTTCCTCTTGTTCCTTTTTATTCTCGCTATTATGATATTATTATTTTCAAAGTGCCACTCCAAGTTACCCCCTGTCAATTTGGCTTGTGCCAAGGGACTCCCCCCCTTCTCCCCTTTGAGCAGACGCCAACCCAACCGCCCGTTGCACCAACACGCAAATCCAGACCGAAGGTCCCGTTATAGCAGCGGGGATGAGACGGCGCCTTACAGATAGATACAAACACGAATTGCGAACCAAGTCAGCAACGGGCAGGCAAATTGCCAGGAAACAATTCAATTCAACTGTATGGTAACTACCTGCTGCTGTTTAAGGTAGCCAAGTACTAAGTACTGTAGGTATCCGTAAAAGCGTGCTCAACTCAGCTAGAGCCCTGTACCGGGACGCCTGGGAGCGCTACCGGTGGATTGGGACCCCGCTACTGAGCTTTCCTTGCTCGTTCTTACTGGAAGCTTGAATTGGAGAGGTGGGAGACCCCCGCTGGCGAGTTCCCCTCCTGGGGCTCGTTGATCGCTGGGGCAGGGTGCAAAGCATCGCAGCGAAGCCACGTACTCCCGTACCCATCCCTCAACTAGCTTGGCTGGCGGAGCTTGTTTCCTGCTACCAGAGTTGGATGTTTCGATCATGGCAGAATTGTCAAGTTGTACTTGATCTCTGGTTCTCGAACCAGATTTCAACCATCTGGGTACGAACCTATCTATCAACGCTTCTACCAGTCATTACCTTAGTAGGTACCTGTTTTCGGGGACAGGACTCTATTAGCGCCACCTCGGTCCACCTTGAACGCCCGCAGACTTTGGCGCGCTGCCAATTGCTCAGGGAAGTTTCCGCGCGTACTCGGTGCACATATCAATCCAAGAACTGGTAGATGAGGCTGGTATGGACGTACATACATCTGTGCTGCTGGGTGCTAGTTAATAATAGATACAATACGGATTAACTCGCATGTTGGGAGGCCGTTTGCTCACCGTGGCCGCCACCAGAAGCCCGCCAGCTAATACAGGTAGGTATTAATGTTGCTCGCTCTGTTTCCGGTACATATACCCACGTACAAGCTTAGCTGGCGCCGTAATAGCTCGGCGTAGCTCTTCAACGTCCATGGACAGGTCTCCTCGAGGTCTACTAAGTAACCCGCCTGCCCAGAGTAGGTACCTACAACCTAGGTATGTTGTATACATACATAGGTAGTAGTCCTCACCAGCCATTCTCTCCTCTGTGCCAGTAAACCAGCCCACGCCCGCACGACTCGCCATCGCTCATCAAATACCAGAAGACTCGTAAATGGATGATTGATGAACTCAACTGCTGGCAGTACATACTAAACGAGCCATCTACCTTGTCTTGGTACATGTTAATCTATTTTCCGTGCCGGCATACTTCGGTACTTGCCTGCCTCCCTCCCCATGGATAAGGTACCGTACTCGACCTTGGGGTAGCTCCCTAGGCACGCAAGCAGCAGCTTTGCTCTCCTCCCTGACTCCTCACTGGCTCGCCGCACCGCCACCACACATCCACTGTAGGTCTGCTGTGTCTGCTGTGTGGTTCCTCTTCAGCATCTGCCTCCCCTGCCTCTACCCTCCCTCTACACTACCTCACTTCTACCTCCTACCAACCTTGTCTACCTCTCTAGGTCACTTACTGTACCTTGCCTACCTCAACCTCTCCTAATAAGCTACCTACCAACCAACCTACATACCTTGCTTGCTTGCTTGCTTGCTTGCTTGACCCATTCCCGTCCCTATTCCTCCTACCCCGTCTCTTCCTTTTCGATCTCTTTTTTTTTCTCGCGCGTCTTTCGCTCTTATTATAGCCGCCTCACATCTCTCTCTCTCCCTCCCTCCCTGCCTCCCTCCCTCCCTCCCTCCCTCTCTCCTTTTGTTGTCTGCATCCTCGTTACCTCAATTTCTCGACCCGAACCCCCCTCCTTCCTCTCCTCACGCCGACTACGCTCTTCCCCTCTTAGTACGGACCAGCCGCTACTAACTAGGTCGCTCCTTGAACCCCTCCCCGCCCCCCAACAACGAACGCTTCCGCCTTTGTCTACCTCCTTCGACCTTTCGACCTTCAATCTCGACAAAATCAACCCCGAGCTTCTCAACCACACTCAGTCGCCCATTATGGCGGGCCGAATGGTCTTGTACAAGCTCGTCGTCCTCGGCGACGGTGGCGTGGGCAAGACTGCCCTCACCATTCAGCTTTGTCTGCAACACTTTGTCGAGACTGTGAGTATTGCGCCAGTTCAGCCCCAATCCCTGCCAGCCTTTGGCCTCATCCTCATCAACCTCCCTCGCGCTGCTCTCGCCCGCCAACCATGCAAATCCAAATCTTCTTTACCTTTCCCATCGATTGGCCTTGTTCAATCCGCTGACCCTTCCTCTCCCCCAGTACGATCCAACAATCGAGGATCAATACCGAAAGCAGGTCGTCATCGACAGTCAACCATGCATGCTCGAAGTCCTCGACACTGCCGGCCAGGAGGAATACACGGCCCTCCGCGACCAATGGATCCGTGATGGCGAGGGCTTCGTCCTCGTCTACAGCATCGCATCCCGCTCCTCCTTTTCCCGCATCAAGCGATTCCACCACCAGATACAGCGAGTCAAGGAGTCGTGCGCCTCGTCGCCCTCCTATCCCGGCTCCCCCATCTCCGCCGCCACCCCGCAGCTGCCCGTTCCCATCATGCTCGTCGGCAACAAGAGTGATCGCGTCACCGAACGAGAGGTGTCTACGCAAGAGGGCCAGGCGCTGGCCCGCGAGCTCGGCTGCGAATTCGTCGAGGCCTCGGCCAAGAATTGCATCAATGTCGAAAAGGCCTTTTATGACGTCGTCCGCGTCCTCCGTCGCCAGCGCCAGCAGGCCTCCCGTCCCCAGGGCGCAGCCAGCGGCCGTAGTCGCACAGGCAACGGTGACATGGGCGGCCGCGACCGTGATTCCCACAAGTCCCGCCGCAAGGACGGTGAGAAGAGCAAGGGCCGCTGTACCATTTTATGAGCGACTCGAGTCCAATGTCCGACTTGTTGCTTGCCATCTGGGCGGCTCTACTTATGCACACCACCTCTACCACCATGACCATGACCACCACCAGCGACCTCTCCTCCCGCTCCCTGCAATTTGGCTCCCACGCAATCATCCCGTCTCGGTTTATTTTACTCAATCGCCCTTCCCACTCGCTTCGGTGGTCCGGTAGACGGCATAGCCTTGGCAAAACCAGGCCTCGACAACTCCTACTCTGCAACATATGAGACTCGACAATGACGCACTCGTCACTGTCGCCTCTCGAATCGGCGAACGGCGTACGAACACCAAAAGAAAGAAAAGAGAGAGGCATATTATTTTATTTTTATATTGGGGCGCTGGGTCTTTTTTTAACGACATTTACGTATTACGTCTCTTGGCCAAGGTTGGAAATGCTCTGCTTCTGCTTCTGTTTCTGCTTTTCAGTAGCCACATGTGTGGGAGCCATCAAATGGTCACATCCCTTTTTTTGTTCTCACTGTCCTTTCTTCTCGCCTTGATTTTCCTTGCCACGGTTACTTCCAATCTTCCCCTTGTCACCTTGCTCTCCGCATACAGACTGATACATGACTGGCCGTGGTTCTTGGGACTGCATAATACGAAGCAATGGGAGGCTTTTGCGTTTGTTGTTGTTGTTTTTTTCTTTTTATCTCTTTTCCACGTCTATACTTGCAAAGAAGAATGGTAAAAAAAAACAAAGAGCTGCAGAGCGACAGACTATACATATTTGGTTGATGCTAAAAGACATTCGACCCATTTCCAAAATGTCCATTTTGTCCTGATGCATATTGTCCATACTGATCCTTGTAGACGTCAATGAGAGGAGTCGACCACCAAGAAGCCAAAAAGAAACTAACAAAAAAAAGTGCTCCAGAATCAGCAGCCACTTGGCAGGGGCCAGCGGAGGGTAAGTGGGCATGGGATGGATGGATGGGAACGGAATGCACCTGGTTGACTCGCACGGCAAACGAAGCCATGCAAGCCACCAAAGCACACAACCACCTCTCTCTTTTTTCTGGGTTTTTGGTGTTCGTTTTTACAGAAGAAGGGGGGCTTGTTAAACAGGCACAAGACAACTAACCACGAACAACAAATTCACTCACGCGCACCCCAGACTCACGTTGACATTCTCTCACAGGCAAAGGAGATTTACATTCACACTCGCCCGTAGCGAGATACACCCACACGCAGAGAACATTGTTAAAAAAAAGTATATTCGTCTCTGTAATTGAGGATAAAAGGCAAGAAAAAAAAAGAAACCCTGGGACAACTGCTGTCGGTACCGAGAAGAAGAAAAGACCGCTAAATGCCCACCACAAAACGACAAAGAAAAATAGACAAGCTCCCATAAAAAGGTAGGGAGATGAAAAGAAGCATGAAATGTTGACAAGATAACAAATATTCCCAATCCGCGTCAGTAGAGGTGAGAGAGAGAAAAGAACTCGCCCCCAACAGCATCAACGCTGTCCCGTCTGGTCAAAAGCGCCTTGTCCGTAATTCTCCGGCTAAAAAAAAATCCCCCGTCAAAAGAAAAACACACAAAAGTGTCATATGTGCTTGGATAGAAAAAAAGTCTTGTTGGTTCTTTTTGTCTTGTTTTTGTTCTTTTTTCTGATTGAGTTCCAGATTCCGTCGTTATTCCTTCGTAGCATGTTCATCGCCAAAAGGCCCATCTGTCTTGCTCGTCTTGTGAGCGTCACCATCACCCTTTTCTTCGCTAATCGCCGCTAGATTTGCCGCTTTGCTTGTGTTGCTAGGAGGGTCGGCAAACGGACTCTTGACACGCGGTACTACCTCTTGGGCAATGTGGATGGTGCCAACGTCCTCGGAGCTCACATTGCTGCTGCCCAGGGAGTTGCTGGACGATGCGGCGGATATGGAGCTGACTTCTTGCTTGGCGCCAAGGTCAATCTTCTTCAGTCCACCGACCTTGACCACCTGGGCGCGACCCTGCGTGGCCGTATATGTTGCGCCGACGCTGAAGGTGCTGACTGTGCTGTCGGGGCGGTTGGGCGGTGCGAATCGCTCCATGTCAATTACGGGCACAGGAGGCGCGTTGATGCCCGGCTTGACGCTGACGACGGTGGGCTTGGCGCGCATGCCGGCCTGCGAGGCCGTCTGGACCTCGGCTTGTCTGCCGTAGATAGTCGAGGCGATGCTCGAGCGTGGGGCGTACGAGGTTCTATCCGATGTCGTGGAGAAGCCAGAGTAGGTCGAGTCGCGAAGATTGCCGGGCACGAAAAAGTGCTCGGAGCCGTTGGCAGCCTCTGTGTGGTTGACAGGGATGGGAGGGACGGGGGGCACCAAAACATCTGGCGAGGTCGGAGTGGCGCGATTCGTGACTCCGGGAATGTAGGCAATCTGGATGATGTTGGAGGCGCGAGTTAAGACGGTCGACGCAATTGAGTGTACGGTGTGCGTCGAGGCACGGCGGCCAAGGCCCGCCTGGCTATTCTTCTCAACGCCCCGTGCGGGAGTGCTGTCGGCTTCGTAGATGGAGGTATGGCGGTCATCGAGGCGGCTGGCTCGCTTTGGTTTGATGAGGAATCGCCAGACGAGGTATGTGATGAGGACAATGACAATGATCCCACCGACAACACCGCCAGCGATCGGGCCGGCACTGGGGCCGTCGTGGCTTTTGGTGGTCGGGTTGGTCTTACTGCCGCCGCTGCCGCCGTCGCAAAAGGCTTTCGGACATTCTGTGCAGCTCTGAGTAGTGAATCCACAAACTTGCCCGGCAGGACAAGCTGGACAGACGAGCCTTTCACCCCCGTTGCAAGCAACGCAGTTATCTTGGCGGACAAGGAGTTTGGCGGCTGTTCGGCCAAGTTAGCATTGGCACGCATTTTCAATCAGGAGAGGGGCCACGTACAATAGTTGAGAGACGACAGGTCCCGCGCAGGCGAAGTGTTTCCTGCCATTTCTGCCGCAGGTATCGAGGGGTATGCTTCTCTTGTGCTTGAAGATGAATGTGTCGAGGGATTAAAAGTCGGCAGGTGTCGCAATTGCGGATGATGCAGTCGCGAGATTGAAATGAACGTGAGGCGGAATCGAAAACAAGGCGAGCGTTAGAAGGGAGGGTATTTGTCGATAAGAATAATAGGCGAGAATTATGAAGAAACAAGACGTAGAGTCGGCCAGCGATCGAAAGACGTGAGGAAGTAGGGGTTGTGGAACGAGTGTGCAGAGAACTAGCTCTGATTGAATATGCGCGGAAGAAGGGAAAGAGGGGGTGATTCGAGAATCAAGCGACAGACATAATTGTCTTTATCGGAAGTCGACCAGGATGTTTTGCCGGTAAAGGGCTGGTGATGTCGAATTTCGGGCAGTGATATGTCGAGTGAGATAGATGGAGGAGGAGAGGAGGAGAAGAGGAGCGTTTTGGGGCGTCTGAGACGGTCGGGACCCGGGAACCTGCCTGTCTGTTTCCTTCAACGCTTTGGTGGATGGAATAGCGTAGTGGGCGGCGCGCAGGAGCGCCAGGGACAGGCACTAAAGGTACCACCGTTACAGCAGACTCAGGTGCTGCCACAGCGTTGAAGAAGGCGTCTTTTTCAGCGCTGGGGCCAAGGGGCAACCGCCCGCTAGGCCCGAGAGAGGATTAGCTGGCCAAGCCCAATCTATGCGCATCCCGTCGCACGGTGCAGTCCTAGCTTCGTCAGCTCAAGATACTGCAGGCTGTCTACCTGCTTAACAGATCTTGTATGGCATCGTGCGATGGAAATCTTAATGCAGGATGCCTGCGCAGGTCGCGCTCCAGAACCACAGTGCACCCCCCCAAGAGTGCGCACTGTACGCTAGCCCACCACACCTGCCAGTGCAAGCCTACCAATTTACAGCGGCCGACCACCACTTCTGCAACGGCAGGCCCGCTGGAGTCCACTAAAGTCCCCTCGGCTGGCCACTGTCGTCAGGTACCATACTTGGTTAATTTCAAGCAGCCAGCGAGTAAAAATGCCGCGAGCTGTTATTCTTGTTGATTGCGCAGATCGGGGTGCATTTGACAAAAATGAGGGGCAAGTTTCGATAAATGTCAACGAATACCCGTGCGGCGCCCTCTCTCTTGGCTGTGGCGTGATATTGGATGCTGCTGTGAATGAGAGGTCACGACAACGAGGTTGCACAACGCGAAAGGCTGCATTCCAAGCCCGCCTCCACTCTACCTACACGTCGTTGCACATCGGCGTATGTACGAGGCAGGATTTCATTGTCAAATATGTTAGTAGTTACACGAGGCGAATACGTTGCCGTTACCAATTTGGCGTTCATTTCTTCTTTTCGCCCTTGCTTGCCACGGTGTACTGCTCCCGGCGGCCCATTGCCTCACACGCACAGACAGGCCGACCATGAAATCCATCTACTCGAGGCAACTCGATAAGTAATAAATGCGAAGTAGGAAGCGGTCGGTCGTCTCCGGGTTTGTGCGTGCATCGGCTCTGCATGTCATATCCGTAGACCCATGAGCTTATTGATCCCCGAGAGATCGCTCATGGTACGTGAGCGTAGCTGGAGTAGCTGCCGTGATCAAGCACCCATTGGAACGCGGGGCATAGGGGCCATCTGTTACCGAGAATCGAATGAAATATTTCAATAGGTAGAGGGGAGGGGGATTAGGTCTCATATATGTGAATGGATATCATGCTTATTCGCTTCCCGCCTCGGTGAGTTTCTGAAACGTACTACGGCGTCGCATATGGCTGTAACAGCGCGCGTGGGTCACGGCATCGCGGGACGGCGATCTCTGCATCAGGCGCATAATAGAGAACGAACTTATCGGTGCATTCCGTGTGAGAGTTCATTGCCGCCTTGTGGATAGTTGGCAACGTGCATCTCTGGCGGGTGCGTTGTCGTGTAATCCAGCCCACATTACGCTACCATCAAGCGCCAGTACTACCCTAGAGTTAAATGATAAGGGCAGAGGTATCGTTCTTTCAACGGAGTAGTCGCAACAACTCCAGAGGCCAAGTCACGAGTAGGCCAAGCGGTACGTTGTGCCTGAAATCGCAGCTTAGTACATGTGCGCCAGGTAGACGTACATGCGCGCCCCCTGGGCCGTATCTCGTCCAGAGCGGCCACAGCAATCATAGGGGTCACATCCTCGATGGCGGTACTCTGTCGAGGACGAGTCGACTTGTTAGACACAGACAAACTTCAGACTACGGGTATCCGGGTCATTGTCTGGCGGGTTCATCGGCCCAACCTGCCGCGCCACCAGTTCAACGAGATTCGGACACGACTAGCAAGATACTCAGCGCCAAGCGCAAACCTTGGGCATCGGAGAACGCGTGGCCTCAGAAGCAAAGGGAGGTAACTGGCAAGCCGGGAAAGCCACACACTAACGGACGCATGTTTACGAGACAGATTTGTTTTGCATGAACCCAAGACAGGACGGCATCCATCATGGTGGCCGGCAGCTTTGCCAGCAATGTGTTTGTTGGTGGAAGAGTGTCTGCTCAGCACAGTGTGGTGTGGTGGGGTTGAAGCACAAGAAGGGCTGGCCGGCTGGGTACGAGCGCGTAAAAAGGGTGCAAGCCATGCCTCCATTAGAGAACCAGAGAAATTTGAACTGGCTGATCCTTGAGGAAAAAATGGTTGATCAACATGCGCTACTATTTATGAGAGCCAGAGAGTGGCTACGGATGGAATGCGTGGAATGAACTTTGCTAGATTGGCAGTGGTTGGTTGACCTGAGCACCGCCTCAGTGAGGAGCCGCAGGACACAGGCTAATCCCGGGTCATCCAGGTTGCTATTTTTGGGCACAGCCAGCCGGTGTCCAGGACCCACTGTGATGTGCGTGGCCTTGATTCTGCTTTGCCTCTCAATACGTGCTTCTCCTGAGGAGCACCCGACTCAGCATGTATTCTGCTTGCTTGCCGGTACATTCAATTCTCAGGTGAAAGTACGTTGCGAGGCGTGTTATAACTATGCTCCAATGATATTCTCTTCGTATACAAGGGACTCGTAATAAGGCCCGCAGCGAGTCGCGTAAGTGATCGCCAAGTACGGAGTACAATCATCCGACTTTTGTCCCCCGCAAACCGAACCAGAGACAAAACAAAGTTGCATAGGACGAACCGTATATATGGAATTATCAGTTGCCTCTGGGAGTGAATGAAATTTCAGGCTCGCTCTCATTAACTACTAGGCCAGGTCGGCGGTTATTATGCGTGCGGGAGCCTCACCGGGTGACTTAACGAGCAAGCCCCTGATTGCGGCAAACCTACCTCTGGCTCAGCCTCATCTGACGGCTGTAAAAAGCTTGTGGAAGACGAAAATAGCATAAGAGATGGGATGGACGTTATTTTTATTAACCCAAAAAGGGATCGAATCCAGCAGCAACCGTAGGAGCTGCCTCTCGGCTGTTGACCTCGAAGTATCCCATATGATATCTCAGTTAGCTCGCAGGGGGTCTGCGTCTGGGAGTCTCACATAGGCTTTTGGGAATACAGCCGGGATATAAAGGCTCATATTGAGAAGAAAAAAATCCATCAAAATTTCCTATCGAAATTGAGACCAAATTTAGCCTCGGTTCCTTTTCCAGGACGCGCCTTTCATCCATCAAAAACACCAGCTTGTGCCCGTTGAACCCAAGCCGACGGCCTGTTGGTTGGGGCCCTTTTCGAGTCCCCTTTCTTTCACCAGTCCAGTGGCAGTGGACGATGTCTGACAGGCTCCACAGTGGCCATGGGCATGGTGGCTCAGCGGCACCCGCCGCCAAGCAGGTATCTCAAAAACCCACTTCTCGAACTTCAATCTTGTACAGAAAAGATGTTACAGATATAAAGCCCTCATTTTTTTCTCAAACGGTTGGATCAATGTCTGGGCTGAGGCAGCTTCTCTGTAGATTTTCCTGTGAAAAAAAAAAAAAAAAAACTGCTGTCTTGGATGGAGGGAGTCAAGGGAGACACAGGGGGTTATTTTGGCCACTCACCAAACTCAGCTTTGCCTTGCAGCCTCTTGCAGCCTCGTAACCGGGCAGAAGCTGCCTCGCACCACCTGGCCAGCCAGCCTGTTACCCATCCTCCTGCGCGCTAACACCACACTGTAGCCACTTAGCTTCCACTCGAGATACTTGATTCCCCGCCAAAGATACACGCAATCCACGGTACCCGCCATCGTTTGCCTTGCTTGCCCCCGAAACATCACCCTTGCTGCAAAACGCGCCAATGCTTCTCACTGCCCTCTTTGTGCATGCCGTCAGTTCCCTTTTTTTCTTTCTTTCTTTCTTTCTTGGTACTTCAACCATCTCCTCCCTGGCCCCTACATCGCTTCGTGATTCTCCCCCCTCTTCCATCTCGTCCCCCTTTCCCCTGCTTCCCCATCTCAAACCTTATTCCCAGCAGGTCGGTTGCCGCGCAGTCTTTGTTGCTGTGCTGCCCTGACTTACTGGCGTCACCAACCTTGGGTACTACTAACATCCTTACCGCCTACAGCTCACCTACCCTTATCCATCCGATCACCTGGCAGCTCTCACGTTACTGCGCCGCCGACGCAATAAAAACACAGACATTTCACAAACGTTTCTTCACTTCTGCATACATCAACACACACCCAACCGTCGGCTGGCCGCTTCACCCATCACCATCATTGTTTGCGCCACCCACCACAGCCTAATCACACCAGCATAGCGTTTCTGTTTGCTCCCAGGAGCCCCCCCCTTACCACCATGGCATACAACGGCCAAAATCGCGATTACGCTGGTGGTTCTGGCCACCAGCTTACTGATTTGCCCCCGGGCGGCAATGTACGTCTGCTCGCGACCCCTCTCCCACGCCCTAACCGTCGGCACCTGGACTGACCTCCCTAAAGTATCATATGCCCCCCCACGAGCACGAAGAAGAGGCTGGCCGCTACCTCCTCAACGAACAGCCCGGCTCCGGCTACGAGCACGACCGTCTCGGCGCCCCCCAGCCTCCCGATCGCCCTGTTTCTACCTACAGCTTGACCGAGTCGTATGCTCCCGGCGCTGGCCAGACTGCGTCCCAGCCGCACCAACCCGGCGGCTACGAAAGCTACGGCGCCGGCGGTCAGTACGGTCAGGACGGCCAGTTCATCCAGGCGCACGACTTCCCGTACGGTCGTCCCGCATCCACCGTCGAGGATGAAGAGGAAAGCTGGATGGCGCGCCAGCAGCAACCTGGCGGCTTCGGCCGTGGCAACGGCAGCGGTCTTAAGCGTTTCAACACCAGAAAAGTCAAACTTGTCCAGGGCTCCGTCCTCTCCATCGATTACCCCGTCCCCAGTGCCATCAAGAACGCCGTCGAGCCTCGCTACCGCGACGTCGAGGGCGGCAACGAGGAATTCATGAAGATGCGTTACACCGCTGCCACCTGCGACCCCAACGACTTTACCCTCAAGAACGGTTACGATTTGCGCCCTCGAATGTACAACCGCCACACCGAGCTGCTCATTGCCATCACCTACTACAACGAAGACAAGGTTCTGCTCTCCAGAACCCTTCACGGTGTCATGCAAAACATTCGCGACATTGTCAACCTGAAGAAGTCGACCTTTTGGAACAAGGGCGGCCCGGCCTGGCAGAAGATTGTCGTCTGCCTCGTCTTCGACGGTATCGAAAAGGCCGACAAGAACACCCTGGATGTCCTGGCCACGGTCGGCATCTACCAGGATGGTGTCATCAAAAAGGACGTCGACGGAAAGGAGACGGTTGCTCACATTTTCGAGTACACCTCCCAGCTCTCTGTCACCCCCAACCAGCAGCTGATTCGCCCAACCGGCGACAACCCTCAGAACCTGCCCCCGGTCCAGTTCATTTTCTGCCTCAAGCAGAAGAATAGTAAGAAGATCAACTCTCACCGCTGGCTGTTCAACGCCTTTGGTCGCATCCTCAACCCCGAGGTTTGCATCCTGCTCGATGCTGGAACCAAGCCCAGCCCCCGCTCGCTGCTCGCCCTTTGGGAAGGCTTTTACAACGACAAGGACCTCGGCGGTGCCTGTGGCGAAATTCACGCCATGTTGGGCAAGGGCGGCAAGAAGCTGTTCAACCCCCTCGTCGCCGTCCAAAACTTCGAATACAAGATTTCCAACATTCTCGATAAGCCCCTGGAGAGCTCGTTTGGCTACGTTAGCGTTCTGCCCGGTGCCTTCTCGGCCTACCGCTTCCGCGCCATCATGGGCCGCCCTCTGGAGCAGTACTTCCACGGTGACCATACCCTATCCAAGAGTTTGGGCAAGAAGGGTATCGATGGAATGAACATTTTCAAAAAGAACATGTTCTTGGCCGAAGACAGAATTCTCTGCTTCGAGCTCGTCGCCAAGGCTGGCCAGAAGTGGCATCTGTCTTACATCAAGGCCGCCAAGGGTGAAACTGACGTGCCGGAGGGTGCTGCCGAGTTCATCTCCCAGCGTCGCCGTTGGCTCAACGGTTCCTTTGCTGCCACCCTCTACTCCCTCATGCACTTTGGCCGCATGTACAAGAGTGGTCACAACATCATCCGCATGATCTTCCTCCACGTTCAGCTCTTGTACAACATCTTCAACCTCATCTTCACCTGGTTCTCTCTGGCTTCTTACTACCTCACCACCACTGTCATCATGGATCTCGTCGGCACGCCCGTGGTTGGCGGTCAAGGCGGCGCGGAACATCACGGCTGGCCCTTTGGCGACACGGCGACGCCCTTGATCAACGCGCTCTTGAAGTATTTTTACCTGGCTTTTGTCATCCTGCAGTTTATCCTGGCTCTCGGTAATCGCCCGAAGGGTTCCAAGTTTACCTATATTGCCTCGTTCATGCTGTTCGGTCTCATCCAAACATATATCCTGGTGCTCTCTGGTTACCTGGTGGCCCGCGCCTTCAACACGCCCATCTCGGAACAAATCAAGCTAGATTCCGGAAAGGATTTCGTGAATAGTTTCTTCTCGGGAGAAGGAGCAGCAGGTGTCATTCTCATAGCGCTCATCACCATCTACGGCCTCTACTTCCTCGCATCCTTCCTGTACCTGGACCCATGGCACATGTTCCACTCGTTCCCGTACTACTTGGTTCTCATGTCGACCTACATCAACATCCTCATGGTCTACGCCTTCAACAACTGGCACGACGTCTCATGGGGTACAAAGGGTTCCGACAAGGCTGAAGCGCTCCCGTCGGCCAACATTACCAAGGGCGAAAAGAATGAGGTGGTGGTGGAGGAAATTGAAAAGGAGCAGGAAGACATTGACAGCCAGTTTGAGCAGACGGTGCGCCGTGCTCTCGCACCATTCAAGGAGGAGGAGGAGCTCGAGGCCAAGGATGTCGAGGACTCGTACAAGTCATTCCGTACCGGTCTGGTTGTGTGCTGGCTGTTCTCCAACATTATTCTCATCATTGTCATTACGAGTGACAACTTTAACAGCTTTGGAATAGGCGTATGTTCCCCGCCCCGGTCTGGTTTCGCGCTCACTGCTAACTTGAACAGAAATCGTCCTCGGTCCGCACTGCCAACTTTTTCAAGTTCCTCTTGTATGCCACGGCGGTTCTTTCTGTTGTCAGATTCATCGGGTTCCTTTGGTTCCTTGGCAAGACTGGCCTCATGTGCTGCTTCTCGAGGAGGTAAATTTCGCACGTTTGTATCATGGCCTGTTTTTAGCTCTGTCGTCTGTTTTTTGCATCATGTCTGGAGAAACATCAAAAATGGTACGGCCCGGTTGGAAAGATGGCCGGAGGCATTATGCATGGCGAGGGTGGGAGACGCTCGCCACTTGCCAGGCTGGGGGTTCATGCAAATACCTTGTTCATAATGGTTCGCGTTAAGTCTAGATTGCTTCATTTAATATCCTACGTTGAGTATACTACACTATATTTCAGTACATGCTGACCATGTTGGTAATCGGGCGCCTCGGCATGACGCAAGGGCGCCAGGTTATCAGAGACTGGCACGGTTGCCTAATCGGGCGGGCGGTGTCGCGAGCTGCCGCCAGCCTACCGTTGTGGCCCATACCTTATACAGGACGAGTGGCGGGGGAGGCGCCAGAATCCCACCGCAGCCCGAGAAATCTGACCTCTGCACAAGGCAACCCCTTACCTGTCTTTTTGCGGGAACGTGGAATTTGTTTATTTTTGCAACCAGTGTGACCTGCCTCGAGCGATAAGACGGTTTTCCTTTCGACCTAGCGACGGGCGGTTCGACTGCACGCCATACTACGAGCGCGCTACCCCGCCAAAAAGCATACTCCCGGACGAAGCCAGCACGTCGGCAGCTGCTGAGCACGTTTCGACTCTCCTTACAACACTTTTCGAAACAAGTTCCATATACATTCATATATTATTTGTTGCCCGGGCTTGGGCAGCTTGACTACAGACAAGATGCTGAAAATTTGGTCTATGGTATGTTGGTATCCTCGCTCTTCCAAGAGACTGGTAGTGGCTGACACGGTACCTCCTCACGGCAATACAGAAGAAGGAGCAAAAGGATGCTGAGAATGCAGAGGGCAAGAAGAAGAAGGTGACGGCGGCGCAGCTGCGCGTACAAAAGGGTGCGTTTATCGAGGCACGGGCCGAGTGAGATGCCGATGTGATGCTAACCAAGTACCGGCAGACCTCTCAGAGCTCGCCCTGGGCAAGACCATGACGACCGAGTTCCCGGACCCCGACGACATCCTCAACTTCATCCTGACGATCGAGCCGGACGAGGGCATGTACCGCGAGGGGCGGTTCACCTTCAGCTTCGCCATCAACCAGAACTTTCCACACGAGCCGCCCAAGGTCCAGTGCCGGGAGAAGATTTACCACCCCAACATTGACCTGGAGGGCAAGGTGTGTCTGAACATTCTACGCGAGGACTGGAAGCCCGTGTTGAATCTCAACGCCGTGATTGTCGGACTACAGGTATGCATGCTTCTCTGTCCATTACCCCGCAAAGCAGGAGAAAACGTATTGGTCGACTGGGGTACGGGGGAAGGCTAATGACAAGTTCGCAAATGAAGTTTCTGTTCCTCGAGCCTAACGCCTCGGACCCGCTGAACAAGGAAGCCGCCGACGACCTGCGCAACGCCCGCGACACGTTCAAGCGCAACGTGCGCGCGGCCATGGGCGGCGGCGCCATCAAGGGCATGTACTACGATCGTGTGCTGAAATAGACGCGAACGAGGGAGGGAAGCCAGGCCCGAGGCGATACCCAGAGCGGGATACGAATAATGACAAGGCGAAGCGGCAATACTTTTTGGTAATGCTGGTTTAACAGGGGGGTTGTCGAGGAAAGGTGGGAAGGAGGACGCCGTCAAAAAAACATAATCAAATAGAAGATGTTTTTTTTCGGCGAGCGCATTGAAAGACAAGATAGCATAGGCCATGCATGGGATGGGGTGGACGAGGCGAGGACTGCGACTTTTTCATGGTTTGCAACTAGACGTGAGCATTTTTTTCTTCAATGGCGATTGCATTGGCATTATTCAAGAACATTCTGGGTTGTGACGTGTTTTCTTGGTCGGTTCGTAGCGGTCGGGCCGGGGGTGATGGCCTGGTCGTCGGCTGGTGCTTTGCTCGAGCATATTGATCGAAAGGCCGCAAGTCTCTGGTTGTGTTTGGAGAAGCCGTCGCGGTGCAATCCTCAGAGGATGGAGGTCAGCATAACCAGCTCCCGGTGAGCCTTCGCCCGCCTAACCGCAGCCCGGATGTCATTTTAGCCGTCTGCCATCTCGGTTGCGCTTGGCCTTGTGGGCTCAAAGATGTCTTTCTGGGAGTTGACGGAGAGAGCAGGCTTGCGACTTGTCCGATCGGCCAAAAGTCGCGTGCCACCGCCACACCCTCATCTTCCGTGGTGAGGGCATTGGCAGGTGTAGATACGTTTTACAGAATGACCAAGGTGTTCTAACCAGAGTTTAAAAGCTACCCGTATTATGAGCGGACTGAATTGGCCGCCGCGACAACGGAGACGTGCCGGTGTTAATCCCGCGAAAACGACTTGTCCTTGGATGCTTCACTCCTTCTTCCCCCGGTACCGCTCCGAGGGGCCGCAAAGAGAGTCAGACGTCCGCTATCGCAAGGCCCCCTTGCCATTGCCGCCCCGCTTCTTCTTTTACCAGCTTAGCCCGGAGCCAGCCCGGTTGTCCAGTGAGAAGCTGGGAAATGCTAGGCGGTGGGAGAAAGGAAGGGGTGCTCAGGGAGATGAGAGGCTTCATCATGTGAGAATTGAGTTTGTGGGAAATGGACTGAACTCATGAGGTTGATGTTTGGGAGCATCTTGAGTTGAAGTGACGGACCGACTGGGCTTGAGAGCAGATTCCCCCGCTGATTCTTGCGATTTCACATGTGGGCAGGGCAGTCCACTTTTTTACGTGCAATGAATGCCACAGGGGATGCAGGTCGCTGTAGCCTGGCTTTTTGAGTGCTGAGAGGCTCCAGGTGGACCGAGCTTCAGCGTGCTGGATGGACCCTTGTAAATAAATTCGCTCCTCACAGGCTCGAGTATGGCGGGCAAGCTGGCTGGGCTGCCCCGATCTCGGTGCTTTTTTGGCTGCCCCAGCAATACTGGTAGCTCCAATGTACCAGTAGCAGCAGTAGCCCGGCCACACACAAGCCCCCCCCATTCCGGCCTACCACCGATCCCAGTTGATTTTATCTTGCTACTCAAAACTCAATCCGTCCGCTTCCCGTCTGTCCTAGCTTTTTTTCCCTCTTCCTCCCTCATCACCAATTCCATCTCCCCAAGCCTCATCCCAATTGAGCTTGTCTCTTTCTCTTCCCTATCTCATTCCTCACACACACACACACACTCGCAATGGCTTCGAGAGCTTTCTCCAAGACCCTCCGCGGTCCCCTCGCCCGCCAGTTCGCCGCCGCTCCTGTCCAGCAGCGCGCCGCCTACTCTGTCGCCCGCAGCGCTCTCCGCGCCGCTGTCGCTGCTCCCCGCGCCGTCGCCGGCGTCCAGCAGCAGCAGGTCCGTGGCATGAAGACCATTGACTTTGCTGGCCACCCCGAGGACGTCTATGGTACGTAGTTTTGTGTGAATCCTGGCGACTCTAGCCGAGGAACTGGCAAACAGCGCAAACGGGCAGCTGTCAACGTGACCGGATATCGACTAACCCAAGAAATTCACAGAGCGCGCCGATTGGCCCCAGGAGAAGCTCCTTGTAAGTTTTTCCTGGTTTTTTTGAACGCCTCAATTGGCCACCATGTCGGTCTTCTAACACGCCTCACAGGAGTACTTCAAGAACGACACCCTCGCGCTCATCGGCTACGGCTCTCAGGGCCACGGCCAGGGCCTCAACCTCCGCGACAACGGCCTCAACGTCATCGTCGGTGTCCGAAAGAACGGCCAGTCCTGGAAGGACGCCGTCCAGGATGGCTGGGTCCCCGGCAAGAACCTCTTCGAGGTCGACGAGGCCATTGGCAAGGGCACCATCATCATGAACCTGCTCTCCGACGCCGCCCAGTCCGAGACTTGGCCCGCCATCAAGCCCCAGCTCACCGAGGGCAAGGTATGCTCCTCCAATTCTGCTGCAAATTGAGCCTAGCTAACTGTGCAGACCCTCTACTTCTCGCACGGCTTCTCCCCCGTCTTCAAGGACAAGACCAAGGTCGACGTCCCCAAGAACATTGACGTCATCCTGTGCGCGCCCAAGGGCTCCGGCCGCACCGTGCGTTCCCTCTTCCGCGAGGGCCGCGGCATCAACTCGTCTTTCGCCGTCTTCCAGGACGTCACCGGCAAGGCCGAGGAGAAGGCCATCGCCATGGGCGTGGCCATCGGCTCGGGTTACCTGTACAAGACCACCTTTGAGAAGGAGGTCTACTCGGACCTGTACGGCGAGCGCGGCTGCCTGATGGGCGGCATCCACGGCATGTTCCTTGCGCAGTACGAGGTTCTCCGCGAGCGCGGCCACAGCCCGTCCGAGGCCTTCAACGAGACCGTCGAGGAGGCGACCCAGTCGCTGTACCCTCTGATCGGCGCCAACGGCATGGACTGGATGTTCGAGGCGTGCTCGACGACGGCGCGCCGCGGCGCCATTGACTGGACGCCCAAGTTCAAGGATGCGCTCAAGCCCGTCTTCAACAACCTGTACGACAGCGTGCGCGACGGCACCGAGACGCAGCGCTCGCTCGACTACAACGGCCAGCAGGACTACCGCCAGAGGTACGAGGCCGAGATGGAGGAGATCCGCAACCTCGAGATCTGGAGAGCCGGCAAGGCCGTCCGGTAAGTTTGACCTACTAGCCAGACTCACATTCGAGATGATGTTTTTCAAAAAGCTAACAGTGACTGCGTATAGTTCCCTCCGCCCCGAGAACCAAAAATAAGCGATGCCCGATGGCGTGTGAATAGCTGAGGAGAAAGAGACTTTTTTGTTTACCATGTATGCGACACAAAAAAAAAAGATGGTGTGCTCTTCATCGAGCATTACCGTGGAGTTTTGATACTTGAGTAGCTGTACTATCAATGAACGGCCTTGATTGCGCCTTTGTCCATTTGTGAATGCTGGTGACGCTGGGGGGTTTGTACACCATGGTGACCCGAGGGCAACACACGAAGACGAACTGTATAATTTTGGAAGACGTTAAAACCCTCAAGTAATATCTAACAGGTTGCAACACATTCTAGAGTGTTGAGATGTGCTAATGGCTACGTTTAACTCTGTTGAAAAGGACTGTTCTTCTCGACGCTTCTCTAGACAGGCAGCGCGCCCTTTCTGTAACCAACGTCTTTGTGGGGTAAACTCACCACCAGACTACCTATATACCATACCATGGCGGGGCAAACGCCGTTCTTGATGCCTCATCCAAGATACAAATAGCCGTCTTCACTCCTCTCCTTTACATCTCTCCTCTCCTTTGCATCTCACCTCTCCTTCACATCACCCCCTCCCCCTAACATCCATGCAGCCACCACCATGGCAGACCTGTCCACCACCCCGCCGCTGACCCGCGCCTCCGTGCAGGCCGCCCACGCCCTCATCGCGCCGCACGTCCACCGCACCCCCGTCGTCACCTCGCAGGCGCTCACCCTGCTGGCCTCGACGCCCCGCGCCGACCTCGCCGGCACCCGCTTCGCCGACCGCGCCGCGACGCCCGCCCGGCCCAAGCTGCGCCTCTGGTTCAAGTGCGAGAACCTCCAGCGCGTCGGCGCCTTCAAGGCCCGCGGCGCCTTCCACGCCGTCGCCCGGCTGCTGAGCGACGACGAGTGGGTGGCCGGCGGCGGCAAGCACTCGCGCTGGCGGCGAGGGAGCACGGCCTCCCCGCGCACATCGTCATGCCCTCCGTGTCCGCGCCGGCCAAGGTCGCCGCCACGCGGGGCTACGGCGCGCACGTCGTCTTCAGCGGGAGCACCGCCGCCGAGCGCGAGGTGGTCGCCGCCGAGGTGGTCGCCGCCACCGGCGCGCGCCTCGTGCCACCCTACGACCACCCGGACATCATCCTCGGGCAGGGCACCATGGCGCTGGAGCTGCAGGAGCAGGTCGCCGAGATGATGGCGCCCTCCAAGAACCCTTACCGCCGGGTGGGTGGGAAGACGAAGACGAAGACGAAGACGACGCTGGACGCGGTGATGACGCCGTGCGGCGGCGGCGGGATGCTCGCCGGCGTGGCGCTCGCGTGCGAGGGTACGGGCGTGCGCGTCTTTGGCGCGGAACCGTCGTTCCAAGGCGCCGACGACGCGCGACGCGGCTTCGCGGCCGGCGCGCGCATCACGGAGGTGAGCTCGCGGACCGTCGCGGACGGGCTGCGCACGCCGCTGGGCGCGCACAACTGGGGCGTGATTTACGGGCGGCGGCTGGTAAAGGCCTTGTACAGCGTGACGGAGGGGGAGATCCTGGCGGCGATGAGGCTGGTGTTTGAGCGGATGAAGATGGTGGTGGAGCCGAGCGCGTGCGTGCCGCTGGCGGTGGCGCTGTTCGACGAGGACTTTCGCGCGATGGTGGAGAGGGAGGCGGGCGAGGAGGGCTGGGATCTGGGCATCGTGCTCAGCGGTGGGAATGTAGGCACGGATGCGCTGGTGAAGCTGTTCGGGGACAAGGAGGGGATGGAGACGTGATGGGATGGTGACAGGGAGCGTGGAGAGGAGGGGGGGGGGGGGAAGGTGCTTCAATGTGTATATGGAATCCGCATCATACTCGTCTCTGCAGCTATATGTATAGTATATTCGTCTATAAGTAAACTGCCATTCTAAGGGAATGTTGTCCGCCAAGTTGGTTGGCATGACATGTTGGTAAGCGCAGGAGGACGGCTTTTGTGTTGGGTAGTAGCAATTGTGTCTAAAGTCCTCTGGATCAGAGCTTTTTACGGCTCTTACCACGGCAGGTCCCCAAGTCAGATGCGAGTAAGGATGCTCAGAAGCGTCCAGCCTCGTGACTAATCGCCCAGATGGGACCTGTCAGTTTATGGCGCTCGAAGATTTCTGTCGCCTCAGACAGGGACCATTTCGTCCAGTCTGCATCAGCATGGCGGCCGTACCATTCGGCAGCAAAGTCCCAAATCTGCTTGATTGGGCGTACATCTCCCTTTGGAATGCCTCTGGTAGCACACCATTCGTCCACCTCAGCTTCATTGTGAAATACCAGCTGCACTGAGCAAGTGTAGATGACGTTATCCCAGGCATTTCGCATAGGGACTGGGAAGTGTATCACGAAGTCCGTATCCACGAGCTGTCCGTTCCTGGCCGTAATAGACACCTCATCACCAATGGCGCCAGTCTTTGTACGGAGGGTTGCGCTTCCACCGATGAGTTGCATCACTCCGAGGGAGCACCAAGCACAGTTTCCCCACCACTTGCCATCGTTTGAAGACACGACGCAGGTTGTAGGCGACGCGGAGAATGGGTGAGCAACCCACACCTCATCAGACTTGGGGTGCAGCACAACACCATGGTAGTCTGCCAGAGCTTGTAGGCCACACCGCGCCGTAGCGACATCCGTTTCGAAGCGGGTGGCGACCTCGTTGACCGTCGGCGGCCGGTGGTTGTTGAGAAAGGAGGAGATGATGAATTCGTGCAGGCTGGAATGATCCATGGTTGCGAGCCTTTCCGTGTGGTGCTTGCGCTTGCTGCAACGGGGTGGATTTCACTTGTATCGATGGACAGACAGCGTAGAGCTAGTCTCGGCTATACATATTATGAAAGGTACTGCAAGTGTAAAGACGATTATGAATGGAAGACAGGCGGAAGTGATGGACTTATTAGCGTCAAGGTGAAATCCAAACCACCGTAGGTAGCGAAGGGATGTATTGGACTTTTATATTAAACCTCAACCGCCCACGCTAGTTCCCTAGCAGGAAACTCATACTACTGTAGCCACGATATAGTGCGACGCCCGTAAATACCATCCCATGCAGGCCATTAATGCGCTGTGTTGCCACTAATAATTAAAGGGCGCGCCCTGTCTACACTGGATGACAATTATTAGTATATGTAATGTAGTCTCGGCCCGTCTCGATCTGACCCAACATGACATGTATAATATCCGTTGTCGTAATTAAGTGAATATTATCAAGTGCTCTGAATTTGCTCTCATAAAATCCTGGGTTATTTCTTTCTTCCTTTGCGCAATTGGAAAGTAGATGATGAAGTAGAGGGCGTCGGCTGGTTCTTACAGGTTGTTGATCTGGTAGTGAGTGAGTGAGTGGACTGGCCGGGCTAATAATGCCCTTCCTTCAAACAGCGAAGCTCGAGAACTTTTCCATGTTTGCAAACACGCAGTCTGGCTTCGGACTTTGGCGGCCGGCGTCTAGCAAATGGACAGACATGCTGTATACCATTAGAGGTCGACGCGCTGTTGCACGCCGGCCTCTGTACTCTCGTCGTGACTCAGTCGCTTGCGTCTCATCGCACATTCACAGCCAAGAGGTGACACGAGTTCCTATGATGAAGTGAGGGTACATACAGATGGACTTTTCCAGGTTCTCAAGACAATCCTCGCCCAGTTCCCATCTCCGAAAGCTTTCTCGTCATCGTACAGCAAACCTACTGCCTTCACCACCTCTGCTCCTGCCATCCTCGACTATCTCTCCCGCAACCCCAAGATGCCTCCGCAACAGTCCGTCTGCACGCAGTACTACATCCACTACCGCTGCGGCCACGCCATCGACACCGAGTTCGTGCTGTGCGCCTACCACGCCGGCAAGGTTGAGCTGCGTTGCAGCGACACCACCTGGAAGCGGCTGGAGGAGAAGACGTCCTCTCACAAGTGTCGAAAGTGCTTGCAGCCGGACAGCTGGTAAGTCGCTTCCTGAACAGTGTTGGTGTATATCTACTGACAAATACCGCCCTTTCAGGAGTCGGCGTTGATCAGGTAGGGGGTCGTACCGGGCCATGTATCGGCCGATCGACGGAAGATGCTGCTGCCATGGCACCCGACGCTCATAAAGCCTTCAGTGAAGGTCCTGTGTTTGTGGGCGAACCAGTCCGGATGATTTGACACTTGAAAGTCAACTAGAATTGCCCCTTCCTTTGTATTATCTTCTCATTATTAATCGGATGAATGATGCCCAATCTGTGCCTGTCGCATGGTGTGGTCGCATAGTCTGTCAGGTCTGGAGCCTAACCGGTTGCTCGGTAGCATCACTAAACAAATATGTAAACCTGCATATATGTCGTCGGAACTGGCTAAGTAGTGCTAATACTTGGATACGAAAACTGCGGTGAATGAGCGAATAGGACCGATAGGGATACGCCTTCAAGCGGCATCACAAGTGGCCAGCATCCGCCCCCAGGTCCGAGGCAGGGTTCGATGAGCTCCTGCAGACCTTGACCTGCTAAAATTTCGTCTTCTTGAGAATCCTTTGCTCCCACACTCTTCCCATGGTCTTCGCGAGCACCTTTTCCCCGGAACGAAACGGGACAATGTCGGGCTCCGTCTTGACCGACGCGGTAGACACGAGGTGCTTGCCCGCGGCGTCCAGCGCCTCTGCAGAGACGGCCTCAAGCCTCTTGCCGGGCACAAAGAGGGACGTCTCAAAGCTCTTGCGCTTCACCTCGCCGAGAAGCCTCCGAGATTCGAATCCGCCACGTCCCTCCGCCTCGGCGTAGAACCGCCAGAGTGCCGTCTCCGTGTCGCCGTTCCACGAGACGTAGACCGTCGTGCCGCCCGCGCCCGCCAGCGCGACGATGGCCGGGTCTTCGCTCGGCAGGCCCGTCCAGTTGAACCGGAACGCGCGGTAGTTCTGCACCCCCTCCGCCAGCGCGCCCGAGTCCAGCCGCGCGTGGAACACCGGCTCGCCGCCCGCCGCGAACTCCGTCACCGCGCCCTCCGAGCCCCAGCCCACCAGGACGTTGCCGTTGGGGAGCACCTGCGCGCTGCCCTGCGACTTGGACAACGCGTCGCCTCCGGGGGGCGGGGTGTACTTGGCGAGCAGCTCCGCGCGGCGCGCGCGGGTGTCCAGTCGGAGGATCTTGGCGCTGCTGGTCGGCGCGGTGTGCACGCCGCGGCCGCTGTTGCGCTCGGTGCCGTGGGCCGAGTTGTCCAAGAGGCTGATGACCTCGACGCCGGTGGAGGAGTCCTGGGACAGCCAGCGCGCGTGGTGCTGGAAGCAAAAGGACGCGCCGGGGCCGAGGGAAAAGTCGCTGCGCTTGCCGTGCAGGCGCCAGATGACGGAGCCGTCGGTGCCGTTGACCTTGAGGATGGCGCAGGCGTCGCGGGCGGAGACGAGGTAGTCGCCGCGGGCATCCTTGTCGACGCTGTTGATCTTGAAGTAGTCCCAGGCGTCGGAGGAGTTGCGCCCGGAGCCGGCGTGGCCGGGGTTGATGCCGAGCACGGCCTCTGGGGGGCGGATGTTAGCCGTGGGTTCGGTCAGCGGCTGCGCGGGTTGGCTTCGGGGGTAGCTTACCGTCAGGGGATACATGATCCAGGCTGGACCATTCGAAGAGGACCTTCCCGGTGGAAATGTCAAGCTCTAAAGGTAGTCAGCCAAAAGAAACACGGACGATGGAATGTATGGGGAGGTGGTGCTGCTTGCGGCCAACGCTGTGACCGAAGAAACAACAGAACAGAACAGCAGAAACCAGAGCAAGTTGAACCAGACAAACACTGCAAACATCACCACTGACCCTGGAAAATAGCATTGACGATCCATTGCTGGTCCGGGCCGGCTCCCCACTTCGACAGATCCCGGGGCACGGGCTGGTACACCTGAATCAGCGCCGTCTCCTCGTCCACGATGCGGAACTCGTGCTTGTACGCTAGTCTGTGGTTCCCCGCGCGCAGCTCTCGAACCGTCTCGTAATGCTGGTCGAGGAACGTAAAGTGTCCATGCCCATGACCGTAGCCCGCGTTGTGGTCGCCCTCAAAGGCGAACAGCACGTCGCGGCCCCTCCACCGGGCCGCCTGGAAGTTGACCGCCCAGACGCTAAAGGCCGCGTACCCGGACCACACCAGGTCGCCGTCGTCGCGGAAGATGTACGGGGCGGCCTGGCGGGGGCCGTGCTGCGCGGTCGGCGTGTCGGCGAGGCCGGCGAAAGGTGTGAGGAAGAGGTAGCCGGCGTCGACGGCGTCGGTGGCGGGGATGGTGATGTTGAGGCGCGGCGGCGCGAGGTCGGGCCGGGACCTGAACTGCCAGTCTGCGGTGACGGCCGGAAGCAGCGCAGTTGCTGTGATGAAGAGCCCAAGGAAGGCCTTCATGATGGTTGCTCGGTTCGACAGCTGGACATGTCAGTGTCGGACCATTGTATAAGAACAAGCTGCAGTGCGTACACTTCGAAAGTTAAAGGATGAGACTCTATACTCGAAAATTTATTGATGAGTTTCAAAAATGCTCTTCCTCAAAGCCAGTTTAATCGGCTGATATGTCTATAATAATATACAGACGAGGCGGCTGCCTCCAATCACGTCATATGAGTGAGGTATTAAGCATTCCTAGAATACTGGATCGACTCGACAGCCACGTTGGCGGCCGAGCATGTTTATGACGACGACCGCGCAACCCTAATATAAGTCCGTGTTTTTTACATGATTGCGTGCTCACGGCAGCACATACCCCCCGTCAATCAAAACGTCCGATCCCGTCATGTACGACGACGCGGAGCTGGCCAGGTACAGGTAAACCCCCTTGATCTCCTTGACGTGTCCCTGGCGGCCGAGCGCCGCCATCCTGTACGCCTCGTTGACCGCGGCCGGGCCGGCGCCCATCTTGGTGTCGAAGAAGCCCGGCGAGACGACGTTGACGCGGGCAAAGTCGCGCCACTCGCGCGCCAGCGACTTGCCAAGGTGCGTGACGAAGGCCTTGGTGGCGTTGTAGATGGGCTGGTCGGCCGGCACGTTGACGATGTGGCCGCTCATGCTCGAGGTGATGATGAGGTTGCCGAAGCCCTGCGACTTGAAGACGGCGCCGACCTGCTTGGCGCAGTAGACGACGCCGTTGACTGTCTGATGAGATGTGCTGGTTGGTAGACTAGAGGGGTAGGTGCGTACCATTGACTGACATTTGCTTGTCGAACTCGGGCAGCGTCTGCTCCAGAAGAGGTTTGGAAATGGCCATTCCTGACGGTGGTGAGCGCAGAGTATTGTAAAGAAGATCAACAAGAATTACCAGCATTTGCAACAAAAACGTCAATCTTGCCAAAATCTTGGGCGACTTTTGCAATGACGTTTTGCACCTGTTCCGGGTTGGAGACTGATCACTTCAGTCAGCATATGCTTCTGAGGACGGGACGGCCGGCGGCGTCTACGCACCGTCAACCTGGTAGGCCACTGTCCGGACACTGCAGTTGTCGCCGAGAGCTTTAGCCTTGGCAATGGCAGCATCATTTCTACTAAATATTAGCTGGCCAACCCCCCCCCCCCCCCGCCACGTCACCACCAGCTTCCGCAATGGCCTCGGCCACGGCGTAGCCCAGCCCGTCGGCCGCGCCGGTGACGACGGCAACCTTGCCGCGCATGCTGAATTGCTCGAGCACGTTGGCCGGGGTGTCCGGGAAGGGCCGGGGGAAGCCCTCGCGGACGGTCGCGCAGTCGTCAAAGTTCATCGACATGTTTGTTTCGTGTTCGTGGTGATGATGTGTATGGCCCTGTTGTTGGATGATGCGGGTTGCAGGTGATGGATGGCAGGCTGCTCATTCATACCTTTGGCCCCGGCACCGGACGACAGTGGCCCGATTTAAAATGGCGTCGGCGGCGACGGGCCGGCGCGGGGTCATAAAAGCCGTGAGGGGGGCTCGGGTTCGGGCTACACTGGGCTACATAGATTACGCACCCGACGGGTATTTCGACAAACCATCCATCCTATCCTTACTTGGGACCAAGGAAAGCAAGCGTCCGGAAGTTTCCTTTTCTTCCAGCCGAGGACGAGTTGAGAGAGTTAAGGGAGTGATGGGGCGCGATCAGCCTGCAGGCTAAGTGCTATGTAGGTACCTTTGCCAACTGTATAGCCTCTCTTCTGGCTTGTGAGTACCTACCTATGTAGTATGCAGCGCCTAGTTATACACAAAAGAGACGATGCCCCCTCGACAGAAAAACCCCGTCCGGTTTATTGCCATCTCACGCTCAAGCAAGAAGATATCGCGTGGTATAAATAGCAACCTTTTGCGTTTTCTGGTAGATGTATCGGGCTAAATTTGGCTGAGAACCGAAACTCTCGAGCCGGTATCCTTCCTTTTGGCAGCGACACGTCCCAACCACTCAGGCCTCTGCGTGTGCGCCTTAGCCCGCCCGTGCAGCGCGAGGAGGAGCTGGTATGGCTGCTATTGAATCAACTCGCTGTAAGTGAATCTCATCACCCATGCACCCATATCCCTTCTCTACCAGCCTACGTGCTTGAAAACCTAATCTTCCGGGGTGGAAGATTAAGAATAGAACGGCAATGGCTAGCATGACGGCACCATCAAGGACGTACAGATAGACCTCATGGGACAGCAACTCGCCCTCGGAGCCTTGTCGGTATTCGATGATGCGGGTGACACTGCGGATGATAAATAGGACGCTGATGCAACAGAGGGCGTTTATGCTACGCCTCCAATGCAGCTGGACGAGGCGCGATCCGTCGCACGCCGCGCTCCGAAGCCGCCACTGCAAGCTTCCCGCCCAGAGCGCGAAGAAGCAAAAGGAAACGATTTGCACCACGAGCCCGGCGATGATGATTGTCTCCCCTCGGTGCCCCTCGTCGACGTTCTCGCTACCAGACATGATCGCGCCCGCCACTTGCGTCCCGAGACAGGCGACGTCGACCACAACGAAGAGTTTCGAGGCAAGCTTGCGCATCAGCACGAGATCTTCCACATCGAGGACCCTCGCGATGCGACGCGGGGACATGAAGATGCTGGCAGCAAGAAAGGGCGGCGCGGCCAGGATCAGCAGGTTCTGGATGATGAAGGGCAGTGTTCGTCTCACGTCATCGTGTGATTGCGATCGGAAGAAGTAGCCGCCCGCTTCCACTGTGGATTTCTGGTGAGTATGCCGTCCTCAGAATGATATCAGCCAACTTACTACCACAGCCGATGATGAGGGGCATCGGGAAGAAGCACCGATACGGAAACATTGCTGCGAGGTGTAGAACGGCGACCAAGGCAAATAGCGCGACAAATGTAAAAGCCGGTGGCTGCGATGGATTGTATGGAAATAGGTCAAACGGCGCGTAGCCTTGGCGGGTATCGTTGGCCATTGTCATCTGCCGCCTTGTGATGTACACTTTAGGGTAGTTGGGGGTTGCGGATGGAAACATTGGTGGTACTTGAACAAGGCCAGACAGTTCTGGGTTATATAGGAATAAAATAGTCTTGTATACGCCTCAATTGCAACAGGACAATGGGTGAGTTTGCGTCTTTGACTTGAGTAAGCCGCGTAATGTAATCCTGATAGGGTCGTTCTGGCCTTGAGTAATCCGACGCTGAGCTCCATCTGCTGCGACAGACATGGTGAGGCGATGAAGCAAACGCTAGGCCTGTCGACGTCGACATAACACAACATCGGTCCAATCAGAGGATTTACTTGTATTCGATCCGGAAATAATTGCAGCGACTCCAGTGGAGAGCTCCCCACGTGTGTATGTATTGTAGGTATGAATTGGCTACCATCGCACGTCCAATCAGAACATTTGCGCATGAGATAGAGCGTGCTGGTACCTTTCAATGCGTTATTGCCCCTTACGACCAGATTCATGGAATATTGTGCGCTCAAGTGACGGGCGGCGGGAATTTCGATGCAAATCTGACGATTAAAAAAAATTCACAAAAAGATGAAATGATTTGATATACGGACAAGTTCTTGTCAAGATGTCGATTTGAAGTACGTGTGTGGAGCCACGATGTGTTAGTAATGAATGCCTGTGCCGAATCCTGCGCAGCAGCTGCTGCCCAAACTGTGACAAGACATCACCAGTTACCCCTATCCGTCACGCATCGTCAGCCAGCGGACGACATACGGAAAAAAGCGTGGCGGCAAATTGCATGATTCATGCTTGCTTGCTCTCATGCAACTCTCTGTGCGCACGAGACCGCGCTTCCTGGACAGAGGACACCCAAGACATCCCATCCCATCAGCCCACGTTCACCTTGTCCACCAGCCAGGACAATGAGCGACTTCGATTCCGGGGACGACCTATTCGATGGTGTAGATGCTGACGAGCTAGCATCTGCTCAATACTCTTCCCCTGCAGCAAAGCGAAAACGAGAACTGGAGGACCCCGAGGGCGCTGACTTGCTGAAGAGGCATCGCAATGTCTCCAATGGAACGAATCTTGCCGACGGCGAGTCATCGGCCCTGATGGACGTTGCTCAGAACCTGCTCACCGAAACATTCGGTTACACAGCGTTTCGTCACGAGCAGGCAGGCGCAATTCAAAGGCTTCTCGCTGGCGAGAGCGCCCTGACCGTTTTCCCCACTGGTGCTGGAAAGTCACTCTGCTATCAGGTTCGCTGCCGATGCAGACACGATCCCGTTCAATGAAATTGACACGTATGCAGATACCGGCCTTTGCTTTCGAGCAACTTGACTTGAGAAGCGGCTCAAAGGCGCCCGGCGAGCATGGCGTCAGCATCGTCGTCTCACCCCTTATCGCGCTGATGAAGGATCAAGTCGACGCGCTGCAACGGCGAAACCTTGCAGCTGAATGCCTTGACTCGACCAAAACGTGGGAGCAGGTGCAGCAGATCTACGCAGGTCTCCGCCAAGGCACGCTTCGTCTCCTGTACTGTGCCCCGGAGCGCCTCAACAACGAAGGCTTCGTCGAAACCATGCGCCATGTCCGGGGCGGTGTTCGCCTCCTGGCTGTTGACGAGGCCCACTGTGTTTCCGAATGGGGCCATTCCTTTCGCCCCGAATATCTCAAAGTCTCTCGCTTTGCCGACGAGATCAACGCGGAGCGGGTAGTCTGCCTCACGGCAACTGCGACGCCAAAGGTCATCGAGGATATCTGCCACGCCTTCAAGATCCATCCACAAGGCGTCTTTCGCACTACCCTTTATCGGCCAAACCTCAACCTCCATGTTAAGGCGGTCAAAACAAAACAGGAAAAGTATCCTCTTCTCTTTCAATTTCTCAACGACAATCCCGGGCCAACGCTCGTCTACGTCACTGTCCAGCAGCAAGCAATGAAGATGGCGGAGGATCTGCGAAAACAAGGCTACGATGCAGAACCATTCCATGCCGGATTGGATGTGGCAGTCAAGACAGAGCTCCAGGACAAGTTCTTGGCCAACCGAGTGCGCATAATCGTTGCTACCATTGCATTCGGTATGGGTATTGACAAGCCAGACATCCGCAATATTATCCACTTCGACCTTTCGTCCACGGTGGAAGAGTATTGCCAGCAGATTGGGCGAGCTGGGCGCGACGGGAAAACTAGCAACTGCATGTACTACGTCTGTCCCGAAGACTGGTACATCCGGGAAAACTTTGCGCGAGGGGACCTACCATCCTGCCAGTCCCTAAAGGCCTTTCTGAACGACATTTTCAGCCGAGAGAACGTGTCCAAGCCCCTGGGTGACAATTTCAAAACAAGTCACTATGTACAATCACGCGAGTTTGACATACGTACGGGCCCGCTGGCGACCGTCTACGCAGCACTAGAGCTGCAGTTTGGGCTGATTCGAGCGATAACGCCAGAGTATAGCGAATACAAATTTGTGCCAACAAAGGTGTACTTCGCACGCGTAAGCAAAGAAAATGCTCCGGAAGCCAAGGCGATATACACCCACGCGGCGAAGAAGACAAAGTTCTTCCACGTCGACGTTAACAACATCGTTTCACAAACGGGGATCCGCCGGGCCGACATTGTCCGCAAACTGACCGATCTGAATAACGCTGGTGTCATCGAACTCAAGGCCGGCGGCCTTGAGCAGCGATACCGCATCATGCAGCCGCTGCCCTCTTCCGCCAAGGACGTCGGCGCGCTGGCTGACCGCTTGTACGAGGATCTCTCGCGGCGCGAGGAGGACTCCCTGCGCCGCACCAAGCAGGTGGAGGACCTCGTCACCGGCGACCAGTGTCTCGCGCTGGCCCTGGCGCAGCACTTTGGCATGGGTCTACCCGAAGGCAAGCCCAAGTGTGGCCACTGCACGCACTGCCTGACAGGGCGGCGGACCGTCATGCCCCCGCGGCCGAAGATGGCGACGGACATGGCGGGCATCAAGCGGATACTCGCCGCGTGCGATGTGCGTGACGACCCGCGATTCATCGCCCGCATCGCCTTCGGCATCAAAAGCCCGCGGGTCACCAAGTTGAAGTTGGACAAGCACGCGGTGTTTGGGTCGCTCGCGGAGCATGACTTCACGGTATGTGGCCACGGCTCCTCTTTGGTATGCTGAACATTGCTAATATTGATGATAGTCCCTTCTAGAGGAATTCACGAAGGCTTGCGATGCGGTTGAAGTGGGAAACAAGTGACGGATTCGACAAGTCTTCCATCACACAACTTGTCGAGCTGAGCATTCACCTGACCATGTATAGACCTGATCAAATGTGACGTATAAGACCTAGTGTGTCGCTTGACGACCGCCGTCCACCTCGTAAATTCGCATCTTCTTTTCCTTTTCTGGCCCCGAAGCTGCAGCGGAAAGCCTAAAAGATGCCACTTCCATCTACCAGTGAGCCCAGCCATTGAATCTCGCCTAGTTACCGGACCTCGTCTCCAGTTTCCTCCAGCCACCACTCGTGCATCAGACGTATCCTCTGCGCCCGCTCCCTCGCCAGCGCCCTGCCCGTCGGCGTCTTCATCATGCCCTCCAACTTCAGCAACTTCTCCTCAAAGTGCGCCACCGTGTCCTCGAGCGGCCTGCCCCTGGCCGCGCCGAACGCGAACGTGCGGCCCACGCCCACCGCGCCAATCGCGTCCAGCCGGTCCGCGTCCTGCACGACCGCCAGCTCCGGGTGCGTCTCGATCAGCGCGGCCACGCGCCCCGGGTCCTTAACCTCGCTCGAGTAGCTGACGCCCAGGCACACGGCCTGCACCGTCTCCGCGAGCGCCGGGTCGGCGCCGTAGGATTCCAGCAGGTCGCGGACGAGGCGAGAGGCATCCTCGCCGGGGCCCAGGTACTTCTTGTCGCCGACGTCGTGCAGGAGCGCGCCGAGGGTGACGACTGCGGGCGAGGTGTTGGGCGTGCGGGCCTGGATGTGCGTGGCGAGCCGCAGGACGCGCTGGATGTGGTTGAAGTCGTGGGAGGCGTCGTAGTGCGACATGTACTCCTTGACGTAGTCGGTGACGCGGGTGACGAGGGCCTCGTCGACTTCAAACGGCGCCGCCATTTCCCGGGTGTGGATAGTCTGAGCACAAATCGTCGGCTTTGCCTGCGAGGTGTGAGGTATGCGTGATTCTGAGTAGTAAAGAAAGATTCACGGCTTTGACCCCCACTACGCGCCAGCTGGACGCGCATGGTCGTGTATTCACGTGATGAGCAACGCATACGTAAACAATCCGAGACGATAGTTATCGACAATATGAAAAGCGCAATGTTCTTTCTTTCTTTTCTTTCGTTTATCTAGGAGACCTTTGTGGTTGAATGCAGCCCGGTTGGTGTTGATGGAATGATGAAGCTGGTGGAGAGGGCATATGACGGGACCTGATCTATATCGGCAATTTAATGGACAGGATTTGTGCCTTCCAATCATGCTTAGTGCTTTTCAACCCGCTGCTCATAGGTACGGATAATGGTGCTTTTACGAAATGACGCAAAGGCAGACGATTGCTTGAGGACGCCTGGCTTCGGCTCCCGACTAAACGACGGGGCGAGAAACAAGTCCGTCCTCGTAGTCACTTGCCCATCTTACGAGTCAGGCCCTTGCCGAAGTCGCTTGCATCCCAGGATCGGAGCAGGCCACGGCCCCGATTCTGTCTTTGTCGAAGATCCCACGACACGTCACATTCATCTACCGAGCGCCACTGATACGACCGGTCTCGTGCATACCCGCCGGGGCTAGAGAATGCAAGCCACCCGTCCACGGGCAGCCCGTCCCACGGGAGCATCCTCCTCCCAGCGGTCAAGGGGCGGGGGAAGGGGGGGTGGGTGCTTATGGAAACCCTAGACTCTGGCTAGCAAAAAGAAAAGCAACCTTTAGCTGGGCGGCCGCGAGAACGGGCCGCAGAGGGCGGGACGGTCACGGGTGGGTGGAGATGCCGCTCGCGGAGGGGGCTGTGAAAGAATCCATCCATTTTCCGTGGTGGACAGTTATCATCATGCCAGAGAAAAAAGATGGAATGGTAGTGTCCGAGAGGAGACGGAGACGGGGATGACGGTGTGAAGGAAGACTGCCCAGTCTGCGTGGTGTATGTAGCTTCCTCACCTTCCATGCAGATGTTGGAGGGGAGCGCGAGTAGCGCTAGCATCAAGGGCGCGAACAGAGATTGCTGCAAATGACCAAATATATCGTTTTAACCCAAGACGCCATGGTATCGTGAAAAAGGCTATCCGTTACCAAGTTGATGTTTTTCCTGCTTCTCATGATGGGCTGGTGGAGGTTCAGATGAGATATGCACTATACGTGAACATGCATGTATCGGATTATTATGTCAGCGTTGTTCGGTTGCTCATGCTAGGCACGAAACTTTCCAGAGATGGAACTTCAGGACGACTAACGACCGGCAAACAACCACACCTCACCCTTTACGCGACGAAAAAAATTCCGACAAGATGAGCTTCGTCCCCGTGAACCCGCGACCGATGCTGCAGGAGCTCGTCGACAAGACGGTCTCGGTACGACTAAAGTGGGGAGAGACCGAGTACAAGGGCAAGCTGGTTTCGCTCGACGCGTACATGAACCTGCAGCTGGCCAACACGCAAGAGTTTATCGCGGACAAGTTCACGGCAGACCTGGGGCAGGTGCTGATCAGGTAAGATTCCTTGGTGGCCAACGACGGGAGAGTGCGCAGCACGTTGGCACGAGTTGGCAAACGCACGCGGAATTGAGGCAAGCTTGCTAACCTTTTCCCCCCCCCCGGATGCAGATGCAACAACGTTCTGTGGATTCGCGGCGCCAGTGACGGAGATACCAAGATGGAGGATTAAATTTCTGGGTGTTGCTTGATTTGCTCGGCGTTTGGGAATTGGGATTTTGGGACGGGGACGAGTCGAAAAAAAGTCTGGCGGTCCGGTCGACCTGCGAAGCATGGCGATTACCGAGAGATGAGGCTGGATGCGATGCATATTGTGGACGAGAGAAGAAAGCGTTGAACCAGGCAATTCATGACGTTGATCCACGAGGACACAGTCCTGCGAGCTGGCGCTGGCGAAACGCCAATGCGAGCAACACAACGGTATAGAATGGTTCGGAGCGCCGATTTTCGCCAACGAATTGGAATCAAAGTCGTCGCTACAAGCTTCTATGCGCGGTTTCGGTGCAGAGTACCGTCAGCGTCGGTGAGGCATCACGTGGCAGACTCCGGAAGAAGGACCTGCGCATTTTTTCAGCGACGAATTCGACAGCATAGAAGAGACAGCAGGCATGGCTGCAGATATACCATACAACACAATACAAAAAGTTTTCAGCATCAAACCCAACACCGTCCACATCAGAGTCGGGCTTGTCGTGTTGCTGCCTCGGACCAGCCAGACCTCTCTGCACGCGCCGGAATTTAGCTAACGGTTACTAGCATGTACGCGAGCTCTCCACCGCTTCCAAGAGACGTAATGCCGCAGCGGCACAGTTGCAGCGGCCCGATGGGACAAATCGCGGGCGGAGCGGGACGAAGGCGCTGTCATGAGATAGTGTCGGCAGCCTTGGTTTCTCTCGCTCGCATCTTGTCGTCAAGGTCGCATCAAGGTGGCGCCGCCCTTGCGCAACTTGGGAAGCTATCAACAAGACTAGCGTTGAACAAGAAATGGTTCCCTAGGCGGCCATGGCGCACAGAAGACCAGAGGACTCACGCAAACACCAAGTTCGTGCTCGTTGATGACTGGCCATCTGCACGGTGACGGAGCCTTTAACCTGACCAATGAACAAGGCTGTATAGACGCCCGGCAGAGAGAGAGTGTGGTGGGGCGACGTTAGCTTCGCTGCGCTGTCTAGAAAATGGCTGCAGCTTTATTTAGCCGCCGTGGTGGGCTCTGGACCTTGAGGTATGTATGTATCGATCCCCGTCGCTTTGAGTGGCTGGTTCCTTTATGAGAGGATTATTCTTTTTCTAATGGCCTTCTTTTTCAGCTCTGGGTAATTAAGTTGCATTGAATGTGGCTTTTGCTCGGCAGTCGTGGTCGTGATAGTCCTTCCGTCATATTGGGCCTTGGTCGGCTTATGAGGTACATAGTTACCTTGGCACTTGCTTGGTACGTACCAATTGGTGTTCATCGTGAAGCTTACTCGTACAGATTATACTGTGCGGCATAGCTCCCTCATACAGGCTGCAGTGCACTACATATCAGGCAAACAGGACGAATATTTGGTGCCATCTTCTCCGCTGTACTACCACTTGAAATCAAAATCGACCATCTCAGTCCAGGGCTGCATCTCACCACGCACAAACCGCGTCTTCATCACGACCCTCTTGTGTATCCAGATGACCTGCGTCCTGCACCGCAACGCCACTTGGATACTACCTGCAGGTCTCAAACTTTCGACTATGCAAGCTTGACCTCGCCTAGGCATTCATCATAATTTTTCGAAAGCAAAAGAGACCGACTACCATGCGGCTCGGACAAAGGCCCCTCACGAGGTGCCACCCATCCCACCCCTCCTCCGTTCAGCCATGTCACCATCCCGACCGCCCATTGGCTCGGTGGAATCTGCAAGCTTGCGGACTAGGCGATCAGAGTCCCATGTTTCTGCATGTCCCTACGTGGTACAATCGGCAGAAGAATGCGTGAGAGGAAATAGAGCCCTGTCGCAGTTTGTCTTGTCCACCGCTCACTCACTGCCCCCCCCCCCCTCGCCCGTATATATCAAGGGCCGCGGCCTCACCCTCACCTCGTCTTTTTTTTTTCTCCTTTCTTCTTCAGCAAGTCCTGCCAATACCATATTCTCGGTTCTGTTTGTTTCGTTTTTCCTTAGCATTTGCCTCTTTGCAATCTATAGAGCTGGTCTCTATTTTCACTTCTTCTTAATAATCAATCTCCCTCATCGAAAGCTCACATTCAAATCCCAAAACCACAACCATACGCGCCTTCTTCACACTCAAGTTGCTGGTCAGCTTTTGATATCGATTATACCCATTTACACTTTACACTTTTTTCTGTTTTTTTTTTGCACCTCTTACTTAATAAACGGAACCTCGGAATACTTGCTCAAAACGCCTGCATATACACACCATCACTTTTGCATTGTTTGGCCTTTTTATTTTTCACGAATTTGACGGATTCTTTTTCTTTTTCTTTTTCTTTCTCGGCATCATAAATATTTTCAAGACTTTTTCAGCCCTCCGCACAAACACCAACGAAAATGTCCGCCGTTCAACTCTCCTTCTCCCTCCGCGTCTCCTCCGGCGTCAAGGCCGTCCACCTGCTCGGCTCCTGGGACAACTACGTCGGCCAACTGCCACTCGCCAAGGACAAGACTTCGTCCAAGTCGGGCTCCTGGAAGGGCACCTTTCGCTTCCAGAACTCGACTCTGCAGACCGGCCAGCGCTACTGGTACTACTACATCATTGACGGGTACCACGTCGCGCACAACCCCAGCATCGCCTCCACCACGGAACCCACGACCGGCCGCGAGCTCAACATCCTCGACGTCCCCTCTGACAAGACTTCCTCTTCCTCGTCAAAGTCCTCCAAGTCGTCGTCTTCCAAGTCGTCTTCCAAGTCCTCCTCCTCCTCCTCGTCCAAGTCTTCGTCCTCGTCCAAGTCCTCCAAGTCGAGCAGCAAGAGCTCCTCCTCTTCGTCCCGACACCACTCCTCCTCCAGGGACAAGGAGCGCTCATCCTCGCGCAAGAGCCTCTCCGTCGACATCCCCAAGGGCCGGCCGCTCTCCATCTCCCAGATCCAGGCCCCCAAGCCCATGTCGCCGCACGCCACCAAGCACCTGCTCGAGTCCGACTACCACGGCAACGAGGAGCTCGAGGAGCTGGCTGCCCGCTTTGGCACCGCCGGCCTCGACGACGACCTCGTCACCGACTTCAGCACATCGCCCGTCTCCTCCGTCGGCTCCGGCTTCTCCTCCCGCTCCGGCAGCTCCTCGCCCTCGTCCTCGCTCTCCGGCTACAGCACACCTGCTACGGACTGCAGCACCTGCACCTGCGAGCGCTATGGCATCACCCGCCGGGGCGAGCGCGTCAAGCTCGACTGCGGCGGCTCCCGCTGCGGCTACGGCGACTCGGAGGATTCCTGCGCCAGCGACGCCAGCGACTACGAGTCCGAGGACGAGCACGTTCGCCACCACGTCTCCCGCCGCCACGGCATCATCGTCTCGTGAGCGTCCTCCATCTTGGGGGTGTGAGCGAGAGGGAGGCGAGCGTGGCTATATGCTCAGACCACAGGCCGGTTACTTCTTGGCTCTTCGTTCATTTTTTTTGGCAGAGATGAGCAGACGCTGGATTCTCTTTTCAACGCCTGGCTGAACTTTTGTCACGTTTGATTTCTTGTTTCTCTGCTTCTTGGCTATCTGGACTTTCTTCCTCGTCTTTCGCCTCGCAGTGCCGCCCCTCGTCTGGATTCTTTTTTTTTTTACGAAAAAAAAAATACACAAAACACAACCGCCCCCGTGTGAGCGCACCCCACCCCTGGAAAATATCCCACGCACTCCCACACCTGGAAAAGATGGATGACGGCGCCAAGCTGGTCCAAGCTGGTCTTGCGATTCGCTCAGACGGCTCGCCTGCCGCGGCCCTAAGACGCTGCTGCGACAGCAAAGCAAGTCGCGTTCGCCCTTCTCCCCCCCCCGGAGGTCGCCTCCCGCCTCTCCCACCGAGGCCGCCGCCTCCTGCGTCTCTCACGGAGGTGGCCTCCCGTCCCTCACGGACGCGTCCCGGCGTCCTATGAGGGATTCAATCTTTCTTTCTTTGCCCCTCGCGCCTTCTCGAGGGAAGGCGGGCAGCCCTGGCATGGCCAGGAGGTTGCCAAGGCTCAAGATTTGCTCCGCTCTCTTCCTGGAAGAGAGACCTAGGAGCTTCATGCTTATCAAGGTACGTACAGATACGCAAGAAAACTTTTTTTTTTCGGGCCTAGCCCGTTTTGCCCGGGAGCATTGGAAACTTGGTTTTGGGGTCCTGGGTCCGTGGATAGAAGACGATTGAAACTATTCATTTACATAACTTGTTCCTTTGTCGTGACTTGTCATGTTTAGATGTGATTCATGTCGCCGCCTACTCGAACAAATTTCACAGTCCGTGCACGGTGTTCGCCATGTAATACAATGCCTTTTATTCATGCATATTGGGAGGTTGCTGCGTGAGTTGAGTATGACTGCGCCGCAGCAGAGATTCTATAGAGGGCATCAGACCACTGTGTATATGCGCAACTATCGTTAGTTTGGTGAGTTGGCATAGAGGTATCGATCGCCACATATGAGCAGAGATTTGTACAGAGAGGGGCGTGGTATATACGTCGTCGTCGCGTTCACCGATCCAGAGCTTGGCTCTGGCACTATCCTTGAAGTTAGTAAACCACACAAAGCAGGCTGTAATCCAACGACAAGAAAAACTCACCATCTGCCAGTACACCCCTCGCCGCCGCAGCAGCTCCCCGTGACTGCCCCGCTCGAGCAGCCTGCCGCCCTCGCCGAGGACGAAGATGACGTCCGCGTTCTGCACCGTGGCCAGCCTGTGCGCGACCACGACCATGGTGCGGCCCCGGCCCGCGCGCTCGAACGCAGCCTGCACCAGGCGCTCGCTCTCCGAGTCGAGCGAGCTGGTGGCCTCGTCGAGAAGCAGCACGCGCGGCGCGCGGACGAGCGCGCGCGCGATCGCGACGCGCTGCTTCTGCCCGCCGGACAGCGCGACGCCGCGCGAGCCGGTCGACGTGGCGTAGCCCTCGGGCAGCGAGACGATGAAGTCGTGCACCTCGGCGGCGCGGCAGGCGTTGTGGAGTTGCTCGTCGGTGACGGTGGCCTCGTCGACGCCGAGGAGGATGTTTTCGCGGATGGTGCCTGGTGAGAGGAAAGAGAGACGAGTTAGGATAAAGGGGTAGTATTGAGGTTGGTGTGTTTTTGGACTTGCCTCGGAAGAGGGTCGCTTCTTGGGCGACAAGGGACAGGTTTTCGCGGTAGGCGTAGACGTTGCTCTTGGCGATGTCCTCGCCGTCGCAGAGAATGCGGCCCTTGGTAGGTTCGTAAAATCTACAGTCGTTAGTATCTAATGCAGCGTCCCGAGATTGTGGACGCACCGTTCCAGCAGAGAGATGATGCTCGTCTTTCCGCAGCCCGACGCACCCACCAGCGCAGCGAAATGGCCCTTTTCGATGGTCAAATTGAGGCCGCTAAACACGGGCGTGTCGCGCGTCGGATATTGGAAGTGAACATTCTCGAACTCAATCTTGACACCGCCGTCGCGTTCGCCGTGGTCACCGCTGCCGCGACGCGCAATCACGTCGCTACCGCTGTCCCTGTTCCGTGAGTCGCGCAGCCGTAGGATGCGGTTCGCGGCGTCCTTGACCTGCGTGGCGTTGGGCCCGAAGCTGAGCGCCTGGCCAGTGGACTCGCCCGCGTTCATGACGGCCAGGAAGCACACGAAGAAGCTCGTGAGGCCGTACTCGCCACTGAGCAGCAGCCGGCCGCCGTAGTAGAAGATGAGCGCCTGGCAGGCCATGGTGGCGCTGTCGGAGAAGGCGAACAGCAGGCTGACCCAGCGCGCCTTCTTGTACGCCTCCACAACGTGCCCGCGGCACAGCCGGCCGAAGCGCGCGCAGATGGCGTCCTCTAGGGTCAGCGACGCCACGGTGCGGAAGGCCCCGATGGACTCGGCGGCGAACTTGGAGCTCTCGGTGAAGACGGCGTCGTTCATCTTCTCAAACTCAATCTCGTACCGGAAGCGCCAGTACGTCGAGGCCAGCAGCACGGGCACGACCACGCACAGCGACACGATGGCGAGCTTCCACGCGAAGCAAAAGGCGATGATGATGGAGCCGACGAGTGTGAAGAGGCCAATGTACACGCTGGCCATGTTGGCGCCCATGAGCTCCTCGAGCTTCTGCGGGTCGCCCGAGGCGCGCGCCGTCATGGCGCCCTGCGCGTGGTCGTCCTCGTCGAAGAAGGCAGGCTTCTGGTAGAGGATGGAGAGGAAGTACTCGCGCTGGTACTTGGCGCGGACGACGTTGGCGGTGCGCGCGGCCAGGAAGAAGGTGGCCGTGTAGGCGCACCCAACACCGATGGCCAGCACCAGCCACATGAGGGCGTATAGCTCGCTGTCGTGCCGGAAGCGCGTGCGGTCCGAGGCGTATCCGAAGACGACGATGACCTTGGCGAAGAGCCACGCCTGTATCGGGATGGCCGCGCCCGCGCATGCTGCCGCAACGAGCGTCAATGCCATGATGGGCCAGTGGCTGCGCGTCTCGTAGAAGAGGCGTCCGAAGCTGTTGAAGAAGCCGCGAGTCTTGTCGGACGTGGTAGTGGACTCAAGGTTGGTACCTTTTGTTGACTCCCCAGCCTTGCTCTTCTCGCGAGCCAGCTCCGCGGCGACCGCATCCTCCGTCTCCTCCGGCCGCACGCCGTCGCCTGCATCCGTGGCTTCGCCGAGAGAGAGGGCCTGAGCGCGGACCAGACCCGCATACACGCCGTCGGTCATGTCCAGGAGGCTCTCGTGCGTGCCCGTCTCTACCACCCGGCCTTTCTTCAGGACAACAATGGTGTCGGCTTTCTTGATGGTGGAGAGCCGGTGTGCGATGGTGATGGTTCTGCGGTTCTGCGCGACACGGTCGAGGGCCGCTTGGACAATCTTTTCGCCGCGCACGTCTATGGCACTCGTGGCCTCATCAAAGATGAGAATCTTGGGCTGGCGTACGATGGAGCGCGCAATGGCGATGCGTTGACGCTGGCCCCCGGAGAGTCTCGCGCCGCCATCGCCAACAGTAGTGTCATAGCCCTGTCATGGGCAATTAGTCATGATTCATGGAAGGAGTGTGGTGTGCAACGAACCTGGGGCAACTTGTCAATGAATTCATCTGCGAATGCCTCTTTGCAAGCTGCCTTGACCATCTCGCGCTTCTTGTCTTCCGGCTCGTCCTCCCACTGTGTACCAACCAGACCGTTGCACACGTTGACATAGATGGATTCGTTAAACAGAAACGGCTCCTGCTGGACGAGGCCAATCTGCGAACGCCACCACTTGACGTTTATGTCATCAATAGAGTGGCCGCAGGTGGTGACACTGCCGGAAAGGGTGATGGGAGGTCCAGACTGAGCATCTGTTTCGGCCTGAGCCGCAGCTGCTTCCTCTTCAGTAGGCTCGTCCTCTTCGCTGTCATTCTTCTTCTTCTTCTTTTTCTCTACGGCTTTGGCGACGACGTATTGCTCCTTCAGCGAGTACCAACGCTCGATGAGACCAACGATGGTACTCTTTCCCGAGCCAGAAGGGCCGACAATGGCAGTTGTCTTGCCCGACTCGAAGTGGAGGCTCAAATCGTCTAGCACCTTGACGTGGGGGCGGCTTGGGTACGCAAAGGTGACATTCTGGAGGATAATGTCCTGGTCTGCAGTTACATCCGGGGCAACAAGGTGGCCGGGATCCGGGCGAGGGGCGTCGATGACGGTGAAGAATTGGCAAGCGGCGACGGTTGCTTTGCTAACAGCAAGCATGGGGGTAGATATACGTTCCATTGAGAATAGAAGCATCATCATGGAAAACAAGACGCTAATGTGATAAGCAGGAGAAAGGCCAAGGGATGGAGCAAGCTTACACAATGATGGTGCCAACGTCTGTGAGGGTGCCCTCAAGGAATGACTTGGAGCCATACCAAAATGATAAGCTAAAAGCAGCAAATACACCGAAAAACTACAGGATCTGTTAGGCATTAGAGGTACAAAAGCTGCAAAGAACATACGACGAGGCCGAATTGTAGCGCAATGAATGGACTGGTACGCTGTGCATTCTTTCGCGAGTCTTCAATGACGGCGGCATATTTCTCGGCAATGCGCATCTCGGCTCCGCAGGCCATAATCATTCGGATGCTGCCAAACGTTTCGCTCGCAATAGAGTTGGATTGCGACTCCAACTGTTCAAGGGATTAGATTAGCCTATGCGCGCCAAGCTCAATATCAATAGTACCTTGGTTGTGCGGCCTTGGCCTTTGACTATAATTGGCAGCAAAACGCCAATAGTGAGCATAATGAAGACGAGGGCCGATGAGGTGACGAGTGTAAGCCGCCAGCTGTAGATGAAGGCGACGACAACGGCGGCCACAATGGTGGCGTTAAACTCGATAAATGTGCCCAGTTTCTCGGAGATGCCTAGCTGGAGGGTATTACTCGTAGTCGTGATTGTATTGGTAGCAAAGCCGGGAGGCATCGAGTCAAATACATGGATGCTCTGGGCAAAGAGGGCCTGTAGAAAGTGAAGGCGAACAGCGGAGGAGATGCGAATTCCAATCATGCGAAAGGCAAACTATCGCGAGTCAGTTGTCGGAGGCAGAATAACCGGGAGGCGAAGGGCATACTTTGTTGACATAGTTGAGAAAGAGTCGGCCGAGAAAGAGGCCGAGCATGTAAAGCCTGGCGCAGCTAGTCAGATCAGCGTCAAACGGCCTGAGACAAGAGGCCTACGATAGTGTTTGCAGGTTTGACTTGAAAGTCTCGGGAGAGAGGGTGCCAGCACCCGCAAAGTTGGTGAATTGGGTCGTGAAGCGGCCTTTGTGAAGTAAAGGTCAATTAAAGGCACTGGCATTTAGAAGGGGGGGGGAATAGTACCAAAGACGACGTTGAGAAGCGGCAGGGTGCAGCCAGCGCCAATAGAGGCGAGGGAACCGAGGGCATAGGCGACAAGATCCCATTTGGTGGCATACTTGAAAACTCTCTGGGATGCGCTTACATTAGATTCGATATTGGAGCAGGTAGAGTATCGTCAGAGGACGAACTGGAGCGTACCAGGTAGTCGCTGAAAGTTGCCTCGCGCTGGGGGCGGAGCTGGTTCGTCGCGGGTGTCTTGTCGTCGCCGTGCTTTTCGTCAGGCGGCAACGAGCGGCCGTTCTTCTCAGGCTCTTGCGCCATTGTCGGTCGGTGGGCGTCGAGATAATTCTTGCCATCGACAGCGGGCCGTCGATGGATGACGATTCCAAGGCTTACTAATAAACGTGTTGACAACGGACTCCCGGTGGCCTCGAGGGCCCCGAAAGGCCAGCCAAGGTGTCAGCCAGGCTGGGCACTAATAGCAACGAACGCTGGCAGAGCCCACTCCTAGCCTTGGGAGCGTTGATGCGAGGAATACGGGCTTGTCTGCTAGCGGAGTAATTGTTCGATCAAGGCAACAAGATGTTGCCTGTAGCCCCGATATTCTAGGCAACAGAATTGGATGTTGCCGATCCTGGCGCAAAAGGTTAAAATTGTCAGCACCTTGGCGTGCCACTAATTGAAAGGATCTGGCTGGCCTTGTGGCGGAGAAGAGGGAGGGATGGGAAGCTCACACTGTCTTGGCGAGAATCCCAACTCAAAGTTAGCACAAACTCGCATCTTGTTGAGTCACCACTGTGGCCACGAGGCACGCCACTACTCAGCTTGGCTGTATCACCCACCCACCCCAACCGTCCTTCAGCCCTGTCTCCATAGGGGTCCAAGGCCCCGAACCTTGAGTTGACATTGCATGGTACTCGATATTCTCCGTGTTGAACGATGGCATCGCCAAGTTGGCCGTTGCCACAAGGAACTTTGTTCGTTTGCACAGCCTCATAATACCCGACGTCTTAATGGTCCCCCGCTGTGGGCCAGCGCTGGGCCGCTATCCGTAGCTTCAGCAGTCGCAAGGCAAGACGCCACTGAATTGGGTTTATAAGTCAAGTCAGAAGTAGCTAAATACCCGCATATGACACAACGGTCAATGCTAATTCTACTTTAATTTTCCCGTCGCCAACAATGTATGTAGATGGTTTCAACGGTCGGCGCAAACATCCAGCCTCGACTACGTCGCCTCGCTCGCATACCGCTACACCGAATTAGTGGAGAGCTCCCCTGAACTGATGGCGGGGTAGCTTCATCTCATCAGCTCCTTCTTTCTTTTCCCAACTTCGAAAAAAACGACCACTTCTCATTGCCGTCTTCTCTTTTCCTTTTCACCCTCAGCTTTCAACAGGTCTATCCGCTTTTCTTCTCGATAACTGAACAACATCCCGCGAAAGCTCCAACACAATACCCAGCAAGCCCTGCCTCCTTGATACCCAATACCAAAAACTACCCACCATGGCCGCCTCGGACAACCAGCTCGTCCTCCCCATCATCGACTCCCATATTCACCTCTACCCGGCCTCTGAGCTCGATACCCTCTCCTGGGCCACGCCTGACCACCCTCTCTACGCCCAGCACTCGCTAGAGCAGTACAAGGCCGCCACCGCCACCGCCCCGTCCCTGCTGGGATTCATCTTCGTTGAGACCGACCGCAAACACGACTTGGCTGCTGGCGCCGCCGGCGACGACTCCGGCTGGGAGGCGCCTCTACAGGAGGTGCGTTGGCTGCGCCGTATCGCCCTTGGCGAGCCCCGCGACGGCGAGGGGCACACCGCCGACGACGCGAAGCTCTGCCTCGGCATCGTGCCCTGGGCACCCATCCCCAGCGGGCCGGCGGTGCTGGAGCGGTACCTTGACAAGGTCAAGGAGGAGGCCGGCGCGGCCTGGCCAAAGGTCAAGGGGTTCAGGTATCTTCTGCAGGACAAGCCCCACGGCACCATGCTCGAGCAGAGCTTCATCGACGCTCTGAAGCTGCTCGGTCGTCGAGGTTTCGTGTTCGAGGTCGGAGTTGACCACCACCGTCGCGGACGGAAGCAGCTCGATGAGCTGATTGAGCTCGTAGACCGCGTGCACGACGGCGTGCCTGAAAATGAAAGGGTCAAGTTGGTGATTAGTACGTCCCTCATTCACAACCCCATTCTTTCCTGCTATTCTGTAAGACACACCTGGCTAACTTCTCCAGACCACCTCTGCAAGCCGGACCTGTCCATCTACAACCTCACCACCGACCCCGCCTTTCTTGCCTGGCGCACCACCATCTACGCCCTCGGCAAGGTGCCCCAGGTCTACATGAAGCTCTCGGGCGGCTTCGCCGAGATGCCCCCGGCCCTGCGCGGCCAGGACGCCGCCCACATCTTCCAGGCCGTCTTTGGCTGGCTCGGCGTCGTCCTCGCCACCTTTGGCGCTCGCCGCATCATGTTTGGCAGCGACTGGCCCGTCTGCACTGTCGGCATGCCCGAGGGGCAAGCAGAAGCGGACGGCGGGTGGCCGCGATGGCGGGCAGTCGTCGACAAGATGTGCTGGATGGCCTCGCTGGACGATGAGGAGCGCGCCATGATTTACGGCGGCACCGCCAAGGAGGCGTACGGCCTGTGATCGGGCCGCAAAGGGGGGAGAAGTCTTGTGGGTAACGAATTTGCAGTCATGAACAACAGAGTACACATACATAAAGCCACAACAAGTGTAAAGAGCATCAAGTCTTGCATCACCATACATCCTTCCGGTTACATCAAAGGAATTTGCATCGATTCATCATCATTAATGGCTAGCAAGTCAAGCAATGGTTCCCAACGCCAATCATCATCCATCCACGACACAGAAAACCATGCCACGTGCCACTTTCCGTCATCCTATCCTACAAACATCCTGGTCCTCGTAAACATCATGACTTTCGTAACAAGAGCTCCAAAGTCGGTCGTCCCCTTCACTGCCCACGCCCACGATGGCTGCCCATCTTCTCGATGCCACTCAAAATCCCGCTCCTCGGCCCCGGCATCCTCAACCCCCCCCCTGCAGCCGCAGCGCCACCGCGATACGCCGACCCGGGCGCCCTCAGCCCCGACGCCTTGCCCACGCTCCCCCGCCTATTATTCCCCGGCGTCGTCGTCGGCATCATCGACGTCGGCTTCTTCCCCGGCGTCTTCACCTCCATCGTCTGACGAGCCGGCGCCGGCGTCCTCCCTCCCCCACCACCACTCTGCGGCTGCTGCTGCATCGCCATCATCTCCTCCGCCAGCTGCACCAGCTCGCCCTTCTCCACGCGCTCCCTCTCCAGCAGCCCGCGCAGCTCGCCATTGTCCCCCTGCACCGAGGCTACGACCGCCTCAAGCCGGCGCACCGTCGCGTTCAGCTCGCGGATCGCCGCGCGGTCGCGCGTCGCCTGCTCCTTGTCGGCCTCCGCGTTGGCCTGCGCCGCCACGAGCAGCGTCGTGTCCTCGGGGTCAGCGCCGCCGCCGCCGGTAGTCGCCCGCAGAAGGCCAGCGTTCTCCTCCCGCAGCTCCTGCACGCGCCGCTCCAGCTCCTTGACCTTCTTCTCCCACCGCGCCTCGTACGACTTCTTCAGCGCCGTCACCTTGGTCTCGTGCTTGCCCTTGTACAGCGTGTGCAGCTCGCGCGCCACGCGCTCGACCGCAATCTCCACCTCCTTGTTCGTGTGCCGCGGGGACGCCGCCGCCGTCTTCGGCTCCGTCGTGGTCTCCCGACCCGCGCGCAGCCCGGCAATCTTGCTCTCCGCCTCCTGGTGCAGAATCTCCGCCGCCTCTCTCCGCTTCTCGCTCTCCTCGAGCTTCCGCTCTGCCTCCTCGCGCTCCCGGCGCAGCCGGTGCAACACCTCCTCGACCTCGCGCCCGCGGCGCTCCCAGTCGTCGCGCTCGGCGACCGCTTGCTCCCGGAGCGCCGTCTGCTCGCGCAGACCCTCGGTCGACGCGCCCACGCGCGCCTCGGCGTCGCCCACCGCCGCCTTGAGCGAGCGCACCTCGGCCTCCTTGCCGCTCAGCGACGCCTTGAGCGACGAAATCTCGGAGAGGAAGGCGGATTTCAGCGACTCGAGCTCGCGCGACGAGATCGTGGGGACGCTACGCGGCGTCGGCAGCGGCGGGATGTCAAAGTCGATGAGCGTCGTCGTCTTGCTAGGCGTGGCGGTCGCCGCGCTCAGGTTGGGGAGCGTGCTGGACGAGGGCAGCTTCTTGTCCGGGGAGGCGGTTGCGCGGCGCGCTGGGTGTCGCAGCGAATCGGTAAAGTCCATGAGGAGGTTCGTCGTGTTGCCGCTCTCGTCTCGGGTGCCGGGGCGGGAGGAGGACGGAACGCCGGCGAGCGCCGCGAGCTTGGCCGGGCTCTGCTGTGCGCGCCAGTTGGCGTAGCTCGCCAACGTCGGGGCGGCGGAAAATGTGCTAAACGTGCTCGTCATGGTGTCATCCGGGTTGCAGCCACTGCCGGCAGCCTCGTCGTGACCGCTCACCGCCGTGTTCGGCCGCGACGCCGCCGCCGCGACGCCCTCATCCTCATCGTCCTCGAAAATGTCAATCGCGCGTCGCAGGTGGCCATTTGTCCTCATCGCCTCCTCTAGGCTGACCTGCCTGTCTCGCACTCCCGCCTCCTCTCCTCCCCCGCCAATCTTGACGGGAAACCGCTTCTCTGGCGACGAAATCTTCCTAGCACTCCGCGCCGGCGGCGGCCCCATCCCTTCAGGGGGAGCGAGGCCCTCCTCGCTGGTCCGCTTTCGGCTGAGAATCTTGAGCGGTGACAGACCCGTGCCCGAGATGACCCGACTGTGGCGGCGGCTCTTGGCCGGCGACAGGGACGGGCCGCCCAGGGTGCTGCCCGGCCGTGACGAGGCGGTCCCGCTCTCCGCGGCTTGGCTGCGGGCCGTCATGGCGCTGGTGTTGCTGACGAGGGGCGAGGACATGGTGTCGCTGTCGTTGTTGTTGTCGTCGTAGGTGGTACACGACGCGTGCTGTACGGTGTGCTTGCGGACCTCGTATTCGACGTCGTATTGGCGAGAACTCGGCGAGCAGTTGAGCACGGCATCGTGGGCCGGCGACAGCGGATACATGGCTCTTTTGGAGCTGTGGTCCTCCCTTGTGTGTTTCCTGTAGTTCATTCTGTGCGTTTGGTCGTTTATTGTTTGCGCAGGCTAGATGCAGAAAAGCAGTAACAGGAAATAGGATGCAATGCGTAATTCACAGCAAGCAAAGGTGTGCCGTCTGATGTTGGTTTGTTTGGTTTAATGCAGAAAGAGAGTTTTGTTTCATCCGAGATGTTAATCAATTCTCCACGCGAGTTGTCGCCGGTGGAAACACATCAGGGAGAGTTTGTGGGTGCATCTTGTTGGCCCAGCAACCACTGCAGCACTGCCCAACTACACGTGATGGTGACTTACACGCACGTTGCGCGTGCACATCCTGCATCTCTGTGCAGGACTGTCTGTTTTAAATAGAAAAGGCAATGGGGGTAGGAGATCAGTCTTACATGCAGAGTCAAATGTTGCGCCGGCAGCCTTGCATCAGTGGATGTCGCACCATGCTCGCGAATTCTGCCCTCGCAGTAGTCATACAATCTCCCTTGGTCTTGACGGCTACCTAAATGGACAGGGCAAAAGCAGAAAAGAGGGCCATTAATCTATTTCGCAGGTCTTTGCAGTCACGGGGTTATTCAAAAGGTCATTCCCACTAAATCCACAATAGCTTTTATTGTCATTTCATAAGTCGTTAACTAATAACGCAACATATCCAACAAGGAAGGAGAAAAAACACCAGGAAGTGGTGGCCTGTTTCGAGGAGAAGATAAAAATAATGGATGGAATGCCATGAAAAAAAATCAAGAATAAACAGGTCATAAAGTCGTCACCGGTTTATTTCGTAGCCGGTTTCTCTCCCATTTCCAATTAAAATGCCCGTTTTCCAACTCTTACCAACCATGAAAGAGGCATTCTAGAATAAAGAAACAAAAGCCATTCTTCGCCTCATTTGTATACATGAGAAGAGGCGATGATAGTCTTTTCAGATGGGTTGTCTGATCAAGCCGAGGTCAATCGGGGGTGGTGAGGCGTGACTCGTCAAGACGCTGCGCAGCTGTGTGAAGAAATTCGACTGAATAAATGGTAACAAATCGTAAGAATTCGTAACTCGTCGCGCATTGCTTAATGCAGAGATCGACAAAAGTTCAAACCGCTAGCCTTGTGGTAAGATGACGCACAAGCGACTAGAAAATAAGAGTGAAGAAGTGATGAACAAAAAGGTTTAACAAGGGGATGAAAATGGACAGAATGAACGGGGCGCCCGGCTGCCTGACAAGTTGCCATTTTCGTTGGAGGTAATTTGGCATGCAGCTTCTGGGCGGCGCAATCATTAGGGCAGTCGTCGGGACCGGAGCGCCGGTCCTCGTGACGTGCAGATCATGTTTGCTCATCGCCGGGGCGGGGCACCGACGGCAGAAGCAGATTGGTTCATAGCATCGTAGATGGGAGCTGGCACGCTCGTTTCCATCATGGTTTTACGACGCTTCAGATCAACGGCACCACCGTTATTGGGGCTCTCCTCCTCATCACGGCCGCGCTTGATACTAGCGCCGACACCGTTGAGAACGGGGCGGGGAGCATAGCCATTTGACATGGAGCCGGGCATCTCGCCTGCGGGGGCGTAGACATCAGCAGCGGCAGCACCGTTGGTGGCGGGACGGTCATTGCTCATGACGCTGTAGAGACTGCTTGACTGGGGAACGCGCGGGGGCGTGTTGTACCCAGTGTGCTGATAATACGACTGGGGCTGCGCGGCCGTTCTAGGCGTCGCGCGACCAGAGGCGGGAGGGTGGTTGGGAGAGCCCGTCATCTCAGGGGCCATATTGCTGCTATCGCTAGGCAGACCATTGGAGCCGTTGTAGTTGTATGAGGTGCGAGTAGGGTCGTAGGAGCCACTGTCGTGGGTGTACTCGGGATCCTGCTCGTGCTCGCCTTCCTCATCGCCCGGCTGCTGGGGAGGAGCCTGCTCCGACGGCATGACACCGTTGGGTTTGGCTTCAGAGTGGTCAGCAATGATGCCCGTGGGAGCTGAGCGGCTTAACGCTGGAACCATCTCAATCTTGGGGTACGAACCACTCTGACCGTACAGACGGTCTTGAGAAGAGTTGGCAGCGCTCTGGTACGGCGACTGCTGCGATGAGGGGGCATTGTACATCTGGCGCTGGCTGTCGTAGCCAGCGTGAGCGCCCGAGGGGTACGACTGCAGAGACTGGAGCGAGGTGCCGGGCGGTGTGGTGGCCTGGTGGCCGTTAATGCCTTGACCCTGCCAGTTGAAGCCTTCGGAAGCGCCCATTCCGTTGATGACGCTGGAAGCACTCGCCGGGGGCGTAGGGAAGGTGTGCGCACGTTCGAGGCCAGGACGTGCTAGTGAGCTGTGGGAGGGCAGTGTCGTCTGGGGGCCAGCAATCTGAGCCATAGCGGGCTGCTGCTGCGAGTGGTGAAGGGAAGGCAAACCGTGGCTCGATGAGGCGCGGAGCTGTTGACCTTGGTCCTGTTTGCGGCGGTCGGCGGCTGCCATGACCTGGCTGGTGCGGGTCTGATTCGTGGGGTGGTAGAGCAGAGAGCCAATGTTGTGCACAAATAGAGGATAAAGAAGCTCGGTGATCTTTTCCTTGTTGGCGAACTCGAGGGCTCGCTCATAAGGAATCCTGCGGCATGTCTTAGTTTCCACGCTGCAGTGTCTTGCGGGTGAATCAATCAACATACCAGACGCCCTTGAGATGCATGGGACCTATTTTTACCACATGGCGGATCTTTTCGCTCTTGAGAATTCCGTCACGGCGGCCACGAGTCATGCCAGCGACATTTAACAGTTTTGTGCCATTAATCATGTGATTATCTTGGGAATGGTTAGCATATGGCAAGACAAGACAAGAATAAAATGAGCACACCTTCTCGACGAGCAACGCAGATGCCACGAGCCTCAACCTGAAAGCAGAGACTGCCTTCGTCTTCCCAAAGGGTAGCAGTTACGCGCGGCTTCATGCCAGGCGGCGGGTGCTGGCCGGTGTTGTCAAAGTGCGCATAGGGCTGCTGCAACGAGTTTTGGCTTGGGACGCCGCCTGGTAAGGGCAATACATTTTGCGGAGCTGCCAGGGCGTTGGAGACGGAGGGCGGCGCAGCGGGGGGCGACGTGAGGCCGTTGGTATAGCCATACTGGTAGGGCGAGGGATTGGAGTACTGGCCGTGTGCGGACTGAAGCATTGGCGGTGGCTGCTGGTGATAATGACCCATGGAGCCCGACGTGACGGTCTGAGGAGCGGGCGGCTGGCCAGCCGAGAGGTGCTGGGCATAGTAGAGATCGGGAGGGTGGTTCATGGCGTCGTAACGGACAATGTTGGTGGGAGGACCTGTAATTGCGTTGAGCGGCAGCGTGGGCGATGGCGTCTTGGGGCCGTAGGAGGAAGCCGAGGTGAAGGAGGACTGGGAGCCGTTGTGAGAGGCAACGGAGCTCAAGCGGGGAGACGAAGTGCCGGAAGAATGGGCCTGTCCGGGGGGAGGCAGAGCAAATGATGGTAATCTGTCAACGCTCATAAATACTCTTGTACCAAGGGTGAGGCTAGCGAGAGAAGAGGGGGGGATTGTGGTACAACTCTGGCTGGGTTCAGAGTGGTCGAGGTGGCGGAAGATTGAGGATCAAATCAAGTCACAAGTCCGGGGCGGTGGAGGGTGATGCGACGAGAATGAGAATCTTGAGCTCCAATGGTGCAAGACGACAAAAAACGCTAGCAACAAGACAGGCGCAAAAAGAGCAGACTTGTGCGACTGTGGTCGAAGAAAATACGTGCTAATCGTAAAGGGGCATGAAACGCAACAAATCGTCTTAATCGTGACACATTCCCGGGGGGGCGAGGTGATTCCTCCGAGAAGGTGAGCACGGGCGTCGTGTCGTGAGGGTGACGAGTGGTATATATGCGCGCGCGGCGAAGAGTCTGGAGGCTGGAGGCCGGTGAGAGAGGCCGAGCCTGTTGGACGTGAGAGAGGCGGTGATGTCGGATCGTTCTTTCAAGACGGGCGAATTCGTTTGACACCAAGTGGCGGAGCGGCAGGTGGGCGAAGGCGCGCGCAAGAAGGATTGCAAACGGCGAGGAGGTGAGGCGGCGTTTGAAGAGCTTGACGTGTTGAACACTTGGGTGAGGTTGAGTGAGCTTTGGCTGGTGGTTGAAGAGCACAGTTGTAGCGCCGGCAGCTGCAATGCAATGCGGTTAGCTGCAAGGTTGACAAGGCGGGAGACGACGGGGAAGAAGAGGCATGAAAAGAAGAGAGGAGACAATGGGGAGCAAACGGCGGGAGAGTGGCCGGGGGGAGGAGAATATAATGCAATTGGAGAAGGCTGGGTGGTGGGAGTGCAGTGACAAGGGGAGAAGAGAGGCAAGCAAGTAGTAGGCGTGCGAGGGGAAGAAGGGGTGCGGGACGGGGATGGATGGGGATAGTAAGGGTTCCGAGATAGGGAGAGGAGGATTTGGATGAGGTTGCGGTACTCCGTACTTGGGTGCTGGTGCTGGTACTGGAGCCGGCGCTGGAGCCGGCGGAGAAGAAGAGGGTGCGGCGCGAAGAGGAAGAGAGACGGGAGAGGGCGGCGCGGCGCATCAACCAACATGCACGATGGCGAGCATGGATTGATTGATTGATGATTGATTGGTACAGGGACCAGCAGGGAGTGGCAGTAAAAGCAAAGCACAGACAGCGCAAAAAAAAAAAAAAAAAAAAAAAAGGGAACAGGCCGAACCTTTTTTCCTTTTTTTTCTTCCTTTCCTGTTGGGGGTCGGTCGTGTCGAAACAGAGTCTGAGAATTGCGAAAAATGGAGAGGTCGGTAGCGGGTTGGCGGTGGAGGAGGACGGGTGCTTCGAAGGGTGGAGGGGGAGGATATGTAAGGTACCTATGTATGTATGTAGGTAGGTAGGTGGAAGGATGAGAAGAAAAGGAAGTAGGTAGTAAAGAAAAGAATGAGGGAGAGAGCTTATGAAGTGCAAGCTGGACAATTTTCAAGGACGGTGAGGAAAACGAAGAGGAGGAGAGGAGAGAGGAGGAGGGCCTACAAGAAGAGGTCGAGCTTGGGCCGCGGATGGTTTTGTTTTTTCGGGCGGCGTGTGGTGAGGACGAGAGAGAGCGCGAGGTGGAAGAAGAGGCCGGTCAAGTTGGCCGCCGGGAGGTACCAGTTATTCGTACCAGTTATTAACTAGTTACTGAGAGTGAACTGGGGGGGGTTCCTCTTGTTGAATGATGGGGGTGGTTTTGTGATTATTCTGATTTTCGGGGGGCAGAGAGAAGGGGCAGAGGAACCAGAACCACGATGAAAAGGCAGGCCAGCCAGCCAGGCCCTGTCCGTTTGTCCCCCAGACAAAGAGAGGCGCCGTTTGGTATCTTTGGTATGACCAGGGTGAGCTGCTGAAGGTGGCTATTATCAGTATATCACTGCGTATGATAAATATTGCCACTATTGCCACTGTTATTATCATCATGATTTCATATTGCTCGATTTTATTTTCTTGACGTTTCGATTTCTCTTTTTATTTTCGTTCAGCGTGCCCATCGGGACGGAGCAAGGAGGAGTTGGGCTACCGAAGAGGAGCCTGAGGGGGCGCCCGCTCCGAGGGGGCGTGGTTCAAGATGGGGGGATAGATGGACGGGGGGCAAGCACAAAAAAAAGGCGAGCAAGTTTTTATGAATGAATAAAAACATATGTGCTGGCATAGCAAGGTACTGGGTAGGGGCCTGGAGAGTGACGTGACGGAGTACAAAAAGGCTGGCTCGACAGATAGAGGTACCAAGGTAGATGAAAAACCTGGCAGGGGACGTGGTAGGCCCTGCCCTGCCCCAGATTGGGTTCAGAGCGGTGGCAGACGAAGGGAAAGGATGAGATGTCTTTTGTATTCCATTTCCTTCCCGTCTTTCTTGTCTTGTATTCTCCCTTTGCAAATCTTATCCAGCGGAGAAAAAATTACTACAGATGAGACTGCAGAGACAATCGTCACCGCCATCGTAAGTCTACTGCGTAGGTACTGTGTAGGTAGGTAACAAGTGCATCGTTCGTAGCTTGGGTACAAAGGTATCGCCAGTGGTCATACCGTGTGGCGCCTCGGTGCGGTGCGAGTGCGCCGTGCGTCATGGTGGTCTTGTTGGTGAGAGCCTGAGGTGGAAAGAGGAGGAGAAAGCCACACCACCCACCCACCACCCACTGACCCAGTTGTTCAAAGCTGCCAGCAAAAGAAGTGAAGCTACTGCACCGTACCTACAGCAAGCAAAGCCCGCTTCTGCCAGATGGACGGCTTCTTTTTTTCTTATTTTCATCTAGCCGGCCAGCCCTGGTCCGTTTGGCCACGGAGACGAGTGGGCCAGACGGCCAGAGAGGCCAAGATGGATGGATTATTACGGGGGGGGGTGTCTCTCTTTCTTTCTCTACCAAAGAGGCGAGCCTGTCTGTGTCTGTCCTTTGCTGTGGGCAAGTCGCCACCTCTGCCTCTGCCTCTGCCTCTCCCTCCAGCAGGAGACATACATCCATCTCCAGTGTAAGACAGCATAAACGGCCATGCATCTAACTAGATAGTACTATGTATGTAGGTATACTGCGTGCCTCAACCGCGCTTTCTTCTATCGCATTCAGTTTCTTCCCGGTTCCATCTCTACCTTATCTCCTATTTACTCAACACCTCGCTCCTACCAATACTTTGTACCCAGCATCGTCGCCTTCTCCTCCTCCCCCTTCCCGTAACACCAGATGCTAGCGGGCGATGGCCTCGCCGCCATCACACTCCCCCCCGACCTGTGCTTCCCGCCCGCCTCTCTTCTGTTTTCCTTCCCCCAGCAGACCACCAGAGACATTCTCACCAGCCGTCCCACCCCCCTCTTGACCCGTCCCTCCCCATGTCCATGCCCATTGCCCATGTCCATCCTTGTCATCTCCTCCCTGGGCACCGCTGACCTCTCAGCCAAGTTCCCAACTTATTATTACCAGTACTGGTACCACCAAGTCAGTCGGTCAGCCACCCGCCCTAGTTAGTCCCCTGCCTTTTTTTTTTTGCCTTGCCTATGGGCCATGGGTTATTTTTACTTTCTTATCCTCTGCGCGATTCAGATCGTGGTCCGTCCTCAGCATTTTTTGTGCGCGCCTTGTACCTCTTCCCGTTCACCCCCCCATTCTTTCTCCCACCAGGCCAGGCTTCTTATTTGCCGTCTGTCTTCTGCCGCGCCCAGCCCCGTCCCTCAAGTTGGTTGTAATAAACCGGATCTTGACAAGGGTTGGCGAATCGCATCCCGCGGGCCACCTGTTATCGGCCCTCGCGGAGGAGTGTGATGTGGAAGTGTGTGGGAGAGAGAAATGTGTGTGTCAAGAGGATTCTATTCGTAAAAGTGTGTGTGTGTGTGTGTGTGTGTGCAAAGTTGCCGTTTCCCCCCACGAGTCGTCTCGGTCGCCGCAATATACCAGAGTCGTACAAGTTCACGCATAGGCAACTACCTATACCTCATCGTTTTGATACCATGCATCTTCATCGTAAAACAGTCTGTGGTCGACATGCAAGATCTCCTCCCGCCAGCGGCAAGGTACAGACCGATATGTACGTAGTTGTTGGAATGCTCCATCCATTCTCTGCCGCTCTTCCAATCACCAACCAAAGCACAGCAATCCAAAGTATAAAACAGCCTGGTCCATGCTGGGGCCAATCCAGTTCATGCTGGCGCACCTCGGGTGGGTAGGTGCTCACTGTCAGCCAGCTTTTTTTGGCCTCTGACGCCGAGTGAAATGTCGTAAAGCTCTGTCAAGCAGCTCTCTTTCCCTCTTTCCAAATTGGTAAAATACGTTAGCCAAGTTGTTGTTAGTTGGCCGCCGGTCGACGAGACCAAGTGGAGGGGACCGTCATCGGCCTCCCGTCGCGCGGCGTGCTGGGACCTGGCAAAATTTTGCATATGCACTGGGATGCTTACCAAGGCGACAACAACGTCCATGCTGCTCTCGACATTGAGTCTCTATTCTTGGCGCACTATTGCCGTGCAGTTGCAGAGCTAGTTATTAGGGGTCCTGTATGCAAGGATGCAAGATACCGCTCCCGAGTCGATCTGTGTCCGTTTCTGACAAGATAACAAGGACCTTCCCTTGTTAGGAGCCCACGAAGCCGCTATGCCTACGGAAACTCAGTTCTCCGTTCTCCGTACAGCCTACAGGGAATTATTGTAACTAGATTAGCATTTTCGTGTTCCATCTTTACCCTGTTCAGAAAAGGTAGCGTCATGATTTGCTTTGCCCGATTTATGCTTGGACGGGCAGAGCCGGCAGGTGCTTTCCCTCTGCACCGCTCGGTCGACATGCATGGTGTCCCTGGCATGTTTCAACGCCGGCATTTCCTTTTTGCTCTCCCTTTCCCTCGATCGACCAGGGGCCTTTGTTTCCAAGTTTTTATACCCGTCAAGCCCGAAGCTGCGAATAAGAGATTCGTTAACACGTCGTTATGGAGCTCAAGGTTTGGCACCAACACGGGCATTTCTCGTTTACTGTTCGATCTGACCAACTGGGGACCGCGGCAGTCAGCCTACTACC